ACTCACCATTTTGTATAGTTAACAAGATTTATCCCCGTGCGTACCTCAATGATCACTTGTCAAGTGCCAAATTAGATGAGTTTTATCATCCAAAAAAGTCCGCGAGTGACGTCACTGCTATAATGATTGACAGGTTGCCCCGCCCATTTATCGATTTTTTGCCGACTTTATGGAAAGGTGTATATGTGACTTGGCCTTGGGTATTCCCCCAACTTGTGATACTGGTTCTGATAAATATACCAAATATTGCCAAAAGTTGGAATCCCAGATGGAAAAAACTCACGAAGTGGCTCGTCAGAATATTAAGCTGAATAGCGATCGTCAAAAACGTGGCTATGATGTCAAATCAAGTACCAAAACCTTTGAAATTGGAGACCCTGTGTGGTTCCATAGTTCTGTGGTAAAACCAGGTACAAGCTCCAAATTTCAGAATCCTTGGACCGGTCCCTTCAAGGTGATACGGATTGTGTCTGATTTAATTCTGAAAATCCAAGGGGAAAATGGGAAAGTAAAAACTATCCACCAAGACAAATTGAAGCCATTTGTTGGTACTCTACCATCATGGTTTCATGAAACCCCATCAGTCACATCCCGTCCAGAGATTGAACAACCATCAGATGTGACCCAATTTGATCCCCTTCCAAAGGACCATGTAGATCCCAATAAACGTGTCCGAAAGCGTCCAGGTTGGCTCCAGGACTATGAGACTGAATTATAAAATCATGTGAGTTGCTCATGAAATTGAGTTGCTCATTACTCTATCTTTGTCAATACTTGCTATTTTTCCATTAAATGTTATTCCATCAAATGATATTCTAATTATACATTGACCATCATATTTCCACATGGCCACTCTTATGATCCATTTATGTTTTCCAGGCTGACTACCAGTGTGTAGAACATGTGGGGACCGGGATATGTGGTTTGAGATTTCAATCCCCCATATTGCTGGCCGATCATTATCAGATAGTTCACCCACCCCTTCAATATAGGTGTGACAGATGTGTGAAAGACATCAGCTTCAGAAGCAAACGCCAACTACAGAAGCATATGTATAACGTGCATGGTCCCAAATATCATTGTCCCACCCAAGGCTGCACCTATATCAGACCCAGTTATTTTAAGAAAGATATTGCTGAACATTGGAAAAAGTATCACAGTGGCCCAAATAACATTCCCGAATTACTAAAGATGGATTTTAAAGACATGAAAAAACCTTCAGCGTATCTAAGCAGCATCTCTTCTACTCCCCTGTACTGTACTCCCCCAGCTAACCCTGTCCCAAAACCCTGTACTATAACTACTAGTCAGGTTCCCCATATTACTGCCAAAGATCCCATTCCCTCACAAAAAAAGAACCCAAAGAGAAAGGTCATCCTCTCCACTACTTCACCTATTAGATGGGATTCTTCTTCAGATGAGGAAAAGCAACAGCCCAGAGAAAGACAAATCCCTACTTCAAAGGATTCGAGGAAAATTGAATTTAAGAAGGCAAGATGTGATAACACGTCACCAGAAATGAAACCCAACCACAAACAAGATGCCCCTCTTATTCCCCTTTCCCCCAACGGAAATGATGAATCCCCTATAAGGAGAATAGAGGTATCACAGATACAGATGCCTCCCACTTTCCCCAATTCCAATGGACCCGAAGAACCATCCACAGAGAAGAAGAAGAAGAAGAAGAAAACCAAGAAGTCCAAGAAATCGCATCCTAAAGAAAGATCTGAAGATGGGCAAAGAATAAAACATAGAAAGAAGTCTATACATGAAGGAGAGAAGAAAACACACCAGAAGAAGGGTGATTATGAACTAGACAAAGTCTTGGAGAGTGAAATTGGCAGTCAGCCGGAAATGGACTTTGTATTTAATGTGGAACAAGAGGAGCCCTTGGACCTTACTCTACCAACAAAGACAAAGAACAAGATTACAGACTATTTCAGCAGAATATAAACAATGTGACAAGATTGAAGACATTGTGAATGTATGATTACATGTATGAACATTTATCATCGAGTTAGTGACTATACATGTATTGAGTTATTTCGTTTTACTTTTGTTAATGGATAATTGTATGTTGAAATGATTGCTAATTTTTGTTATGTACGAGACGTAATTTATTTCAAAAAGGGGGCAGTGTAACATTCCAGCAGTTTGTTTCTATAATTTAAGTTTGTATATGTTGTTAGACCTTCATTTGAACTGCTGAATTGTTATTTTGATTTTCTTTCCTTGCTCTGTTCTTATGTGTTATGCTTTATTTTGTATATTTCAAAAGCTTTCCAATATTTTTGTTTTCACATTTGTAAGTCTCGTGTCAAATCTCGTGTGTAGTCTCGTTATATATAATCATTGTTTTTGTATAAATATCCATTGCTAGTTAAGTTTATGATTGTATTATTTGTTTATTGCCGTATATTTGAATTTAGGCGCATTTTATTTGCATCACAACCCGTCGGAAAGGTATTCTTGTGAATTTTATTTTCGTTCCTCAAGTGGCCTAACCACGTGTAGTATCCATTCAGTTTCCGACGGGATAGGACGTTTTTATTTCCACATGGAAAATTCATCATTTAAGGTAATCAATAATTTTACAATATAGATTCATTTGATATCTGGTGCCATTCTTTATTGTACATTTTTAAAGTGTTGAAAGGTGTTGGAAGGACTCATTCTATTCTATTAGCTTGAATTATCAAGATTTTCACCATATTTGATCCGATTTAATATACAGATTCCATTTTGTCTTGTTTTGCCTCATTCAGTCTTCAAAGTCTTCAACCCCCTCATTCAGTCTTCGACCCCCTCATTCAGTCTTCATAGTCTTCAACCCCCTCATTCAGTCTTCATAGTCTTCAACCTCCTCATTCATTCTTCAACACCTTCATTCATAGTCTTCAACCCCCTCATTTAGTCTTCATAGTCTTCAACCCCTTCATTTAGCCTTCAAGTTCTTCATTTCATTAACCCATTACTTAGCTCCTTCCTTGACCTTAATATACACATTCCATTTATTTTGTCAAGCAAATATATTATTTATCTTAATTAAATTACACCTTCAAACTCTATTTGTTATTTTGTGTTTCTAAATCGTCTCCAAGAGCCTCCATGGACCTTCAAATTCCCGTCCCCATCTTTTGAGCCTTAAAAATAAATTTCCTTAAAGAGAGTTAATCAGGAATTTTACAATGCCTTAGTCAACTAAACAAAATCACATGCTTTGAAACCCACGTGAAACATGAAGTCAGTCTGCCTCGTGCCTGCCTGTAGTCCAAGCATCTCAATACCATTGGTTACTATCAAGTTTATCAGGCATATGAAAAAATGTCATTCATCAAATATACAGTGGTCACAGAAAAAAAAATAAAATAGAAGTCAACTTTTTTCAATACTCCAAGACATCGGTGATTTGAGATTCCATAATCTCTTATAATGTCTAGAAAGATTTCCCATAAAATATATTCACCTGTATTTCCTTATATGCAACTTCATACTAAAATAAGCATGAAACATTTCTCATGAATTTGAGTTCAAATTTTGATTAGTGAAGTAGGGGTATTCTCCACCAATTGTTCGATTTTTATGATAAGTGCTCAGGAGTGAATAATTCATAAAGCAAGTGATATTTGTATTACTCTGGTTCATATTCAGATGTTTATTTACAAACATTTTCATTGAAAACTTCTAAAATGGCTCCCAGAAAACAAGATGCCCCCCCCCAAAAAAAAAATAAGCTCTTCAATTTAGTACCCTCTACAAATCTGACAAAAATCCAACAAGAAAACAACAGAGTAGCAAATCCAAACAAACAAAACATGTTTTGATAAACAGCAGCCATTTTGAAAATTTCCTCTTGAAATGAGCTCTTTTGTCCCTATGTATAAGCAAATTTGAACCAAATCTGTCCACTGGGATTTGAGTTATCAACGTTTTTTTTCCAAAAATGGCTGTTATCTCGAAAATTTCTTTGCAAGCAGAGCTCCTTTGTCCCTAGGCATCATCATATAAAATTATGTTTTGTAAGAAAAAGGTAACCATTCCAAAATTCAGCTGCCATTTGGAAATCATTTCTCAAAGTATCAGCATATAAAATTTGAATGAAATTTGTCCACAAGTATTTGAGTTATCAAAGATTACATTTTTTCATGAAAAATGGTGGCTATCTTGAAATTCAATGGCCATCTCAAAAATCTTTTGTTGATCAAAGTTTTTTTGTCCTTATCAGCATATAAAATTTGAACCAAATCAGGATTAAGTTTTTTACGAATAATAGTGGCCATCTTGAAAACCTTGTCTTAGGCAAAGTGCCTTTGTCCCTGGGCATCAGCATATAAAATCTGAACCAAATCTGCCGACTGCAATTTGAGTTATAAAAGATTACATTTTTTAATGAAAAATGGTGGCCATTTTGAATTGAGTGGCCTTATTTAAATTCCTTCTCGAGCAGAGGTACTTTACACCCATAAGGCATAAGCCTATAAAATTTGAATCAAATCTGTCAACCGTTATTTCAGTTATCATCCAAACAAACAAATGGATGGATGGACTGTGAGGATGAACACTACTGCTGAATGCAAATCTGATCAATGTGTCATACAACTCTCTTAATACATGTATTATTACTAATTTATTGTTATTCTACACAACACAGTCATTTGGATTGTAGAATGGGCTATTTCAAAATAATAACTCTTTTTTTCTTTCCTTTTTACCGCTTTTTACCAAATTTCAAGTTAAGCTGACAAGTGATTTTTCAAAATGTAAAGATGAGATTTAGCCAAACACTTCAAAAATGGCTGCCAGAACAAAGATTTACAGCTCTGCAACATGGTACCCTAAAACAGGTGTATACATTTGAAGAGAACCGTACACGTGGTTTTCCAAGAATTACAATGACCAAAGGTGGGATGCCACTTCCATCATGCTCATAATTACGATCATGCCACCATCATGATGAATATATAGCATGGGTGATGGTGATAAAAAGGGGAGTTACTTACCAAATTATACCATGCTGTGACAACTAATTTTTCCTCTTGTTCTCTTACTGCCTTTGCTTTGTCATGGTCTTTCTGCAATGATTAAATAAAAGTACATAAGTTCTTATGCTGTTCATGCAATGACAGAGTTACAGTACACCTTCACGTACTAGTAGAATGCAGTCCAGAGTTTTCCAAGAGTCCTCAATGAGAATTTAGTCTATATTCAACATGTCATGATGTTTTGTGAAAAAGAAGAAATTAATTGAATTCTATTCAAGGAATTGGGCATTAACCATACTATTGAATTACTCTGTTCTTGATTAAATAGATCCTATAGGGTGTTTCACTTTTCCACTTTTTTCTGATCAAGATGGAGTTTTGCCAAGTTGAGCTCCAGGTAAACAAAAGCAAGCACAAAAAATTTCATACATAGAACATAGGTCTCTAACATGATGAAAATGACACTTTCTGCAATTTCAGACAGTTTATTAATAATTGGTAGTGAACGAGTGTAAGAAAATATGGGGAGGTCTAAATGTCAACTGAAATTTTTTGTTTACTTTCCTTTACCAGGGGACCAACTGGGCAAAACTCTTTCTTGATCAGAAAAAAGTGGAAAAGTGAAACACCCTAATATCCTACCTCTAAATGTTCTATGAGTTTATCTTTTTCAGCTAGTTGATTCTTTAATGCCTGGATCTCAGGTGCATTTCCTGGGTTCTGTTTAGAGTCCAAAGCCTTGATAACACTTTTGGCTTTCTCTAGATATTTCTTATACCTCTCCTCCATTGCTTTCATCTCATCTTCCTTTTTACTGAGTGCATCTTGCAAAGTGTTTATTTTATCATTATATGAGCTGATTCTAGGTTCTAGTTCTTCTATATGAGACTTTTTTCGTTGTAAATCAGTATCTAAGTCTCTATTTTTCTGGATATGTTCATTAAGTTTTTTCCTGAGATCAGCAGAGTCATCACTTTGACTTGTCTGGCTCTCTTGTATATCTTCAACAGTGGCTTCTAATTCCAATATACGCTGGTTGCAGATCCTGGAATGTTGAAGTACATAAATAAATCATAAAACATTCAAATGTGTTGAATAAAACGGGTGGTAAGGGGCATGGGGGAGTAATTTGAAACAAGACACAGTGATAATAAGAATCACACTTTTTTACCATTTATCCAACATGTCCAAAACATAATCAGATCTTATTACTGGTCTGTTCTTGCACCTGTAAAAATTGTTGAATAGGTAACCGGGTTTCCTGTATAATTGTGATGACAAGATTTATGAAGCGATGATCAGCTTATCAGGCAAAAATTTGAAAATAAACTTGTTTATATCCCAAAATTAGATGAAGGTACAGTGTCCATACATATAACAACAACAATGATGATGTAAGTGGGTTAAATAACTTACCTATTTTCCGTTTCAAGCTCTTGCTTTCTCGTCTCTGTGTCATCTAACATGTTCCTCAACATTTGAACATTTTCATCATCACTTCCCTCTCGAGATAATTTCAGCATTTTGTTTTCATGTGTCAGCCGTATAATTTTCTCTCTAAAATTATGCACAGTAAAAAGTAAGAATCCAAACACCATTGCAATCAGCTAAATATATTCAGATTAGGAGGTGTTCACATTTCAAGAAATTTGCATTCCTGAGATTCTTGATTTTGAAGGAATGTGACAACATTCTCAATAGATATTTTTAGATCAATTGACAAAGCTTTATGGCATTTAATATCAAAATTTGGAAAATCTGAAAAGATGCATTCCTTAGTCATGTAACAATGACAGAGCTCATTCAATTGGGACATCATAAATACAAGGATTAATCAAAAACATTTGAGCAATTTTGTTTAAATAAAGGTTAATTTGACTATATTGGGAGTTAAAAGTTTTTTTAAAATGAGATTCAATTCCTTTCTAAGGCAATGATATACCTTGCTATGGCAATTATATACCTTACTAGGGCAATGATATACCTTACTATGGTAATGATACACCTTGTTACGGCAATGAAATACCTTATTATGGTAATGATATACCTTACTAGGGCAATGATATACCTTACTATGGTAATGATACACCTTGTTACGGCAATGAAATACCTTACTATGATAATGATATACCTTGCTACGACAATGATATACCTTATTATGGTAATGATATACCTTGCTATGACAATGAAATACCTTACTATGGTAATGATATTCACCTTGTTACGGCAATGAAATACCTTACTATGGTAATGATATACCTTGGTACAACAATGATATACTTACTACGGTTAATGATATACCTTGCTATGGCAATGACATATCTTGTTATGGCAATGATATACCTCACTACGACAATGATATACCTTACGATGGTAATGATATACCTTGCTACGACAATGAAATACCTTATTATGTCAATGATATACCTTGTTATGACAATGATATACCTTACTATGTCAATGATATACCTTGCTACGACAATGATATACATTACTATGGTAATGATATACCTTGCTACGACAATGATATACCTTACTATGGTAATGATATACCTTGCTACGACAATGATATACCTTACTATGGTAATGATATACCTTGCTATGGCAATGACATAACTTGTTATGGCAATGACATACCTTATCTCTGGTGGAACATTCATCAACTCTAACGACCCTGCTGACTCTCCAAGTGGACTGGCTGCTAGTTCACCTGACAATGAATGACTAGGAAGTAAGTTCTCTGCAAATCACAACAAAGCACAGACATCTAGTGTTATTAAAGCTACTACTACAAAGCACTAAAGTGTAAAATAAGAGGAATATTCTCAAGACTCTCTTTAGGACTTTTTTGGTGGCTTGGTACTGCTGCACATAATTTAAAGCATCACTACCATCTCAGCATTTAATTTACAATGCCAATATTAAAATGTTTCACATGGCTACAACACCCACAAAAGTAGCACCTGACAATCCTACAGAGAGCCCTGGAACCATGCAAGAACAAATGCTTCATACATCTTCAAGCAACAGTATTTTAACATAGACCTACAATGCTTCCTGGTCATCTCAACCCCAAGTCAACTCAACCCAGTAAAACTCAACCCCAAGTCAACTCAACCCCAAGTCAAGTCGACCCCAGTAAAGTTCAACCCCAAGTCATATCAACCCTGTAAAACTCAACCCCAGTAAAACTCAACCCTATATTTCCATATATTGATAAACTTATAAGAAAGTTTATTTCATAAAAATAATTCTGATTATTCAGTTTGTGGTTTTCATTCTTAGACCACTGCCTTTTTCGATTATAGTTAATAATGAGTTTATCTCCAAAATCTCAGCATGCTACTAATAGGATTAAAATATGGGTCATTTTATTAATCTTGCTAATACGTTTGTTTTGTTGTAATCCCTATGAGGTTGACACTCGTGATTATTTGGAAAACTGGAACATGACCATTGCTTTCCAGGGGCATAGCCAGCTTTCAGTCAGGGGGTGCAGATCGTGGCATAAGCGAGCCAAAAAAGATATGTTTTGACAAAAAATGATGCAACTTCCTTCAAAATTGGGGGAGAGTGTGTGCGCACCCCTCCTGTGACAACTTGATGAATTATCCTTGAGCTTAATCGTTTTTTGGAATACTTTTACAACTTTCTATTCAAAGTATCATGCAAAATGCTAGATTTTCAGAAATGAATTACTTAAATTATTCATCATAAAAAATTAAATTCGACATTGCACAAATGAATAGGGTTGAGTTTTACTGGGGTTGAGTTTTACAGGGTTGAGTTGACTTGGGGTTGAGTTTTACTGGGGTTGACTTGACTTGGGGTTGAGTTGGACTGGGTTGAGATGACTTGGGGTTGAGATGACCTGTCACCCCTACAATTACCACACTGCCCTACAATTACAACATCAACTCAGCATGCCAGAGAAAACATAAATGTCTTCAAATTGCAATTATTAATATATAAAGCTTGAACAGGATGATAAACATGTAATCGTACCATATTTTAATAGAAGTTCTTGAACCCATATATAAATACTCTTACTAGTTTTTATAATGACATTTCCATTCCAGGCTGTTTTTGGTGTGTTATGAAGATAGCCAAATAGTTAATTTGGATTACAATAAATCAATAAAACTGATTGCCTAATTAAGCGCTCAGAAGATTCTAATGTGTTCTTTCTATATAGATTATTCACAGGAAGGACTGAATATGGGTTTTATACAGAGAGCCAATATGATAATACCTGAGAGAAAAATACTGACCAAGGTGTAAAACCCAAATCCCATTCCTGACCAAAAAAATAACAGTTTATACCATGATATTGAATTATTAAGTTATTAACTATAAGGATTATGAATAATCACATCTACAAGTATGTAAGAAATAATTAACGTAACATAATATGTTTATTTTAGTGAAGTTTCATTGATGACAAACCCCATGTAAATATTTACATCTTGATAACTTAAGAAAAACTAAATTCAAAATGGTGTATATAAAATATGTGGACAACCAGATGAATAGGATTTTTGTGAGGAGGAATTTTTTCAAAATCATTTATATTCCCTGTTGTTATTCATGAAGTTTCGAATCAACTACCACGCAATATTATTCTAAAATCTTACAAATAGACAACTTTGAAGCATTTTCAGATAAACGGCAATCTCAATTTTCAATTTACAATGACTTCAAAAATGGGAGTGATCTCCAAAACATTCTAATAATCAAATAATAAAGACACAAAGCTGGCCAAATAACAAAAAATAAAAAGCAGATATTGCAAATGAAATACATGTATAACAAATTAAGAAAAGCAAAAATGTTAGAAATAAGTTGCAATAATACCAGCATGATATTGCAAATACAAAATCACTATTAGCATGTAAGCATTGTAGCTAGAAAAGGTTGAATTCACTACCAACCACCATTCACACTAATAATAGCTCAAAACCACTATAGAGATACAGTATAATAAAGCGATATTGACTACAAAAAGACATGTGGTTAAATCTAACACATTCATTTGAGCTAGAATAAAACTGCTAGTAATGCGATACTCTTATATCTCTGAATCTATTCAACATTTATATTCAAGGCTGGAACCCTACCGTTTCTCTCTTCATTCAAATGTTATAACAGACATTATTATTTCCATCTACTTTATACATAGTTAGGGTGAGAAGAATGAAAAATCCATATGATTAACTTGATTAACCTGGGCCTTAAATTACAAATCCCTGACATTAGAATATTGAAATCAGAAATATGACAATACCTTGATTTAGCTGATTGAGAGTCAGCTCTTCATTGGTTTCCTTTAAAGAATCACGCTCAGCTGCTAGCCTCTGTAATACATGAGAAGATTGTTACCCTCATTTACATTAAATTACATTCTCCTAATATGACAATCTAAAATGGGTTCACATGGTGGTGGTTCCTAATAGTAATTCCTTCATTCCCAAGTTACCAACTATTTGGTATGCATGAATATGAATATATTTCTGGGTACTTCTTTTGACTTCATCATTTTTTGTCATATAACTGGTTGTCATTTTATAAAATAGGTCAAATTGAAAATGTAGGTCAAAAATAGAAAATAGAAATAAGTTCATCATGGACACAAAATCTCCAAATTGATCAAAGATGTCATAGCATATGTCTTATGGCTCAGTGTGCACAAATAGGAAATATTGTATCTTATTTGAATATACAAGTAAAGGTAAAAGATGGATAACAATTTCATACTGGTCATATTCATTGAATGGTTAGATCAGAGTAACACCTAACTATCTAATATTACTGATCATAGTGATGCCTAATTGAGAAATTGAAATCATGATAATATTCAAAGCTAACTCTATTTGAAGATAGATTGCAGTCTGACTGTAATACCTCTTTATCTCTTTGCAAGGACTGTAGTTTTTCTTGTAATCTTTTTGCTTCAAAAACTGCTTTGTCAGCCCTCTTTGTCTCATCGCCAGCCTTCATTTGTAGCTCTTGCACCTGGCGCTTGTAGAGATCAAGAGAACTCTTCACATTACCACCCTTCCTTAGCTCCTAAGGTAAGTACACAGAGCAGAAAATGATGGGTGAACATAGTTAAATCATATAATAATTCCCTGAGTATAATACTGTCTTATATTGTATGAAGTTCTATTAATTAAATTTCATGAAATAACACTCAAAAATCCTTGATGTTAGCTTGAATTACCTCTTCTAGCTCCAGCTGTTTTTGCATGTAGTTTGTATTCTTCTCTTCCATTATCTTTATTTGGCCCCTTAGGTCACTCAGTTCTTCTAGCCGCTTTTTATATGTTTCTATTGTAGATTCATACTTTGCCTGCAAACACAGGATAGAAAACCTTCATATCTATACAGCTCTCTCTAAAGTGAACACATAAAGTGTTACTTATTGTTAGGACTCATTTCATATTACATTGACAGTTAAGCTCTTAATGTAATTTAGCCACTCCCGTGGCCAGATATTTTTTCAGTTTTACAAAATAATTTTTTTAAATATGACCACTGCACTTGTGATGTCTAGTGTGATGTCACAGTGTGTAAAATTATGAATAATTGGGCAAATAAATTAATATCTATATAAAATGTTTCACATACTACTTTATCTGCCGTGTGGCGGAGGATATCAACTTCATCCTTCAGAGCGCGAGCCTCCTCTGCTAATGAGTTCAACTCATCATTCTATAAATATACATATTTATTGGATCCAACACTTAGTGTACTAAATGTATAGCAACATGAAAAGCTGGAAATATTTCCACAATATACTCCGGTAAAGGAATATATGGAGGATATTGTGATGATATACTCCACTTGTAGATTTTTGTAAAATTTATTTTTCAATGATGTTATACAATTAGTGAACTAAATGAAGATAAGAACATCCTATGATTTTTTTTCAGAAAATTATTTCAATCTACTCAGTGATATTGATATATGCACTCATTCTCTTTGCTCTCTCATGTAGATATTAATATCAACTCGTAAATAAAAATGATATTCTTCAAAATCATAGGATATCCTATAAATATTACAAGTGATCCTATTATATTAGATAAACAGGTAATGTCATTCTCATGATATAATTATTTAAGTTGATCAGTTAACTTTGTTCTAAATTAAAAATAGATATGTATAAATAAGATCGTAAACTCTACTCTGCTGCCATAATGTGAAGACTTTTAAGAAAGAAATCTCACCTTTTGTTGTAAATCTAAGATTTCTTTTTCTTGTAATTCCACTTTTATTCTATAATCATCCCTCGCTGTAAAAACACATGCCAGTATTAGATGGGAAATATTATTGTATTATTATCAATCAACTTTTCAATTCAATTCATTATTTGTTTTCTCACTCAACTAAAACCATTACTATTGTTGGGTAATACAATAAGATGATTTCTGTACATCTTGGGGGGTCGGCTTTAATCATTTAAAATGATGCTATATATAATTTATTTTTAGCTATTTTGACCAAAGTGAACATGACAATATTCCACTGGGGTGTAACAAAAACATTTTACTGATCTATTAGAATTGTGTTCATCATACTACTTACCAGCTTCCATTCTGAAGAGTTCTTCTTGCTGATTTTCAACCTGTATTTGTAACTGATGGTACCTCCGGCCAGCAGGTGTACTGTAAAAAGACAGAAATACTTGTTTTGACATCACAACTATGATTTTGTGATCCCTAAAGAGAGAAGAATGCTCTTTAAGTACAAAAACAAAATATTTCTACATTTTTAATACCCTTTGAAGCTAAAAACCTTTAACCATGGCCTTCAATGTCATGCAAGATCTTCTTTGCGAATGAATTACTATTTCTTAGGGTACCTTTCTTAGTCTATTTTGGCGAACCCAGTGTTGAATTAAATATATTCTTAAGCTACATCAATATTTTTCCATGAGACTTGGTCACAGTGTCCACCACAAACACAGTAATAATCCTGGCAAGTTTCATTATTAAACAGTTACAATAACAAACAAATAAAACATGTTGCTCTCTAAATCAATGTTTTATTTCTTAAGCTATAGTTAAGAGCTTCTGTGTGAAAAGCATTGGCACTTTTGTATCTATTAAGCACAGTGTTATACAGTACAGTAGTACTGTGCATTACACAGAAAGCAGATCCTGATGAACATCCTGTAATAGTTAATCAGGAGCTTACCTTGGGTCATCTAAACTGTCATTTTGATTTTGTTGACTATCTCGTAATCTTTCATTTTCATCAAACAACATTGTTTTTTCTTCAACCAAAGCAGAAACCTGCAAGAGATGGAATTCTATATGAATTCACTGCTGCTGCTGCTGACATCTATGATATGAAATGATGGGTTATACACATATAAGGAATACATGGTTTACTGCAGTTGAACTTGAGTAAGAATAAGGATAACAATAGAATCATCCAAAGAAAAATGGTTTGCTGTATAAAATAATTTCACAGATTGAGACATCTTATGTTGAATCTGTGACAAACATTGATTTGTTGTTATTAAAAGAAATCCAAATACAAAGAGTGCAGGGACTTTGTCAAATATGTACCCTTTGTTCATGGGCATATACTAGGCTGGCAATACAGAACACAATACACATATAGTTAAAATAGTGAGTGCAATGAGCCAAATGTATTACCTGTAGATCTAACTCATGACACCTCTGTTCAGTTTCTTCTTTCTGTGATATGACACTGTTCAACTCAGCTATGGTTCTCTTAAGCTGGTCCCCTATTTCTGAAGATCCTTCACCAAAACCTGCTGGACTTTCCTTGGACATCAACTAAAAAAGGCATTTTATTACATAAGAGAATAAACGGGATACAGAATTATCAATACTATGTGTGCACATACCAAATAGCAAAACACACAGAGTGTCTTAGAATGGTCAAGTCTAAATACATTGTATTCACCCAAAGAAACATCTCTGAAATTTTTAAATGAATGCTTTGAACTGTTTTTCTGGAAACATGATCACAAGATTTTTATACGACTAAAGACCAAAAATATTTACCCAACATCCTTCACACTAATGATCAGGTCTAGATTTTGAAACAAAAGAGCATTTTTAGGAAAAATATGAAATCAATTTTTGAATTGTTAGCCTAAAATGTGATGACAACATTTTTATCTACCTCACTGTGCTAAGTATCAGAGGAATGATAAACTCATGTTCTTAACTATAGCGAAATCATTACACAAAATAACTGGCATAATTTCAATGAAATCTGAAACTTAATGGTGTTTAAATTTTGAGCAGTATTAAAGTGGCACTTTAACCCATACATTTACCTCTTGAATTGCATTCATGACTACATGCTGGACCTCTTCCTCCATGGACATGATCCTCTGAATGTAATCCTGTTTATCATCACAGTTCACTGCACAACCCAGGATCAACTGGATGAGTCTTCCCAGCTCACTGTGGTCACATTTCTCACCTGAACATATAACACAACAAGGAGTCAATTATCAATCCTATATGAAAATATTTTATGATTTTTTAATCAATATACTTAGTCAATCCAAGCAAGTTCTTTTTCATGTCAAGAAATGCATTTGTGATAATTATTTGCTGAATTGACACATTCATTCTTGAACAGAGTCCTATGTTGAAAGGGCATCAACACATAAAATCTTCAACAAATCTGATGAGTGATCTGATGAAGATGACATTCTTGAGAAGATGCCCTAATAATTACTATAAATTGCCTTAGGCATTAAGAGCCTATAGAAATCTGTCAGCTATATTTCGATTTGGGCCAAACTTCATCTGGTGGGATAAAAAGGAAATTGAGATTATATAAGATGTATTATAGATTAGAATCAATGACATGAACATACCTATTGCATTTACATCTGGCATGTGGAAATCACTTATTTGTTGACCTAGGACCTGCAAGAAAACCACAAAAATATCACCATACTGCAACGATGTTTTATCATATGAGAGCATGCAATAAACATTAATGCACATAAAATGCTAATATAGTGATGTACAGTACACGTTTCTGCATTTAGCTTCATCAGGCTAACTCAAAATGTTCTCAGTTTGTAATAAATGTTACTTAAAAAGATTACACCTATTTGGCAATTTTTTTTTTTACTTGGTTAATGATACAATCTCTAATCATGAAATGACTTGCAACACTTTAATATATGCCTGTAGATTTAGATGCAGATATACTACATGTACAGTGTACATACAAATGACCCATAGCATTACCTCTTGATAATATTCTAAGATGCCCTTTAAGATCTTTTTTAGATTGCTGACCTGGAAATCAAAGAATACGAGTGGTTACATTTGTTATGAATTTACTGGAAGGGTTCAAATGGGTAATTTAAATTATAAACTAACTGTATTACATGTATTACTATTACAACTACAGTGAAAAATGTTCTTTATAAGTCTTTAATTTTTAATTTTTTTAAGTCCCTACCATGAACGGATAATTATGGGTCAATAATAAAATTACATCTTTATAAAAATATTTTTATAAAGTAATATTTTGTAATGGTTTAAAATTATGTATATTGACTTACTTTTAATCGCCAATTACCTCCAGATTCTTTCTTCACTTTTGCCATCCATGCTTCATTGAAGAATTCAGGGGCACTAAAACATAAAAACAAAAACTGAACACATGTAAAAAAAACAATGGAATCAAATATTTAGCATAACAGCTATGCCATCTTTCATGACAGACAAAAGTTATTTCAAAGACTTAACCCACATCTACAATATGGGCAGATTTAGCCATTCTTCAATGTATCCCATACACCGTGGCCCTTTACAAATATGTATGTGTAGTTTAGAAATTCCTTATATCATATCATTATAAAATTGGACTTTGTAACTCAAAATCTTTACATATGTGATGTTATCCATAGCCAATGTTCTGGAACACATCATAATTCTTATCACAGGTTTAGCCTGATGTCATAACTTCGGTTCCATGGCAATGTTTTCTGTGGATCTGATTATTTTAAATAATTTAAACATACATTTCCTTGAATTGTTAATTAAGATTTCAGATTTTAGAAAAACTGATACAGAAATAGAGATTTCAGATCAAGAGATTTGGTTTGCATTGGACTTCATGCTAATTAAGACTATCACGATGTATCATATGCATGTCAGGATGTTATGTATGTTTCTCTTTCTCTAATCTGAAGAGGGTTTGTTCCATTGCACATTATTCTGGCCCATTGTGGTTTTCATTAGTTGTAAATGATATCAATTTGCTAATGCTAACTCACATTTGATTGAGTATTTCTGACATGACAACGCCATCTATGACATCCTCAGCTGTCTTAAATGTTGTCTCCACACTGAATGTATGCATCTGAAAGTAAAGTAGAAAAGAGAAAATTACGAACCATAGCAGAAGCAGGAATTAAAGAAAAACCTTAGTATTATCATTTAAATGTTTTACAAAAACCTAAATGGATTGACAGTGACTGAATGTAGCACATTATGTTTTAACCTGGTGATAACTTCTTGAGTAGTTACTTCCTACCATTTTTTACTTCATACATGAGAAATTTGCATGCAAATCCTGTTTTTGGTCAAACGTTATCTCCAGAGGACATAGCATATGTTGACTGTTCAATTAATTAAATACAGCAACTTCTGACATTTATTTGAAAGTTCTGTTTGAATTTTTGTGTCTTATATCTAAAGAAAATTTAGGACCACCGCACATGCGAGTCTAAGGGGTCTTAAGTGTTAGCTTCGGAGATTGAGAAATATCAAACACTACTTAAATTTTAGAAGAAAGGTTGATTTTTCGTCCCATATTCTCAAAGTATGTCGAGTTATCATATTTGAAATCACAGATATTGGCCAGATCGTTTTGTAGTAGGATCTCATAGGCTCAAAGAATAATTCACAAGATACGACACTAAATTGGAAAATTTCAAAAAAATATGACCACCTTTCAAAAATGTTCTTTATACAAAATGGTACCTGCTTCCCCATGACAGATTTTGCACTCATTTTATAGCTGAGATCTTCATCTTTCTATTTCTACTTGTTAGGTTCGAGTAAATAACTTATGGATGCAGTTATTTAACTTTTAATACGGCGAATATTTTCCACGAGATCCGGACTCTTGTGTGTCCAAATATCATTGTACTGATGACGTCACATTTCTGGAACCACGGGAGCACCATTCAGATTTGGACAGACAAGAGTCCGGCGATAAAATATCACTGTTTTGGCCTCTTATCAACGCATTATTGCTTGAATAACGGTCATTGGTGATAAAAAAAGTTAAAGAATAACAAGACCCTTCTAATGAGGTATGATTTGTCTCATATTTTTCAGAAATGGCTGCACAATCGTAATTTTAAAATTTGAAATTTTCAGAGGTGTCTCATCTTGAGGAATTATTTTTGAGCTACTGATCCTACTACAAAAGAATCTGGCCGGGATCTATGTTTGAAATCGTCAGTAGTTTTCAAGAGTACCCGTGTGATAGGACCATTTCCCAAATGGCAAATTATCCAAGTTTAGAATAGGTACAAATCAAAGACGATCTTAGGCGAAAACAGTGTGAAAATATGGATACTTACCCATGTCAAGAGACTCTGACATAGATGATCTCTATCCATGCCTAATATTATGTACTATAACCAACTGATTCGTTAATATTTCGACTTTTTTATAAGGAAAATTTTACACCTATATTTTTCGAAATATGGCTACTGTTAGTCTGCGCATGCGCAATTTTGACGTTTACTTCCTGTACTTCCGGGTTGAAGAAATGTCAAAAATATTATGTTCATTTCTCTAATTAGAGTCTACTAATAAGATGGATCCACAGGTTAATGGGACACTGATAGAAGGAATTGGAGATGAGCTGCTTTACGTAATCACCATTGTAGTTGCAGCTATATGTGTGGGCATAACTTTGTATTTCAGGTTAATTTTTTACTTTTACTTTAGACATCAGATCAGACTCTGATTCAGAGCACATTCGCTACATACATACCTAACGAATCATTTGTTTGGAAGTCAATGGGAAAGTAACAGTGTTGTATGTATAGTATATCCACTGATATTGCACGATTACGACATGTAATTGTATCCGAATCGAAGTGACAAATGAGATATTGCACTGTTTTGTCAAGGATTACAATCAACGGGTCTACCATATTTGAAAAATACTTACTTCAGCGTCATTTAATTGTATCTGTTCAATTGGCACCAGCGAAATTGAGAAAATCTTTAGTGGGCCCCCTTTAGTGAAACTTTGCTCTCAAACTGTCTCAGTCTCAATTAATAACAAATGAATTACAACAGATATAGATCGATTGTATGAGCTCATATTCTACTTTGAGAACAGAGATAGAATAATCTGGTCTATGGACTTATACATTATTCAATTATTATCCCATCAAACAAAGTTCGCAGGGATATAGGGAACGCCTCCGTCTTACTTCGGTCCAAAGCCTTCTCTATGTTCCGGCTTTGAGGAGGAAGATTGAGCTGCCTTAGTATAATAAATATTGTAAATCATTGTGTCACACGCACAGTAAATATGGCATAATAATATGAAATATACCTTTATGTATAGATTTGAAGAACATCAGCTCACATCCCCGTCTGAATCTATTGTTATATTTGATTTCTTAAGCGAGAATAATTTCAAATTTTATTCACGTCCAGAACCGGAAGCCATTTTTAGCTACAGCGAGAAAATTTCACCATGTGTCAAACTCTAGAGTACATACGAAATCAATGAAGTTACGTCTAGCTGTAAGCTAGAGACTCGAGTAACCTCCGTCCATCCATCCATCCGTCCATCACTCTGTCTGTTCATTCGTCCGTACATTTGTCCTTCCGTACGTCCGTCCATCTGGGCAATAACTCAATTTTGTTCATATTTGGTACACATATACCCTATGGGGGTAGAAGTTCTGCTTGAAAGCTGAATTTTAAAATGGCCACTCATTTTAAAATGGTGGCCATTTTAGTGCTGATTTTACATTAATTTAGGTACAATCTGTAAAACTGTAATAGCAATATGTTTTAAATGTAAAAAATTTATAGGAACTTAATTAAGCAAGAAATATATATCGAAGAAGCACATGGCAGCCATCTTGAAAAATGGCAGCCTTTACACGCTATTTTACGATTTTTGCTGTAACTTGAATACTACTGAAGCGATTTTGTTCATATTTAATATGTGAATACTATAAGCTTCGATGGCACACTGTCTCATGACCATTTTGGTAGAAGGCGGCCATTTTGAAAAATGGCCGCCATTTTAACATTTTTTACTATAACTCGAAAAGTAGTGGTGCGATTTTGTTCATATTTGGTATTTGAATACTATAAGTATAGCTCAAAAAGTAATAGAACGATTTTTTTCATATTTGAGTAGCACACTGTCATTTTTACGTTTTTTACTATAACTAGAAAAGTAGTTGAGCAATTTTGTTCATATTTTATATGTGAATACTATAAGCAGGGCACACTGTCTTATGACATTTTGTCAAGTAGGCGGCCATTTTGAAAAATGGCCACCATTTTCATGTACGTGTGCGATTTTATTTAAATTTTATAAATGCCTACTTAGAAGCATATTACACTTTCTGATGACAATTCGGCTATAGTGAACAACTATTTTGAAAATGGTGGCCATTTTTGTGCGTTATTTTACAATTTTTGCAATATACATGTTCTTCGTTTGTAAAAATGCCAACCATGGCTGTTCGATGTTATTTGCTACGCTTTAGCGTTGCTGTTGTTTACATGTAGTTATACAATTCCAGATCAACACAAGATATTCAACATAGAATTCATCCTGCAAGTGAAGCAGATGTTAATAACACAAGAGAGAGACTTGGGAACACACAAAATGGTAATGCACCTCACATGCAGAATTCTGGTTCAAGACATAGTGAAAGAAGGGAAGCGGTTATCACTTGCCCAATTTGTTTGGGAGATGCACTCTTTGCTATTGAGACAAATTGTGGTCACATATTTTGTGGTGAGTAACTCTTATATTAATTATATGTTCATGCCATCAAATAAAGTTTAAGGGATTAAAAAAGCCTAGACTGCTGGCTGTCTGTTTGTCTCTCCGTCTGTCCATCCAACTGTCTGTGAGGGGTGATAGTTATCCAAACAAATTTTTGTTAGGGATATGCTAGTGATAGAGATATACTGTACTAGTGAAGCCCTACGTCCATCTGGAAGATAACGCGAATACTAGTTGATGGATTTTCTTCATATTTGGTGGAAAGATGTATATATTAGTGAATGGTTTTCCGCAAAAAATATTTCAAGATGGCCACCACTTTAAAATGGTGGGAATTTTTCGCAAAAATCTTATGTTTTTCATTTTAAACCAAAGTAATAAATATTAATTACTATTTGGAATTTTGGTAGTATATTCACAACATCTGTCTATTTCACATATATTCAGTGTTTTTCACCCTGACCCCCTGGGGTTGTGAATTCACTCTTGGCAAAGCAGATATTTGCATTAATTTTGAGATGTTTTTGAAGTATAACTTTATTATACTCAAATGCAAGACAATTTAGAGTAGATAGCAAATATTGTATCATTTTTCTGATTTGGACCTCGTAAAATTCAAAATGGCCAACTAATGTGGGATTTTGCAATAATTTTCTGATCTCTTAGAAGTATAGCTATATTATACTCAAATTGAAGGAATTTTAGAGTAGATCACAATAATTATTATGGTATTGTTTTTCTGATTTGTGCCTCGGAAATAGCTGCCTAGAGCAGGAATTCGCCATTACTTAGATATATCTTTAAAGTATGGTTACATGATATTATAATAATCTCAAGTACTTATGTTAAATATTACATTGTGACTGTACACTACAGATTCACGATTTATATAGTGTTTGTTGGGATTTGCTACTCCATGGAGTTACCCATTTCTAGTTCAAATACTAATGGCCTGATTTTGTCTATTTTTGCAAACTACAAACCATTGCTTAAAAACATCTGAAGCCTATATAAGCAATTAATGAACATGTAATTTTATAATATCACATATTTGCTACCCTTTGCATTCGTTTGACTTCACTTCTTAAAAGATTTGCCTGCATTTGTAATTAATTTACTTTCAGGCCAATGTATAATCACATATTGGCAGCATGGAACCTGGTTAGGTGCTGTAGCCTGTCCTGTTTGTAGACAGCAGGTAAGTCTCTGAAAACTCAACAACTGAGCTCTGTACCTGTTATGAGAAATGAAAGATTAATATGCAACCACGGGAACATAGGCATCATTACTAATACTTTGTCCCCGTCTAAAGTTTGAAAATATTTTTTTATCATTCATTTACTATTTGTCATGACTTAAAAAGTTATTTTAGAGATTTTTGAAAAAAGAATTTTTTTGAAAAAAAAGCTGTGAGCATTTCATTTCTCAAATATTCAAATTTCCCGCCATTTTTTCAAAAAAAGTTGAAATTTTTTAATCCTCAAATATTTCTTAATTAATGCATTTCAAAAAAGATTATCTTTTTAACACCAATGCAAAGATTGAACAAATAATAATAAAATGCCATATTTAATGGGCCACTTCAATGTTTAAGCACATCAAAAATATTTTGCAACATTAGTGACTCAGGTGGCAAAAACCTTTTTTTCCATGTCAATCTTTTCTAAATATGCTAGACTTCAATAAAATAATAAACCAATGTTGAATGTCTAACCAGGTTAAAAGGAAGAATATATTATGTTTTAGATATTATTGTACGACTGGTTTCTATGAGAACTAAAATTTTGAAATGCATTTTTCTCTGAACCATTTTCATGGATTGATGAGTTCATTTCTCGCTTATTTATGAACCTATTTTCTTAATTTTTTCGGCAAAAAACATGTGAGGATTTATGCTATGTATTGGTATGAATTGTGGCTAATTAAAAGATATGTGTGACCTCTAGAAGTTAGTTTTAAATAAATTCACAATTTTTTGAACAAAAAGTCTATCAAAAAACACTTTTTGAAATAAAAAAAAAGTTTCACATAGTACACTTTGATAACATTGGGTAAGACGACAATATAAGCCAAAGTGGTTTAAACTTTATATGGGGACATTAAGCTTGATATGGATAATAGCAAAGCCATCTGTCTGTTTTTCAGTCTGTCTGGGGAATAAGTGTTAAATTAGGAGACAGATATTCTTTACATTTTGTGGAAAAAAGCGTAAATATTTTACAAAATAAAGATATTTAAGTGTAGGTAAAAAAACGTTATCACCTTTTAATATTTGCATTTAAAAATCCAAATGGCCACCTTACTGTACCTCTGTGTGGGAAGTTTTGGATTATTGGATATGTGCATATATACAATGAATGGCTTTATTACTTCTAATTGGTACATGTATATTCAGTTTGACATTATTCTTGAAAAAAAAATTGTATCATGACATATTTCAGCATTATAAAAGATTATGGTTCAGGGAATCATAGTTTGTTCATGTGGATTTACTTCTTTATGAAGTCACTCTTTACTAGTTCAGATGAGAAAAATCTGGTTAGAACACTGACATGCATGTACTAAGCAGACTATTTAGTCATTTGGTATCAGTATTATGGTGAAGATTCAAGGTCAAATTAAACAGATTATTGTTTGGGTGCTATTTGACATGAATCAAATCATATTTTGTTTATCATCAAGGACTTCAAAAATACTCAGCTAATAAAAAACATTATTAATTATACAGTAAATACAAATAAGGCCCTTACAAATTGCTAGTACACATGTTTATTATAAAATGGTAAAAAGTACATGGTAAAAAACTATGGCAAACAAAATCAATCTGACCCATTCATTTAATAGTAACATACTAATATTGTGTACCCTTTGCATTCGTTTGACTTCACTTCTTAAAAGAGAGCTTCGTCTTCACTCTTTCAAACTAAAATAAACCTGTGAACTCACCGCGCCAATCAGTGTTCGTCGGCCAAATTTGACCGACGTTCTATATATGGTCATTCCTTCTGACGTCATCGTTGAGCCCAGAATTGACCAATGACATGCGCATATTTAATTATACCACATTTGGCGTATGTTTCTTCAAGCTCGGTGATTGGTGAAAGAAAGGTCAGCGCGTAGGTCAAAAGTGATTTATTACCCAAACTGTCACCGGTACCCGTCGTGGGGGCGGGGCTGCTAAACTGTAATATGGTCTCTACTAGGCAGAGTGTAGTTTAACTAGACTCTGCACGCAGGGTAAATATTGTGAAAACCTCATACACAACCAATGACATGCTATTTACATCTTGTGAGTTTCAATGACGCGCGTTTGATTTTATAAAAAATGCCAAACTTTGTGACAAAGAATTTCATCAGCTATTGCCCCGAACCGGTCCGTCTTCTCGCTGCAAGCAGATTGCCCCGAACCGGTCCGTCTTCTCGCTGCAAGCAGGAGGAAATTCTGGAGGAAATTCTGTCACAAAGTTTGGCATTTTTATAAAATCAAACGCGCGTCATTGAAACTCACAAGATGTAAATAGCATGTCATTTACATCATACTTTGATGGGGAAAAATAGATCCTATATGTTAGAAGTACTAAATAAAAGTTATCGTGAAAATGAGACAGTCATTCTCGAGAGAAAAGAGCATAAATGCGCATTTAGAGAGTTTTGGTCCGTTTAAAAATCTGTAAAGAATTGGGGTACTTGAAAGCATCGAGAGGCATCATATATTTCAAATTAGACACGAGGAAGACAATATTGAGCAAGTTATGGCTGTTTTAAATTCAAATAAAACCGTTAACCCGTACCGGTCCAGCTTTTGACCCGTACCAGTCAATTTTCGTTAGCTGCGTATACCAAGGGTGAATCTGTTTCTTCAAGTCCATGATTTAACCTAACAGACAATTATCTCGTAGGGGCCTAATGTCACATTTAGCTTTTTCTTATGTTTAGGTGTCTCTCCTGCTATTCCATTTTACTGATGGTGAAAGGAATAGTGAGTCAGAGGAAAAGAATGAAGTGATGCGAGAAATAAACTTATACAATAGAAGATTTTCTGGAGAACCTAGAGATGTAAGTAAACTGACAGCAGTGCCCTTTCCCTATCATTGATCTTTAGAGGAACCGGACAGAACCTATTGTCGCACCTCACATCATTGTCATCATGCATTAGATGTAGAGAACTAGGCCAGTTAGAATTTATATTTGAAGAAATTTGAATCAGAGCAGTATAGGGAACCAAAAATAGCCATGTGATATCAAACATTGTCTATAAGTTGACCTCCGATTGTCATATGCGATGTATTCATTGTTAACAACCCAGGTTAACAATCTCAATTTCTTCTGTTGCATTTAGTAATGAATTCACATCTATTTTGAAGATGGGAGATTAATTTATTAGGCAGTCCTTGTGTAAGTTTGATTTCAAATACAACGGTTCATATGTACATATTTGAATACATGTAATGAGAACACAAATACGTGTACTTCCATTATTTGTACTTTCATTTTTATTTTCAGTTGATGGACTATTTAAGAGATCTGCCTACTTTGCTGCGACATGCATTTACAGAATTTTTCTCAGTTGGAGGACTAATATGGATGTTCAGACTTCGAATTATTGTCTGCTTTTTTCTAGCCTTAGTATATTTTCTATCTCCATTGGATATAATACCAGAAGCCATGTTTGGAATATTAGGATTTCTTGATGATTTCTTCATCTTGCTTTTGTTAGCAATATATATAAGCATTATTTATAGACGATTTGTCGAGTCACGTGCTCATGCTGTAGACTGATTCCCATGTACCTTGAACAAGCAAACTTTAAGTTGTTACACATGAAATATAATATACTATGACTGCATCTAGCTGTCAATAGCTGTGTTCATTAATCATGTGTACTGGAAATAATAAAGAATATCTAGTCTGTGACTGAATTTTGTAAAATCATGGGCTTTTGAAAGACCATGCTCAAATACTTCACTTCATGGAGTTAAAATAATTGAATTTTTGATGTAGAATGAATTCATTGTTTTTACTGTAAATTGTATCTAATGTAGACACACTTGAAGAAGGGTTATGTCATGGCCATTTTCCATACTGTAGTTCTGACATTATTTCAAGATCGACCATCCTTCAATTTTTAAAGCAATTTATCAAAGAAATTGAATATATGGACATCTCCTTCCTCAGTTTTAATGAATGGAAATTTCTGCATCTAAAGTGTCCATAACATGTATATTTGATTAGAAATCTTGAAGGCAGAATCAGATCTAGTAAGATCCTGAAGAGTACTCTTGACAAAAATTATAAATATGGTTGCCATTTTTATTAGGCTATTTGGGAGAATTTTAAAAGCTTTCCCCATTTTTGCACTTTTAATAAATTCACCAATTTTTAACATATCATGGATCTTTTGGGAGATATTATATTTGACATTGTTAGGAATATATCGGACGTCAACTGTACATATTGCTTGTAATGTTGTAACTCTCCATAGATCTGATTCTATTCTGCCTTTGATTAAATATGCAGAAAACAAAATCTGGTCTGTAAGGGAAACAAAGGCCTACTCAGATGCACCACTGACTATAGCCTTGCCCAAGTCGGTGTCTTTTATTATACTTATCTTGATTCAGATAAGTAAAAAAAAATACCGACTTGGGCAAGGCTACACTGACTAGTTTATTTGAATTAGGCAGTCAAACTTTTCAAAGTGAAACTAAAAGTGTGTCTTAACACATGTTTTGTGGAAATGATTTCATATATTATGAATGTATTTAATTATATAGTAGAGTATATTTTTGGAAAGTTGATTGTTGTTTTAAAATGTATTTTTAATTTGGAATCCCCTTATTGTTTTCACATGTGCAATTGGCCAACAGAATTTCAGATATTTTTAATAGTTCATATGTATATTGCATTATTTTGAAAAAGTTATTGAATACCTGCAATAATCAAAAACATGTGTGAAAAATGTCATAGATGGGTGCTTATGCATGTCTTGCAAAAATTGGCTCATTGAATTTTGTTCATTGTGTTAAAATTGTTTTGTTTTTTTGATTTAAATTGGGTTATGTGAAAAACAACCCTAATTAATCTATACAAAACAACAGTTTGGTATTCTACAGATTACTATTGTAATCTATGAAAAACAACATTTCAGTTGTAGAACGGTTATATGTAGAATACTATGGTAATCTATCAGAATTGTATTATAGAACAACATGGTGATCTGTAGAAGATTTAGGTAATCCAAGGAATCCTGTTGCCATAATATTCAGTGAAATGAAAGTTCATTTATAGCATTTACATTGTATGTTAAATTTGTTCTTTCTAACTAAAACGTATTTAGCTTTGTACATTTAAAATAAAGAAAATTAAAAATAATTATTAATGTTTCTATTTCTTTTATGGCATGACATGTCCCTCATCAATCTGTCATGTGTATGCTAAGAGATGTCAAAAAGTTATCTATGAAGCAGTATTGCACTTAAAGGTCCTTCTTCGTGAAAAAAAGAACATATCAGACTTTGTGCAGTTGGTACTAACTGTACTGAAGACTACTATGATCATGGGCTTTGATATCTGGGTTGATATCTGCTCGCTCGTGCAGATATCATATCCATTCGTGGATAAAAATCATATCACAAGTAAATCATAGGATATCCTCTATTTATCCCATAGTTGGGGTCAAATCTGTAGAATAACACGTATATATATTTATGATATTTTGCAAATGCGTGGAAAAAGCGATATCTGTGGAATATGGAGAATATTCCAGTAATTCCACAGATATCACTTTTTTCCACGGATTTGAAAACTCCCGTCAATGTGACGTGCATTGTAACATGTTATATGCTAACATGGTGATTTCATGACGTCACAAATATGGAAATGATTAATGTTTTGACTAAAGTTCAGACAAATAAAAACTGGTTGTGAAATGCTTTGGAAGGTGAACTATGGGATGATTTAACCTCAACTATGGGATAATTAGAACATCCTATGATTTTTTCGTGATATTATGTTAATACTCATTCGCTACGCTCCCTCATCCAGATATTGATATCAACTCGTGGATAAAAATTATATCCCTCAAAATCATAGGATATCCTATACATATGCTATTCAAATTCTATTATCACTGTCAAATTATAAATCTGCTTTATATGGGACTTATGGGCTTATTAGCCTTTTGCAGATTATTGACATAGACGATAGATTGTCTTCAGGGGCGGATCTGGGAACCAACAAGGGGGGGCCCAAATTTTAGGTGAGAGAAAAAAGTTTTCCTTGCTTGCGAGGAAAACATTTTGGGCCCCATAGAACCCAAAAGAAGGCCTAAATTTGGAAAATTTGAGGCCCATTTTCTTCAAAATTTGGCCTGAAATTAAAAAATGAGGCCTTCTGAAGGCCTTTTTTTGCCCAAAATTCTTTTTAGGCCCAATTTTTTTCTTCTGGGCCCATCGAAGGGGGGGGCGCCCCCCCCCCCCCAGATCCGCCAGTGGAGTATGTTCTACATGGCTCGGGTAATGGGGAAAACTTTAAATTAAGTGCTGCCATCTCTCAAAGCACTTTGAATTAAAAATGTGTCACGTGACTAAACATAGATCCAAAATGGCGGATATAAAATGTAAAATTTTATTGGCAGTGTTCCTTTCCTTTTTTATCGAATCTGCAGCCCAAGGTGTCTTTGATCACGTGCTTTCTGATGTTTCACCATGCGAGGATATTTGTGTAAACACATTTCCTCTCCACACATATGAAAAGGTGAGAAATATGTAAAAAAAATACTTCAAAAGGTGATGTACAGTTGGGGACATAAATAAATGACAGGTGGATTTGCTGAAGTGAGGATTTCCCATGTTAAAAATAAGAGAATTTACAAGAGGCCATACATCAGTGGATGAGATTATACAAAATGTAAAATATACAAATTTTAAGGGATATGTATCTAGACAATATTGGAAATTATGGGCTTTCAGACCACCATAATTAGGAAATGGTGATCGAAAATCGACCTGTCATTTATTTTTGTCCCCAACTGTAATTTATTTTTCCGCATTTTTTGTGATTGTTTTTGTTTTTCAATTTATAATAATTCTTGTCTAATGATTCTTTCCCATCTCCGTTCTCTCAACTTATAAAGATTGACTTTCAAGATCTCTTGAGAGCCCACGATATAAATCAATACGATATTAGGTGCGGTGGTAGTTAAGGTGACATTTAAGTTAATCAAAAGTACAAAAACATGGGAGCCATATTTTTTTGATAAAGACAGAAGATTTTGTACACTGTTTTCCTTGTATGTGAATGCATTTCCTGACTAAAGAGACACATAAAAGAAATCCTCACATTTAAGGTGACATTTAAGTTAATCAAAAGTACAAAAACATGGGAGCCATATTTTTTTGATAAAGTCAGAAGATTTTGTATACTGTTTTCCTTGTATGTGAATGCATTTCCTGACTAAAGAGACACATAAAAGAAAACCTCACATTTAAACGCATTTTTCATAACTATGAATTGGAGGTGTATGGCTCCCAAAAGCTAGCATGAAGAGTGCGAAGTGAGGCTATTTTTTGAAAGTTTCAAGGAGTAGCCTTGCAACAGACACACATTTGCAAGAATTCAAAATTTCTCGATATAGTCTTACCTTACCAAGGAACAACGAAGGAGCACGAAAATGTGTACTTCTTGCATTGTTAGAGTATAATAAAGCTCAAACCATTGTGAATTCTAAATATTTCATGTCCACCATTTTGTTTCCTGGAACTATTTTTTAGTCCAGAGTTATCTTCATTCATGTTTCCATTGTTTATCATTCATAAAGCCTCTATCATGTATCTATCATGATAATTACACTGTAATAGATAAAACATACAAGTGATAATCCATGCCACTTGGTGTAGTCACAAAACTTGCATGAGGATTAATCAGGAAGTCTAGAAGTAGTTCCGGCAAACAAAATGTGGACATGAAATATTTAGAATTTACAATGGTTTGAGCTTTATTATACTCTAACAATGCAAGAAGTGCACATTTTCATGCTCCTTCGTTGTTCCTGGGAAAGGTAAGATGATTTGTGGAAATTTTAGACTCTTGCAAATGTGTGACTGTTGCAAGGCTACTCCTTGAAACTTTCAAAAATTAGCCTCACTTCGCACTCTTCATGCTAGCTTTGGGGATCCATGCACCTCCAATTCATAGTTTGGAAAAATGCGTTTATGTGTGATGTTAACTTTGACATGTTTCATTAGTCAAGATACACAATTCATATACAAGGTAAACAGATTTTAAAAACATGTGTCTTTATCAAAAAAATATGGCAGTCATTTTTTGTACTTATTATTTAATATAGCGTCGCCTTAAACGCATTTTTCATAACTATGATTTTGAGGTGTATGGCTCCCCATAGCTAGCATGAAGAGTGCGAAGTGAGGCTATTTTTTGAAAGTTTCAAGGAGTAGCCTTGCAACAGTCACGCATTTGCAAGAATTCAAAATTTCCAGATATAATCTTACCTTACCAAGGAACAATGAAGGAGCATGAAAATGTGTACTTCTTGCATTGTTAGAGTATAATAAAGCTCAAACCATTGTGAATTCTAAATACTTCATGTCCAACATTTTGTTTCCTGGAAATATTTTTTAGTCCAGAGTTATCCTCATTCATGTTTCCATTGTTTATCATTCATAAAGCCTCTATCATGTATCTATCATGATAATTATACTGTAATAGATAAAATATACAAGTGATAATCCATGCCACTTGGTGTAGTCACAAAACTTGTATGAGGATTAATCAGGAAGTCTAGAAGTAGTTCCAGCAAACAAAATGGTGGACATGAAATATTTAGAATTTACAATGGTTTGAGCTTTATTATACTCTAACAATGCAAGAAGTGCACATTTTCATGCTCCTTCATTGTTCCTGGGAAAGGTAAGATGATTTGTGGAAATTTTAGACTCTTGCAAATGTGTGACTGTTGCAAGGCTACTCCTTGAAACAATCAAAAATTAGCCTCACTTCGCACTCTTCATGCTAGCTTTTGGGATCCATTTGACATGTTTCATTAGTCAAGATATACAATTCATATACAAGGTAAACAGATTTTAAAAACATGTGTCTTTATCAAAAAAATATGGCAATTATTTTTTGTACTTTTTATTTAATATAGCTTCGCCTTAAGGTAACGCTTAAGTTTATCAAAAGTACAAAAAATGGCAGGCATATTTTTTTGACTAAGTCACAAGATTTTGTTTTCTGTTTTCCTTATATGTGAATGCATTTGCTGACTAAAGAGACATGTCAAAGAAAGCTTCACATTAAAACGCATTTTTTTTAACGATGAATTGGAGGTGCATGGGTCCCTAAAGCTAGCATGGAGACCGTGAAGTGATAACTTTTTAAAATTTCAAGGAGTAGGATTGCAATGGAGACACATTTGTAATACTCCAAAATTTCCACAAATCATCTTACCTTACCAAGGAACACTGAAGGAGCATTAAAATGTGTACTTTATGCATTGTTAGAGTATAATAAAGCTCGAACCAAAGTAAATTCTAAATATTTCATGTCCACCATTTTGTTTGCTGGGACTATTTTCTAGTCCAAAATAATCCTCACTCATGTATCCATTGTTTACATTTAAAAACATCAATTATGTATCTATCATGATTATTATACTGTTATATATAAAGTATACTAGTGATAATCCATGCCACTTGGTGAAGTCACAAAAACTTATATGAGGATTACAGGAAGTCTAGAAGTAGTTCCGGCAAGAAAAATGGTGGACATGAAATATTTATCAGAAACTATGGTTTGAGCTTTATTATACTCTAACAATGCAAGAAGAACACATTTTCATGCTCCCTCAATGTTCCTTGGTAAGGTAAGATGATTTGTGGAAATTTGGGATTCTTGCAAATGTTTGACTGTTGCAAGGCTACTCCTTCAAACTCTCAAAAATTAGCCTCATTTCACGGTCTTAATGTTAGCTTTGGGGACACATGCACCTCCAATTCATAGTTATAAAAAATGCGTTTAAAAGTGAAGTTTTCATTGACATGTCTCTTTAGTCAAGAAATGCATTCACATATAAGGAAAACAGAATACAAAATCATGTGACTTAGTCAAAAATATATGGCTGCCACTTTTTTGTACTTTTTATTAAGTTAACGGTTACCTTAACAGGAAGTGACAAAACAAAAAGTGACAAAACCAAGCTGGATTTTGAAATTTTTTTGAACCAAGATAACAGAGTTCCGTATTGACCTCTAGTCAGTTAAATTAGTTCCACGTGTCAATTACATGACCAGGATCACAATGTACATGGTCAAAATGACCCTAAACATGATGAAATAATTTTTTCAGCCCTCTGAAAATGTGACTGAAAAATAGCTAAAAGTAGGCGCTTAGGAAAGGTCATTTAAGGTTCAGCTGGAAAGTAACATTTTGGTAAAAAATTGCTATACCTGCACATGTTATTTTCTGGTACATAATTAAGTATGAAGGCATGTGTGTATTTCCTTGCTTTTTTCAGGAAAGTATCATTACACTGTCTACTTTTAGTAAACCTGGAACCAGGTCAATGGTAGCTCCTGTGTTGTCTGGAAACTTTGAAAGAAAATTTGGAAAAACAGGAAGTGTCAAATATCAGAATTCTTCGAGTTCCCTTTGAACGCCTACCAGATATTCTAAAAGAAGACAATGTAATGATACTTTCCTGAAAAAAGCAAGGAAATTGATACATGCCTTCATACTTTATTATCCCAACGAACGAAGTTCGGTAGGGATATAGTGAAGCCCTCCGTCCGTCCGTCCGTCTGTCCGTCCGGAAGATAAGTCAAATATTAGTTGACGGATTTTCTTCATATTTGGTGGAAAGATGTATATTGATCGATTGTTTTACGCAAAAAAATTTTTTTCAAGATGGCCGCTGCTTTAAAAATGACGGGACTTTTTCGCAAAAATCATAAATTTTTCATTCTAAACCAAAGTAATTAATATTATTGTTTGAAATTTTGGTAGTATATTCGCAACATCTATCTATTTCACATATATTCTGTGTTTTTCACCCTGACCCCCAGGGGCCGTGTATGGGGGTCAGGAAAACAGAAATTTTCGCTAATTTTTAGATCTTTCTGAAGTATAGCTTTATTATACTCAAATGAAAGGCAATTAAGAGTAGATTGCAAATATTGTATCTTTTTTCTGATTTGGGCCTCGTAAAATTCAAAATGGCCGTCTAATGTACGATTTCGCAATAATTTTTCGTTCCCTTCAAAGTATGGCTATATAATACTCAAATTGAAGGAATTTTGGAGTAGATCACAATTATGGTAATATTTTTCAGATTTGTACCTCAGAAAATTCAAAATGGATTTTTTCAAGATGGCCACTGCTTTAAAAATGATGGGACTTTTTCGCAAAAATCATAAATTTTTCATTCTAAACCAAAGTAATTAATATTATTGTTTGAAATTTTGGTAGTATATTCGCAACATCTATCTATTTCACATATATTCAGTGTTTTTCATCCTGACCCCCAGGGGCCGTGTATGGGGGGTCAGGAAAACAGAAATTTTTGCTAATTTTTAGATCTTTCTGAAGTATAGCTTTATTATACTCAAATGAAAGGCAATTAAGAGTAGATTGCAAATATTGTATCTTTTTTTCTGATTCGAGCCTCGTAAAATTCAAAAAGGCCGTCTAATGTACGATTTCGCAATAATTTTTCGATCCCTTCAACATATGGCTATATAATACTCAAATTGAAGGAATTTTGGAGTAGATCACAATTATGGTATTATTTTTCATATTTGTACCTCAGAAAATTCAAAATGGCTGCTTTGCAGGAATTCGCAATTCTAAAATCTAAATTTTTCAATTTTAACCAAAGTAATGAGTATAATTGATTGGAATTCGGTAATTGATATTTTGTTCGTTGGGATTTGCTACTCCGCGGAGTTGCCATCATCTAGTTTTGTACCAGAAAATAACATGTGCAGGTATAGCAATCTTTTACCAAAATGTTACTTTCCAGCTGTACCTTAACAGAATCTTTTGAATTTTTCAGGAAATGTGCCTAATATAGTGCTCTAAATGATACAAGTTTGAAAATTTGATGTCATTCATAGAAAAAGAAAAAAATGAAAAAAACTAATTGAAAAGCGATCTATTTTCCTTTTTATGATCGCTATTTTTGTTTCAGACGATTTTCTAAAATTTCAAAGATTGCATCATTTAGAGCAATTTATTTGGCACATTTTCTGAAAAATTCAAAAGATTCTGTTCAGTGACCTTTCCTAAGCGCCTACTTTAAGCTATTTTTCAGTCACATTTTCAGAGGGCTGAAAAGGTTATTTCATCATATTTAGGGTCATTCTGACCATTTCTATTGTGTTCCTGGTCATGTAAATGATATGTGGAACTAGTTAAACTGACTGGAGGTCAAAACAGAACTCTGTTATCTTGGTTCAAAAAATCCAGCATGGTTTTGTCACTTCCTGTTAACTACCACCGCACCTTAAGTTAAAAATCACAATTGAAGAAAAAATTCATAATAAATCTAGACTCACGTGCGTTGATACATAAAATTTTAGATTCACTAACTCATAATTCATTTCCGCAAACTAAAATTTTAATCTCATTCAAGAACATGAACATTGTCACGGTCATATCAGGCTTTAACATTACCACGGTCATGACAGGTCTTGCAATATAATACAGCATTATGTCTTGCATAAGTCTTGCAATAGATAGCATGTGATTGAAGTTTGCTCGACCAACGAAGCTGGCGTCATTATTGTCTGACATTTAGCTGGCTGTAAATTCACAATCAGCATACAAAATATTGAAACTAATGGTCATTAATTAAGCCACTAGTAATGATCTTGATCATTTCTTGTGTGTTTTGAATTTTTTGTTTGGTAATAAGACCAAAACTTGCGATTCAAATTTTGAAGTGAGAAATATGACTCCAGGAGCATTCTGACTTCCAATCCTCCTTGGACTGTGGCTATACATATGCCATTTCAATATATTGAGTTAACAGGTTGAAGATAGGCTACTGCCAAAGATGCCCCCTGCAAAAATTCAAATTGCCACATTTATTTTTAGTCCAGTACCAGTTGTCCCTATACACCAGAAAGTAAAGATACAAATACTCTGATCTTAAGAGATTTAGGCGTTTTGCAATGAAATTGCTACAGATTGAAGAGGAACATTAATTCAATGTGTCTACCAACTCTCATCGCATATAGTCTAAACCAGTTAAAGTTACAGTTGTCATGGTTACGGAGGTGCGAGGTATGTGGAGCAGTTCCAGATCATCGCTAAAATCTGATTAATTGCTAAAATATAACCATTTGATACAGTCTTCATCATTGTGTTTTCTATCAATGTTTTGTTTTCTTCAATATTGTATTATTGTTGCTATTATGTTCTCTTATGTATAATGGTGTCATTGATACATGTCAGAACTATGTTATGTCATCAGTGTAATCAAAGAAATATTATACAAGTGCTTAAAATAAAAGTTCCCTGGGTTAATAAGGAAAGTCAATATTCCACCTCCACAATGCACAAGTTCACAAACCAAAGCCAACAAATCTCAAAATGGAGTGTCTTGACACTAAACCTTTTTGTACAATGCCCCATATTTACCTGAAAAGGCCCCTTTAGACTTTTACCTTAATGAGCATCTCAAAGCGATATTTGTTAAAAGTTCAGTATTCAAATGAGTCTCAACTGGAAGCGAATGTCATCAGCAATCTGAAGACGAACAGCAGCGGTTTTGTCCAGTCTTTGAATCTCTGTTCAAGATGCACCATGAACATATTATAGACAATGCGGGGAAAACACAATACCATAGTAGTCATGTTTAATGATAAAATAACATTAGAGTAGTAATCCTCATGCTGTTTTGGGACATAATTTGATGTTTTATTGTAACAAATGGGTTGTGTGCCAAGATGATATGAATAGGAAAAAGATTTATAAGACAATAAAAATTAATTATGACGCTGCTCCACATACCCCCAACTCCCGTTACCATAACGACCATAACTTTTTCATTTTGAAACTATATGTCATGACAGTTACAGGATATATTGCTGAAATGTCATTCTACAATCTGTAGCAATTTCATCTCACAACAGGTAAATCTATTGAAGTTAGAGCATTTGTATCTTTACTTTCCGGACACCCTGTATATGCACCAATAGCCACTACTAGAGAAAGTTAATTTTGATTCGCAAATTTGATGGCATTCACACAGATATACCGTAATTAGCAATATAGCAAGTTATCAAAATAAGTGAATGATCCCTCTTATTTGGTAAGTTATAGGTGATATTAGTTCAATAAGTTAACCCAATCCAGCTTAATTTATTAATCTGAATTTTCTTGGGGTCAATGCCAGATAAGAAATGAGGCCAGATTAGGTTTACCGGTATGTGTTCATTTTACTAGGCTGTGTTCGTTTCTAAGTCCGGGATATTCACTTGATCAACTTATATTACACTCTCAATTCAAGGAAGTTGGGTCTTGTCTTGTCCCAGGGGGGAGCGGAGGGAGTGGTCGCTCCCCCCTGGCTAGAAATTCTTTCAATATAATGCAGTTTTTCACTGTTCTGCGCACTTCTCACATGATTTTTTGCCAAAACTGTCAAAAAGCCCCCCCTGGCAAAAACTCCCCCCTTGGTAAAACTGCATCCCCCTGGTAAATCCTGGCTACGGGCCTGTGTCCTTTCAACTTTTAGTTTTGTCTTGCATTTTGGCCACTCGTTTTGTACAAATGTGTCCACATTAGAGCATTGCAAACATACATTAGCTGTTAAGTAAATCAAATTTATTTTTCTGCTATATACATGTAATATAAACATATATTTATTGCTTCACACTCTAGAAGCCCAGAGATCATTGATATACAGTATTATTGATTTAATGTTGTAGTTTGTCTTGTAGCAACATTCACAAAAATAATATGTTCAGAAATTTTTGCAACATGAGGAGGTAGTTCTTTTTAAAGTTAGTTTCTAAAGGAAAAATCAGACAGTTCAAACAATAATTCCATTCTGTGCCAGTCCTTTTTGTAATTTTTGTATTATTAGCTGGTCATGAGGTTATTTTAGGTTGTTTGTGCACTTGAAGATATTTCAATTCAATAAGCTAAAATTGACATTTTTGCAATTTATTTTGTGAAAATGCTGAACTAGCTAATTTCATCATTTTTATGTCACCACCAAAAGTGGTGACATATTGTTATGGTCTCCGTTTTTTTGTGACGGCGGTTGGAGGTTGGCGTCCGGCGGTTGGAGGTTGGCGTCTGGCGTCTGTAACAATTTCTTACAACTTCCTATAACTTAACAAATACTGTTTAGACTGACTTCAATTTTTTTCTAAATCATCTACATGTTCTCAGAAGTTCAAATCTGACTTTAGATTTGACATTTGACCTTCAATGACCTTCTCAAGGTCAAAAAGGTCTTTTTTCAACTTGCTTCACATTGACTAAATTTTTTTTCAAAATCATCTACATGTTCTCAGAAATTCAAATCTGACTTTAGATTTGACATTTGACCTTCAAATCTGACTTCAGATTTGACATTTGACCTTCGATGACCTTCTCAAGGTCAAAAAAGGTCAAAAAGGTCTGTTTTCAACTTGCTTCAAATTGACTAAATTTTTTTTTCAAAATCATCTACATGTTCTCAGAAATTCAAATCTGACTTAAGATTTGACATTTGACCTTCAATGACCTTCTCAATGTCAAAAAAGGTCAAAAAGGTATTTTTTCATCTTGCTTCAAATTGACTAAATTTTTTTTTCAAAATCATCTACATGTTCTCAGAAATTCAAATATGACTTTAGATTTGACTTTAGATTTGACATTTGACCTTCAATGACCTTCTCAAGGTCAAAAAAGGTCAAAAGGTCTTTTTTCAACTTGCTTCATATTGACAAATTTTTTTTCAAAATCATCTACATGTTCTAAGAAGTTCAAATCAAACCTTCTTAAGGTCAAAAGGTATTTTCCAACTTGCTTTAAATTGACCAAATTGTTTTAGGTGGTGACATTTTGTCATGTTAATGCCTTGTTGAAATTATATTTAGATTGAATTAGAATTTTCTAAAATTGACATATTCTTTTCAAACTCCATCTTAATTATTTCCAGGCTGATCACCTATGCTACTGTAGAAGAGGATGCAGGCTATTCTCTATAGTTGAATTTGTTAATGATAATGCAGATGTCAACAAAACCAAAGAAACTTGCAGAGAATGTAAGTACATGTTACTTACTTACAAAATATATCAAATTGTATATGCTTTTATTGAAAGGTGATGGCTGACCTTGCCAGAAGTAAAAGCAGTTATTTGATTGGATTCGTCAAAATTAGATAAAACCTGTTCCCTCAGTTTAGGAATATTGAGGGGAGGAGTAGTTATGGTGTAAATTCATATTTGTTGAAAAACTCTTGGGTAATTTAATCAAAGGGGAGACATTTTTCAATCTGTTGCTTTATATATCACTTCACAGATCAATAAATGCATTACACTGCATGATGTCAAATTTTTATGAAATTGAATTCTCATTATTATAATTTTGAAATGGTGCATTTAGTTTTTGCTCACGGCATTCATTTACATTCGAGAGTCCTAGATACACTGGGTTTTTTTTAACACCACAATTTTTTAATCTGTATAACTATTACTTCAATCTGTATAACTATTATTATGTCCATACCGCAGATACCGCTACCATATAGACATACTTGAATTTATTAATTATATAGTATATTGTCAGCCTTGGCTTGAATATCCTTATGTAGATGCAATTCAAAATGGAGTTCCTATTCCACATAAATCTTTTATTGACTCAATAATCATGTCATATAAATGATATATCAGTCACTGCAGTGTACAAAACTTTTAACTACAAACCACAACTACATACTAACTCACTGTTCCACAACTAGTTACTTTCGTATCCAAGAGGTTCATCCATTTTATTACATTGACGTTCATTAACTAGTCGTGGAACAGTGTAACTGTAGAAAACTTCTTTTACACCAGTTTCACATGTTAGGAGTATAATAACAAAAAAACATCAGTCTGGTGTATCCATAATACATGATTTTAAAACATGTGTATATAATATTAATAATTTTTTCTAAATGTTTGAGAGTGATTTTGGTTAAATGTAAGTCAACAGGAGAGGGTATCTAAGATGAAGGTTCAATTTGGTTAAACGTGAAATAAGTTTCTGCTTTAGAACTCTTAATAACGGCTTTGATTCCCTTCTCATTTTATTGATAACTTTAAAAGCCATTTGCCATCTGTGTTAGAATTTATTTTTAAAAATTGATTTTTATGAAGTATTAAACACTGTCACATGACAGAGTATCATGATTAAATATTGAAAATATTGATTCATAAATCTGTTATGATATAACTACTGTAAAACCTGTCTAAAGTGAGAGCTGACAAGTGATCATTTTAAGCATCGTTTTTGCTATTTCGAAGGAGTGATCTGTTAGATGCTCTTTGATCCCATATTGAACTGTGTGTTTCTCTTGTCATCTTTTTGTAAAATAGTGTTTGTTTTGTCGATATTACAGTGAAACACGTTTATCCGAACACCTCTCTAATCCGATCACCTCTCAATGTGAACACTTTTTTCAGTCCAGAATTTGTTATCTTCCATTGATTCACATGTTCAGAAACCTTGAAATGTGAACACCTGCTAGTTTGAACACTTTTGGTCGATCCAAGAGGCGCTCGTGTTAGACATGTTTTACTGAACATTTATTTATTTTGGCTGACAGTAAGATGACCTCCTTTGGTCAGGTATCTCCAGGCCAGCCAGGCTAGCTTCCCATTTTGTGTAATAACCCCATCATGTATGTGTTTCAGCCTGCAAGGAAGCATATCCAATAAAAGAAGATGGTGATGCTTGTATTATAGGTTGTGCAAGCCAAGTACCATTTGCCATCAAACGACAACAACAGGTATGAAATTGTAATAATATGAACCAAAAAATTACTGACATTGACTTCACTTAATAAATTCAAGCCATCACTTTTTCATATGACTAACAACGATACAGCCATCTTTACCCCAAGAAGATGTTTTTTTTGTTTTTTATATAGATATTTATTTCTCCTTTCTACATAACATATTCTTCATAGGAATTATCAAATGTATAGAGATTTTCTTGATAGTAGTCTTAAAAACTTCAAGCTTAGAAAGTGAAATAATGTTATTCCCCAAAAACTACTGGAATTCCAGATAGATAGAGTTCTCAAAATTTTCACAGTCTAACTCAACCATTTTTGACAAGAATCATTTGCATCCCTTCATCTGGATCACTACTTGCAAATATGTCCCTATTTAGTCCAATTAACATTTAAATCAATCAATAGTACTTGGCACAATTTGTTATATATGTTCACGTTCCTATTTCCGTATTATTCCGTTCATATTCATCATTATGTAGTCATGGACATCACAAATTACATATAATCCTCTCTTATCTTATCAATGAAGCGCATATACCTCCCTTCACATGTTGCCATACTGAAGTTTGTTAGCGATGCAACATCGCATGTATCAGAATCTGTGTTTGTTTCTTTGGTATCTTTATCAATTTTGCACTCAGTTGATTTGTTGTCCATCTGTTTCTTAATATTTACATTGCAGCCTCTATGTTTTCTTTCCATATTGTCTATTTTAGTTGCGACATGTTTCATCTTAAGTTCTGTTGCACAAGACTGGTGTCTCTTCACTTTATTATTCGTTTGTGTACTTGTGTTTACTTTGTTGATTCTGTCCTGGGGAGTCTGTAATAATGAAGTAAATCCACTGTCTTCTGTATTTGGTGAATTCTCTGTATCAGTGTTATTGTTTACAATTTGACTGTTATCAGTATTGATAAACACATCATCACTATATGTATTTTGACCAGGTTTCACAGGTGTTGACTGTTCATGTAATCCTATTTGTTCATGGTTTGGAACACTACTCACTATTTTTTTACTGGCATTGAAAGCACTAATCCTATTTGTGTCTCTCATTAGCCTACTTGGTGATTTGCTTCTAGTTTCTGAACTTGGGTCACCAAGAAGGTGTACTACATATTGCAATGTGATAGATGTTCCATTATTTGTTGCATTTATCTTATATCCTCCGAGGATGCACCCTTCTTCTTGTAGTTCACTGATCAGATGCTCCACTATCTTAGGAATCATTGTATCTCAATATATTTCTTCTAATGTTCTTTATTTCACTGATTTTTACTATCTTTTACGAGCAAATTTTTTCCTGCTTTTCGGTTTACCACCTTTTATATACCCAAGAAGATGTTGCCACCTTTCATCATAACAAGAAAATGCAGCAAACTCCATGTAGTCAAGCTCCCCAAGTCAAAAGGTTGCCTAGCCCAGGCCCTGATACATCAAAAGAGCATCAATTCATTGTTATATGTTCAAAGCCCATTATTTCCAAAGATGTATTTTTTCAGTTGGAGTTGGAGGCATTGGAAGAGCCAAGCATACATATGCTCTTCCCAGTGATGATGGTACATGACATGTATTCAAATATGGTAGATAAATTACGTAATCAGATGACAGTTAGCTGGTCCTTCTACATGCAGGCGGATGACGGCAAAATGATTGTCATGAAATCAGAGCCTCGTTTTGAGTTCAACACTGGCTCCAGCATATTAGATGGTAATTGTGTTTAGTAATTTCATTGGAAAATAATGTTGCTAGAATTGTGCAGTGTATGTACTTGGATGAGTCACTTGATGCAAAAGGTTAGGTAGGTGTTTCATAAAGGCATCAACAATTAGCCTGTACACCCTGTTACATTATGTGGAACATATTATACATGTATATTGTATACCAATCCTAAATCAGTGAATACTTAAGAATTATTTGACTCTTCTGATTTCTTGGGAACTTTCTTATTGTAAATTACGCTGAACCATGAATATACTGGAAATGAAGCCCTTTCATGATTGGGATGTTTCCATATTTGGCTTCATTGTTTAATAGAAACATTGGATGTACATATAGTATTTTAATTGTCACCTAGTGTTAATAGAGAACTGCAAGTAGTTTAGAATTTATATTGATCATACCATTCATATACAGGGTGGGCCAAAAAACACCACTTTTTTCAAAATGCTATAACTTTTTAAAGTTTTGATACAAAATCATAATTTGCATACCAAATGAAAATTGAGGATGCTTTCTAGCCATGGATTATGAATTGTACACTTTTACTTGAATAAAATATGTCACCAGTGTCTCACTTAAACATATGGTTTGCCATTAGAAATAAACATAATTTGCAAAATGTTCCTGAACTGATAGGGCCTGATGACCACCAAGCTAATAGTCCTGATGCAATCCCCAGTGAGTATAGGGTATGGGAAGGTCTCCAGGAGATTGTATGAAGGCACCCAATCTAAAAAATTGCCCAACAAAAGCTGGCAATTAAGACAGGTTGAAAGAAACTTAGCCAACATTTCACTGATACTGCTATATCAGCAAGGCAACTAAGACTAAAAGCTATCATCAAAGAGGGTGGCAGACCAATTGAACTCCTCTTTTAGATCAAATATAATTCAAGTTGAAGGGCTTGTTACATTATATTATTCCTAAGAACCCCTGGGGTATGTAGGTTGGAAAATAAAAAAGGTAGTGTCTTGAAAAAAAGTAGCGTTTTTTGACCCACCCTGTATAATGATAGGAGTCTTCAATAATTCAACCCCTTATGTTTGTTCTACTTATATAGGATCCAAGACTATGAACTACATTGACACCAACCTGGCAGTCTTGGACAACTCAGCCACTCCCAATGTGAAAAATTCTCAGATTGATACATTCGAGCGTGATCTCCGTGACATTGACTTTAGTATGGAAGAAGCAGACAGTCAGAACTCATCTGATTGGCTGGAATGTATAGCTAAGAAGACGGGATTGTCTAGATTGTTCCTGAGTCTAACGATCCTTTGCTCTGCCTTGGCTATGATTTGGTTATGTTTTACCACAGCTGCTACTGCTCCTGACCAGAAACTTAAACCACAGGTTAGTTAGCAACCACATAGGTCAGTTATTTGTCTACCACAATGGGCATTTTAGTAACCATATTGGGTATCATTTAGGAACACATTGGGAAGTACTTAGTTCTACATTGTACTTAATCAGGTATCACATATTTATATAAAATCTAATAGAATTTAAGCCCAGGACTCTATAATTGGTTGATTTGATGAACTAGTTGTTATATGCAAGCCTTTTACTGAGGCTGTCGGGCAAGTTAAAAACTATTTACAAAAGAAACAAGTTTTTAGTCAACCACAAGTCATTGAGTCCTTTGCTTTAATTCTTTTCACACATGTCAAAATATTTTCGATATTATTAAAATGATTGAAATTCAACTAGAAACTAGGCCTCAACATTTTCACCTGCACAAACACCTAGTGGTTAATCATTATGTGTGTTCTGATAAGGCAGAAATTAATTCCTATCTATACATGTATGTGAATCAGGAACCACAATGTTGTTCCCATTTTTAGAACTAAGTCTACCTTTTTATTATATTTTATTTTCCAAAGATATCTAAAACTGATCAAAATATTCCACTTTTTATTCATGTCATAACATGAATGTTGATAGTACAGTGTAGTTTTCAAAATCATTATGTTGATGTAGAACCATTAACCACGTTGCCTTGTTGGAGGGCACTGTACCTGATGAGTCTAAAATCATGTTCATTCTACAAGAAGTGTGACTGGGGATTCCAGATTTTATGTTTCAAAATGTCAAATCAGAATCACCTGCTTAGACGAACGAACCCCTGAGGAACAAATTTCCGAGTCTTACAATCATTTTCCTTTTTGTTTCAGAAACTCAGTATTTATGGAGACCTGGAATATTTGAAGGAAATGGCGGTGCAGAAAAAGTTATCCTTGGCTGAATATCATCCTCAGGCTAAAGCAGAAGCCTTTGCATTGCCTATCAAAGTTAAAGTGGAGCAAGTTTGAAGACAAAGAAATGGTTTAGATCTGTAAACATCAAACTTGAATTTAAATACTTATTGGACATTCTGTGCTCTTAAAAGTTACAATGATGAAAATTTACAATTTATTTCTCACTCAAGGGAACCAATTCTATAATTTGAGACTACAAGATATATTTACATAAAATGTCTCAAAATTCCAGAAAGTAGGCGAAGGGTTTGTTTTATTTAGATTTTGAAGCAATTTAATTCAATTTATTTTGGGGTGCATTATGAAGGGTTGTAAATAGAAAGTATGTATATAAAGTATATATTGATTATTCTAGTATATGTGGTAAACATTCATGTAAAAATGTGGGAAAACAAACACGAGTTTCGTGCTGGTATTTATGAAATCATGTATGTGTAGAAGAGTATATGTGAACACTTCTATATAATATTAACACACCATTTAGAGATGGCCCTCAACTTTTCACTTTGAATTGGAAATATCGAAAAGAATATGCATGGTCTTTCTATACAGCTTGCATTCATGCAGTACTGTAAAACATATTCAAACATGACATTTCTCTCATTGAGTTTCTCAACCAATCAGAATGCAGCATAGCCATGCTCTATATCTCCATTCATGAATGACCGTACATCTATTCAATCATCCAATCTATTATTGTGTTGAACTTTGAAGTCACACCTAGGAATGGCAAATATAACAGCAAGTCTGGTTATTTCATGGATTTCAATCCCCAAATCTCAAAACAATCTTTTCATTTTTTATATTTGAATCAGAATAAATAATGATAGGCCATTCAATATGGTGAAATTCTACACTCGTTAGACAGAATGTCAGTACAAATGCACTCACCTTTGATTTATGCTTCGCACAACATTCTGTCCAACTTGAGCTGAATTCATTATTTTATTCCTTAAATAAATCAAAGAATTGAATATGCTTTACAGTATCTCTTAACAGACAGGGTTTGTGGTTTCAAATTTTGTATGAATTGATAAATATAATTTATAGGATCAGATATTTGTGGAAAATTCATGGAAAGAATATTTGGCAAATTGTTTTTTACTTCAATATTAACTGGGTGTTAGTATCATGCTAGTTGCACTAAATGATATTAATATTTTCATATAAATATGTGAAAATTGTCAAAACTCATTTTAAAGTGTGTATTCTGATTGGACAGTCTGATGTCATTGTTCTGATCCAGGAAGTTTATAAAAGATAACAGAAATCTGATTTCTGCATTATATGTATTTCATGAGTTGAAATATTGACAAGGTGAATTACAGTCCATGCTGGAATAATCAGTTAATAATAATCAGTAAATTTACTTAAAATTATCTAATGGGCCAGTATTTATGTCACATACTGCACTTGTATTGATGAGAACTATACATTGCAAAACTGTTATGATAACACTTCCACAGAGGAATGGCAATGAAAACATTCCATTAACTTACACCTGCTGACATTTCACTTCTCTATGATATTTTTTTCCCCCAGTTTAAGATGCTGTATTAAAGATTGATTTTGAAATGGAAGTTCAACTTTACTCTTGGATTGTGCAATAAAAAAGCTCAAATTTTGCTAGAACAGATTGCCAAAGTAAATATATACATGTATCTACAAGTTATTAACGCTTTGGAATATTTTTGTGAAAATAGTAAAGAAATAGTGTCAAAAATAAAACAATAGCATAATAATGTAAGGGAAATATACACACATAGACAAATAGTATTTGCCATTTTGAAAATTTGTGTATATATTTTGAATCTAATAAAGAGTGAATTGGGTGGTAATATGAAATTTTTTTTAAGTTATTTCATATAGATCAGTATACACCATTATTTTGTGTAAGAATCCCTGTCATAACAAATAGAAAATGGCTTTTTTATGTCACCACCAGAAATGGTGACATACAGTTACAGTCTACAACTTTTTTTCAGTTGGCAGTTGGTGTTTGGTGTCATTATGCATGTTTATGCCTTGTTATAGTTTTCATTTGGCTCAGAAGCATCTGATTTTAGTTTTGATATTGAACCATAAATCATGGTTGCATGTTTTAATTTGATCTGATATGAAATGCTTCTTTCAAGTCAGACTAAAAGAGTTACCTTGCTCTCTCAGTTCTGAAATTAACTCAAAGGGTCAGTGATTGAAATTGGCTGATCACTGTTTATCCCACATTGAATTTGCTAAAACTTCATCCCTCCCATAATCTGTCATATTTCTAATATGATCACACAGGATGATGGGGCAGGTAAGGGGTGAGGGAACAAACAAGATGGAGTAGGGAGAATTGAGAGGAGATTGAGTAACACGAGACTCAATGGCAACACTAAATGTTTGTAGTACTGAAACATAGTTGAAGTAAAAAAGGCAAAAGAAAGATTCATTCCAGTGTATGATATTTTGGTGGGAGGAAATATTTGCCATACCAGAGTATCAATTAAAATGTTACCTTGGTGTGTTCCCTTCTGGCAATTAACAGACGCTTAGTAAAAGTGAGCAAATAGCTTTATCTCTGATTCAGAACCTGATATTTGAACAATGACAAGGTAACATTTCAATATCTGAGCCATAGACTGTTTCCAAGTGCTTTGGGGTCCCTCCATGAGACAATGTCACCCTGGTCATGTTTTAGAATGCAAAATTAAGTGGAAAAGTGTGGAATCAGAAGGGAATGGAGTATATGGGCATGTTTGTTGGGTACACTGAAATGTACAGATATTTGTAGAAAATGAAGAAGTTCATTCACATTTTAGAGAAAAATATGAAATGAGTATTACAAGGGAGAATATGTTGATAGTGGGACATAACATTAAGTTTGCTATTATTCTATAGGGGCTGATAAGACAAGATTACCCGATCGCGATGATATCGTCTACATCAAGGAACTAGTTCCTTCCCCGACCATTTATATTTATTGACTGTGTAGGTTTGTAAGTGAGAGTGGTTACCAACAGTTTTTGATGGAGGTGGTTACACAAGGTTTGATCCAGGTCTATTAAGGGTTCTTTGTAAAAATTATTAGTCTTATTTTGATAAACCTCAAAATATTTTTTTATTTAAAGCAATGTTCAGTCTAAAAATATTAATTATGCCCTATTTAATTTTCTGAAATGTAATACACAGAATTGACAGAAACTTTGGTAAGTATGAAACTTTGAAAATTTTAAATCTTATATTTTATTGCATGCAAAACCTTATGTACATAAATACTCTGCAGTTGTACATATCTCAACATCCTGGATGATCTACCTAAGTATTATATTTGTCTCCTTCACTGAAGATTACCTGGCCACAAAATTTTATGTAATCATATGTAAATATGTTATCTGTTCTCTCAACAAATATCAACTCTGTATTTCCGGTAAAGTTACTTATTTGTTTGAGCAATTGGTGTTAGTCATTGTGTCCATGTATGACGTATGCCCGGTGAAACAAAAGGTCCCTGATGCATATATATTGAGATAGAACTATGGAAATCGTCAGTTGAAAAAAACAGGAAGAGATTTAACTTCATACAACAGATATTGGAATATTTCAAGAGTAAAAGGTAAAACTTATATATCTTCATTGGATTCTACTCATTTAACATGAATATATTTAAAAGAAAATGTTTGGTATATAATTTGTGTATTTATTTATATAAGACTAATAAGTTTCTTTTTTAAAGTTGATTCTTGCAAACTCTAAAATTACATTACCACTATAAAATAATTGCATGATATATTTAAAAGAGAATTATGAAATAAATGTTAATCGAATAAAAAATAAGTAAACGAGGGAAAATTGAATTGAAAATATATTTGACTAAAATTATAATCTAGAAAACATTGTCATGGTTTAAATATTTTTGGAGTGTAAGAAAACATCATAAAGTAAAAAAAAGTTATTTAGGTTGAAAATAACATTTTATACTCAAATTACTTAAATGCAATAATATCATTGCAGTAAGCCAGTTTGTCCTTCAATTCCTTGAATAGATTTAATCAAAAATAGATTGGAAAAATAGATATAAAAGACAATCTAGCAGTTTAAAATTCAATAATTTGATGAAATATCTTCATGAATGTTTTATGGATATTTAATGTTAATTATAATATGTTAATTTACAGGGCATTACTCAATTTGATTGGACACGTTCTTACAGCTCATAATTTGACATAATGTAATAATTGGGTGCAATCAAAGCATTATCAGGAATGGAAGAGGGGCTTAACTTTCACTCCCTTCCTTATCAGTTTATCTCATTACTGGATCCATACTAATGACATAATGATAATTCTCTGCTTAATTACTTTATTAGTCATATACGCCTATTTACCTGAAACTTGTCATGCATTTGTAGCATACCTTTCCCAGAATCTGAATGTACAGAGATCCCCAGTGGATTATATAGTCAACATTCCATCTGATATAACTTCATGAGTATCAATATTGTACTCAACAAAAATAAACATTGGGCTGTCTCTGAAAAATGTCACTCACTTATAAAAGTCATTATGACGAGAATGACCAAGAAATAAGAGAGAACTAAGATAACCTGTTGATTTGTGTTCATCAAAATGATTTTAAAGACATTAAGATTCTCATTTGTAATGTTTCAGTCATTACTCATAAGTTATTTTATGTTTATCATTGCAGGTAGTTTGTTGTAGACATTACAAAAAACAGAATGAAACAAATGGAAATAAAGATGAATTGGATATTCGCATTGATATTAACTCTAGGAGTAACAACGATTAATGGAAGAACAGTGAACAGAAAATTCCCAGCAACAGTTGGCTCTTCCGTTACAATCCCCTGTAACAAACCTGTAAGTGACGGGAGACTAATCTGGGGCAAATCTCCTGGACCAACTATAGCTATAGATGGCGTTTTACAATCAGGCATTGACAAATCTAAATTTACACTGACTGAAACTAATGGTTATCAAACCCTTGGGATATCTGGATTGAGTCTTGAAGACAATGGAATATATGACTGCCATCTTTTAGCAGACTCAGACACAGATGGCACTGAAGTCATAATACTGGGTATGTAGTGATATCTTTATTGAATTTCTTACAACAAAACTGATAAAATTCAAAAATCACTATTAACTTGCAATCAAATTCACTATCACAATCAAACTCTATTTTATATGCTTTTATATGCACATAGTCATAATTATGTTCTTAAATGATGTGAAAAATGGTATGGCCAGATTGTTTAAAATGGCAGATGGCTTGTTTTCTTAATTCTTTGTTTGAATCTTATTTTTACCAACTGGATTGCTTGAACTACTATTCACCTCAAGTTTGGACAAAAAATTCTAAAATCAATAGATAAATCCACAATGGTTGGTTAAACATAGACTCGGTTTTAAATGCTTCTATATCTTTATCAGATGTACAGTTTTTGAGAAATCTCTTCAAGGTAAATCAATTGCATAATCAATAAAATCACTAATTATGAGTCCTAATAGTGTGGTCATTTGTTATGGAAATGCTGCAAAGGGTAAACAGGTTGGGACAATTCGTCATTAACACCAAATATAAAATAACTTGACCTTTCCATTGATACTCAATAAATCAAACAAACAATGTTTGCTCACTGATAATGGTAACTGGAATGAGAACTTTTTATTGCATAATATAAATACAGTCATGTTTATCTGAAGTGATGTTTCAATAAAGGGACAGTAACAAAGAATAAATCAATCCCATTGCCTATAAACATTCCATATAGTTACTAAATATTATTTTAATTTTGAGATTTGAGTTTACTATGTCACCGCCATCAAGTGGTGACATATTGTTATAATCTCCAATTTTTTCTGGATGATGTTCATTGTTTAATGTATTTAACAATTTGCGTTCAGCAACAATTTGCAATAACTTACAACGTGGTGACATTTTGTCATGAAATTAACATTTTCACATTTTTCATATATTTCAGTGCCCCCAGAACCACTTGTAAACAACCCACCTATGAGAATTGTATATGAGAACTCTGATATAGAGATGGAATGTATTTCTCCCAATGGGAAACCACTCGCTGACATATCCTGGACTTTGACAAGTAAGTACCTAAATGTATACAAACACCACACTACTGTAAAACATTGATAATGAGAAGTTTTACATTATTTTGGATGAATGAGCTGTGACAATGACAACATTAATTACCTCTATCTTATCAACATACATATATATTAGTCATTAAACCCATTACAAATATTTCCCTCCAAAATCTTGAAAAACAGTTGCACACAATATTTTATGTGAAAGTGTTATTTGTTCATTTCGGCAAGAAAAACAAAATGGTGGTTAATATTGTATAACTATGATTCAAATGGGAAGAATAAAATACATGTCTTCAAGAAATGCCAATTTTAATGTTTATGCCCCTTCCAACTTAACATTAGCAGTCTAACTGTTCTTATGCTACATCTGAATTAATGAGAATATGATACATGTATATTTTAATGTATTTTAGATCGTAGAGGAGAGGTCCAACCTTTGACAGGTGTTGACACGGATGTTATACAAGCTAATGGCCTGGGGACACGTACAAGCAAACTAAAGTATAAAATGACAAGGGAAGCAATTGGTGCCACATTTAAATGTAAAGCAGAAAGAAGTGAACTGTTTTACTCTGAAGAGAAAACATTTAATACAACCTTATATGGTAGGTGAAAGGAATGACATTCATTTAGGCTAGACTAATTAAATGTTATTTATTAGTTTGGCTTTGTAGACTGATGTATGAGGGATATTGGTTTTATTTTTCTGATGAATTGTGTTCATTTTATTCTAATTGAAATTGATGAAATATGTTGAAATTGGGATCTACATTCACAAAACCTGAATAGAATGAAATATTTGTATAATATGGAATATCTTTTCTATTAGATTATGACTTTAATTTATGACATTTTTCCAGTGAGACCTCTCAACCCGACCATAATAGGCAATGAAGAGGGCACTTCTGTGAACACAATGGTTGAAATAACATGCTTTGCCTTTGATGCTAACCCAGCTGCAACTATTGATTGGTACAAGGACAATGTAAAACTAAGTGAGAACAAGTACAGATCTTATGAAACCAGAATCACTGTAATGTGGAACATAAATTTTCAAGCAATATTAAAATTGTACATTAACTTTAATCATAATTTAGTTGCATGATAGTACAGTACAATGATGTTTTGAATCCATAAATATAAGCTAAAGGTTATATTTACTGCATTTATAAATCCCTCTGATGTTTAAATCAATTTAGCAGCTATTCGTAAAATTTAAATTTTGTTATTATTGTATAAAACTTCTCCATTTATTGTTTAAAGGCCCCTGGAAAAGTTTAAACCACTATGACTTCTTTTAGTCTTACTCAATATTATCAAAATGTGAAACTTTTTTTAATTCCAGAGTTGTTTTGAAGTTCTTTTTTTCAAAAAGTGAGAACTTATTTGAAATAAAAGTTTAATAGTCATTAAGTGAATCTATTAATGAGCAATAAGTTACATCAAACATAGGATACATCCTTTTCGAAAGTCAACTTTTTTTTGATTAATGCCTCTTTTTAAAACATCTTTTCAAGTCATGACAAACAATATTTAATAATAAAATTGTTAAACAAAACATTATGTTAAGTTTTCTTTACTTTCCATCATTACAGGTGGAGAAACTACTTTAGCAAATGCCACAGAACATGGGACATTTGATGCGTACAATACTCTGTCATTTGTGGTAGATTTGTATGACAACAACACAGTGTACGAATGTAGGGTCAACCACCCTGTCATGCAGATGAATAGTGAAGCAGAAAAAACTGCTTCAAGAACAATTCTTGTCAACTGTAAGTAGTGTAGGCTAGATCCAGTTACTGTATAGTGTTAAGTTAAAAATTAGTGTGTTAATTGATCTAGAATGCCACAATCTCTTTAACTAGCATCGTACCTTTATCATTATCTGGTATATATTTCAATGGACTGCATTATACTGAAAATAAAGGAAATAAACATTACTAAGATAATAAACTAAATGTTCATCAATGAAACCATTGCCCTTCTCTCCAGAAAGCCCATGATGAAAATGCTAGATTTGAATAAATGGCCATAGAAAAATCATCATTTTCTTAAACCAGATTTAAAGGTCGCAAATTCTCACTTTCTTGTTTCAAGGTATGGACTTCATAGTATGGTAATCCATTATTTCAGATCCACCAAATATCATTGCAAACAATGCTACAGTCTCCATGATGGAGTTGAACCAGGTGACAGTACCATGTGTGGTGAATGGGCAGCCCCCTGCACATGTTGAGTGGTACCTTGATGGCAAGCAGATAAATACCTCAAGTCCAAGATACTACAATAGCTTGCAGGGCAAAGACCCCATAGTTGCCGATCTCACCATTCTCAGTACACATGGGTAAGTAAATGGTTTTATCCCACGCTAAAATATGTAGTTTAGGTGAATCATGCAAAATATAGTTCAATGAAGTGGTAAGCCTTCAAGAATGGTACAGTTCAGATTCTTGGTGGACAAAGCGTACAGAACAAAAATATATGAATATTACTTGATTTCAGGCGTGACAAAGGAACTTATGAATGTAGAGGATTTAATAAGCTAGGATCTGCTACTGCCTTCTCCTCCACTCTAGACATTTATCGTAAGTTTATTTCAAGACCCTATGTCAAGTTTGAAAATATAGTTTATTCATTGAAATATTACATTTCATGACTACGATTGATACTTTATTATGGAATTTATTGTTTTTGAAAATGTGAAAATGCATCTGTCTCATTCAGAATAAAATAGAATATAATGTGAGAGAGGTTTCTCTTTTAGGAGACATTGTGATATTATATGTTAATCCGGGGACTACTTTATTTTGGAACCACTAAACAACTAAAGAAACAATACAATTTCAGATCGTCCTTATTGTCTGAGACAAAAGAGAAAGTATGCTACTGAGCTAAACAAAGCTGTGGATATCTTCTGCCATGTGGAGAGTAACCCAGCTATGGTTATCATCACATGGCTGTATGATGGTACATACCTGGATGTCAATGCCACTGTTGACATTCTTGATGACCAGCATACTTATGCTAAACTTACATACACACCAAGGTGAGTTCAGTAATGATTCCTGTTATGTTCCATTATATCAACTGGGTATTTTTATACACATCTTTGATCATTATTACGTTATATTTCAGTTATTTTTTGTTTCAGTATCATACATGTTTCAATATGTTCAGGTTACTTGATCTAGAAATATGCATGCATTTATACATTCAATATTTTTTATTGTGGTTTCAGAACTGAAGCAAATTATGGTACATTCCAATGTAATGCAACTAATCCCATTGACAACATGGATGAGCCATGTTTTATTGAGATACTGCCACCAGGTAAATAATTTAATAACTGTGAAACCTGAAGTTTCTAATATTTCAATTTAATTCTATTCTTTAAATAGGCAATTTTTATGTCACCACCACACGTGATGAAATATTGTTATAGTCTCAATTTTTGTGTGGATGGTGTTCAGCATTCGGATTTTAGTGATTGGCATTTGGCTTCTGGAACAAATGGCAGGTGGTTGATGTTAATGTCTTGTTTAAATTGAAAATACCAGACGTCACTATTAATGGTTTCAAAAACTTTCATGCATTATTTGCTATAGAATTATCAGAATAAAAACATTTCATGGTGTCAATATCATGGATACACAGGTCAACACTGTGGATGTATTATTCTATTATTGTGTAATGTTTGTTTTAGGTCCAGCAGATCCTCCTGCTTATTGCCACACCAGCTATGCTAGTGGCTATGAGTTAATACTAGAATGTATGGAAACATTTGATGGCGGCTCCACCCCAACATATGAGCTCCAGTTTAAAGCAGAGGGCAAGTACAAGACCATTCAGAGTGACAATGTTCCTCAGTTTAACATGACTGGATTGACTCCTGAGACTAATTACACATTTAGGATCTGTGCCCATAATTCTGGGTTTAGGGCATATGTGAACTGCACTGGTGATATAACAGCATATACACTTAACACTAATGGTGAGCTTTAGCTATATTTGAACATTGTTGTTATTTTAGTTTCTCCATTTTGTTCAGGATGAAGATGTTTGAAGGTGATCATGTACCTGAAAATTATTTTGAATTGATTTTTCTTGTGAATTTCAACGATGCTTTTTATCTTTGAATTTATTTTATTTTGTTGTCTTAATTGTAAATTGTTATTGTATCTTTCAGGAACATTCATGCCTACATCCCAGCCTGTGAAAGCGCAATCATTCACTGAGACTGAGGCATTCATCGCTCTGTGCATCATCCTGGGCCTTCTTCTCATCATTGTCATCATAATCATCATCATGTGTGTGGTCTGTTGCAAACGTAAGGTAGGTAGCTTATATGTCACTTCCATATACATTGAGTTAGATAAAATATCTAATTTGAGCTGCAATGCCTTATAGGCCTTATAAGGTGTGAATGTCATGGAAGATATCTTAAAGTATTTAATATATATTATTTATCCTAGATATAAAAAGATATAAAAAGATATAGAAAGATATTAAAGTATTTAATATATATTATTTATCCTAGATATAAAAAGTTTGCTTGTAAGTTTAACACTATTTTCTATGATGTTAATTTATTAGATATTAGATTTGTGTTTTTTGTTTCTAGTACATAACATATGTAGAAGCATTATATTCAACATTTGGTTTATGAATTAAATCATGTTTTTCAGAAATACACATCTGGAGATCTTACCATTGCAAATCCACATCAAGGTAATTAATTTTAGTTGATATAGAAAACAATAAGTTTATATATGTATTAAATGCAGATAGATATTCTGTAATGCACATTCATTGGAGCAATATGATTTACTAAATCAGCTCTTATTTTACAATAATACATTTTCAATATGTAGAAGCAACCTGGATTTATTGTGTTGTGACCATATTCTCTAGGTACAGTGGCCCAACAATTTCTAAAGAAAGTATAAAGCAATACACATTGCATTGTCACAGAGCTTTAATTATGTCAGCATTTTAGCATTCAGTCCTCACTTGTCTCAATGTAATTGCAGATGTTGAAAAGAATGTCGGAGGATATGACAATGAGGCAATGGAGATGCAGCAGTCCCAACAAAGCCTAAATCTTGATCTCCAACCTGATGCTGAACCTGCAAAGCTTGGAGCAGAAGTGAACATTGATGAGGCATTAGCTATATACCAGCTTCATGCATTTAAGGGAGCATCCTCTAAAGATGAACCAGAAGATCCTGGATATGGATCCGTTTCTAAGAAGTCTGACAGTGATAAAGCTGAGGTTGCCCTTAATGTGTTGGATCTTGAGTCGATTCAACAAACTGAGCAGGAGCTACAGGAGCATTTAGCGCGTGCTTCATTGGCTCTTGCTGTGGACCAGGAACAGAAACAACAAGTAGCTGCTAAACAGGAGCTTAAGGAGAAAGTGGAACAAGAGGTTAAGGAAGAACTATTACATGCAGCTATTGCACATGCAGCTGAGCAGGACCTGAAGGAGCAAGCTGAACGTGCAGCTGAAGAGGAACTGAAGGAGAAAATGGAGCAAGAAGCCAAGGAAGCATTGGTACGTGCAGCTATTGCACACGCAGCTGAGCAGGAACTGAAGGAGCAAGCTGAACGTGCAGCTGAAGAGGAACTTAGGGAGAAAATGGAGCAAGAAGCCAAGGAAGCATTGGTACGTGCAGCTATTGCACACGCAGCTGAGCAGGAACTGAAGGAGCAAGCTGAACGTGCAGCTGAGGAGGAACTTAGGGAGAAAATGGAGCAAGAAGCCAAGGAAGCATTGGTACGTGCAGCTATTGCACACGCAGCTGAGCAGGAACTGAAGGAGCAAGCTGAACGTGCAGCTGAAGAGGAACTTAGGGAGAAAATGGAGCAAGAAGCCAAGGAAGCATTGGTACGTGCAGCTATTGCACACGCAGCTGAGCAGGAACTGAAGGAGCAAGCTGAACGTGCAGCTGAGGAGGAACTTAGGGAGAAAATGGAGCAAGAAGCCAAGGAAGCATTGGTACGTGCAGCTATTGCACATGCAGCTGAGCAAGAATTGATAGAACAGGAGCAAAAGGAGCAGTTAGCTCGGGAAGCTGCTGTGCAAGCATTGGAAGATGCCAATATGGAACTCCTGAGAAAAATGGAGGAAAATCGGCGAATTGCAGAAATGATAGTTCCTGGGGCTGAAGGTGACCCCAAAGAAGAAACCGTATTAGATAAAATGTTAAAGGAATATGAAACTGACATTAAGGAGACAGGTAATAAGGAATCTGCAAATGGGGAAGATTCACGTAAATATAGTGTCAGTGATATTGATGACGTGTTGAAGGAATTTGAAATTAAAGACATTGACATTGAAGGCAAACCAGCTGGCAAGAAATAATCTATATTTATAATTATAATGCATCTTTTATATCAGGATATTTTTGCCATTAAGCAGGAGAAATATAAGAATGTTAAATGAATCAAAAAACATAAAGGAGAACAACTTTATGTTTGACTTTGTATCTCAGATAATATTCTAGAATACCATCAATAAAATCTAAAAATGCCCATATTATTTTCCCTTGAATACAAAAAGGTTTACAAACTTTAAAAAAATTAACCCGAGAACTCAAATCCCATGTTACTCTCCCCATTTTAATAGATCATGTGTATAAATTCAACCATGAAAACTTAGTAGCAAAGATTTACAGATCAATAGTTTGTGGTAAAACAAAATTAATTAAAAATTAAATTACAAAATGACTAAAGTTGTTCTCCTAATAAGCACTGCAACAGTAATGTAATATGAGTAAACTGTAAATATCTTTAGTTAAACTATTTATTTGTATAGATGTATATCAAAATGCAGACGCTTTTAGTAGAATCCTTTTTTGCAGTATCAAAACAAATCTATCATCATGCAGGATAAAACAAAACTATCATTTTACTTTTTAATACTTTTATTTTCCTTTATTTAAAAAATATATATTTTCTAAACAGAACCTATTAGCGGGATCAGATGTCCAGATATAACCCCTTTTTTGTTCGGCTTTTTCAGGAAAGCAACAAACTTGGCACATTTGTAGAAACATATGATTTGAGTGAAAAATGATTTCAGGGCAAGTGATTGGGGGTGGTCTTCACAGATTTTTTTACCTCTGACCCCCACCCCTATCAGGTAGGGAGGGGGTAAATTATAAAAAATAAATAAAAATGGTTTTAAAGTATATTTGTTTAATTGACTTCATTTGGTGATTGCTTTGAGCCTTGAAATGATGTAAAACTCATTTTAGAAGTGGTATTTAGTGAGGAAAATACATTTTAACCCAAATATCCAGGAAAAACGTATTATTTAAAGGGCCAAATATGGGACGTCCATTACTGTATTTCAAGAATGTGATGACTAATAGTCTTAAAAAAATTCACAGTAATAGAAGTATAAGTGTTTATCGCAGTTAGAAAATATTGCTTTGGTAGCTGATGTATTCTCAGAGAAAAAAATTATCGAAATTTCAATTTTTTGGTGCATTTGGCTCAGGGGTAACCTTATCTTACCTCAATAATTTTTAAGATAGTCAATGTATGCATCTCATATGAGCTCAGAATGGTGCTTCTAGTCTTATTTTGTCATATTATTGCTAATTAGATGTACAAAAAAGATTGGAATTCAAAAAAATTCAAATTTTCATTTTCGATTCTGAATGGCCAGGGGTAACCATATTGTACCTTAATAATTTTTAAAATATGTAATATATCCATCTCAAATGAGCTCAAAATGGTGCATCTAGTCTTGTTTTTTCATAATATTGCTAATCAGAAGTAAAAAAAGATTGGAATTTTTTTAAAATTAAATTTTCATTTTCGCTTCTGAATGGCCAGGGGTAACCATATTGTACCTTAATAATTTTTAAAATATGTAATATATCCATCTCAAATGAGCTCAATACGGTGCATCTAGTTTTGTTTTATCATATTAACCCTAATAAGATGAAGAAAAATAATTGATAATTCTTAAAACTCTATATTTTCATTTAAGCTTCAGATGGTCCAGGGGTAACCATATTTTAGCATAATAATTTTCAAGATATGTAATATATGCATCTCAAATGAGCTCAAAATGGTGCATATAGTCTTGTTTTATCATACCCAAAATAAGATGAAGAAAAATTATTGGACATTTCTTAAAAATCTGAATTTTCTATAACCATATTTTTAACATAATAATTTGCAATGTGTGTTACATATGCATCACAAATGAGCTCAAAGTGGTTCATGTACCAGAAGTCTTGTTTTCATATTTCCCCTAATAATATATAAAACGTAATTTGACATTTCTAAATATCTAATATCTAAAAATCTAAATTTTCTATTTGAGCTCTGCTTTTGACAGCCCAAGGGTAACCATACTTACCATAATAATTTTCAATGTATGTTACATATATCACGGGTAACTAGAGTATCAGCGTATATTGAGTATGACCCGTTCTTAGGCTACGAATATAACCTGTTTTGGAAAGTCATGAGAGGCACAGCTGCTTAAAAATGGAAAATAAAGGTTAACTTCTATATTATCCTTTTTGAAATTGTGTTTGTTGAATATAGTTTATGCTGTATTTAATAGTAATGTAACAAAAAAATGTTAAACATGAGCTATTTTAGCAATGTAACTGTTCATAATGGAATATCAATCAGAAAGTACAGATTTCTCGCCTTAGAGCCAAATCATTAATATCACAGTAGAAAAAATCAAATCCCAAACCTTTTTATGGCTAACCTGAACAAGATCTCCAAATCTCAGTTTATATGATCCCCCGTAGATTGAGCAAGAAAAGGATTTATCTTTTCCCAGAGGATACGCTTGTGAAATGTCATGGAAACGAGTGTAACACGGCCCACTGATTGTTTCACAATCGTATTCTCCAATAATGGGGCACCAGTGACATTCGTATTCTCAAAAATTCAAAGATGTATCATATTTGGACAGAGCAGGCTAAATTATTTAAAATATTCATGACTAATTCGTAGATCTAGCTATATATTATACATAAGATGTGTCATCCTCTTCGGAGTTGCGTTGTGTTACACAAAAACTGATCAAAGATGCTGGAAACTAGGATTTTACGGCTTCAATCTAATATTAATACGTTTTCTCTTGATTAAGGCCCCTTGTGATATGCCTGGCATTATAAGTATACCAAGTATCATTCATTGACCAAGTAGGATAAAAAGAAAACGTTCGAAAGTGTTCATAAAAAGCAAATACTCACCTCAACTGTTTATAGGAACAGAAATACGGTCACACTCGTAAGCTTAGAACCGGTCATACTCAATATACGCGGATACTCTAGTATCCCGTGTATATGCATCTCAAATGAGCTTGAAATGGTGTATATAATCTTGTTTTGTCATATCATTTCTAAGGAGATGTAAAAAATGATCAGATTTTGATTTAGCTTTTGACTGGTTATAGGTAGCCTCATTTTACCATAATAATTTTCAAGATATGTCACATTTGCAACTCAAATAAGCTCAAAATGGCATTTTGCCATATTCATACGTTCATATATTCATACTGAGATAAAAAATGATAAATCAATGAAATATTATATAAAGATATAAGGTTTAAGAACACTTGCATCACCTCTGGGTACACCTTCCATTCCTCCAAATCAGATGATTTAGAGTAGTAGTTAAATGCAGATTTGACATCGCATAGAATGATTGAATGAAAAATCGGGAGGGCTAAACTTTGGTCATGGCCAAGTGATCTTGCAATATCATGCGCAGCTAGTTATTGAATGGATTTTCTTTTACCAAATGCAATCCCTCCCCAATCCCAATCCCTCCCAATTTTTCATGCAATCACTGGATTTAATATGTCACCTTTGCATTCTACTACTACTCTAAATCATCTGATTTGAAGGAATGGAAGGTGTATACCCAGAGCGATTGCAGTTGTTTTAAACTTTGAATCTTTTCTTAGAAATATTGCAGTTGTAGAGTCATTTGTTATTCTGATGCATTCTAACACACAGTTTCTATCACCATATGAATGTGGCTGGACTACTCCCACTGCTGATACTGAGGCCACAGCATATGAAAATGTAGGTCCTATGAGGTGGAATTCTGTATAATAACAAAAGATCTTGCATTCGAGGCATGCAAAAAACTTGTTTGATGTTTAAGGAGTGTCGAGGGAACAGTATGCAAATGTTTGAAATCATATCTCATTTGCTCTGGGCTATGTAGCTGTAGGGGAGACGTCAGAATCTATAAATCCTGACCTGTTTGATTATGTTTTATGGTTTTGGATTATATTTTCAAATGATTATACACAGAATCTTAACAATGCCACTACTCAGTATAAACTGGATTGTCAAACATTTTCATATCTTAAAAAACTGCTCGATAAAACTATAGTACAAAATTGAGCTACTGGTACTAAAAAGGAATAAATGGATGTTGAGATTCTTTATATAAATAAATAAATGGATGTTGAGATTCTTTATATAAATAAATAAATGGATGTTGAGATTCTTTATATAAATAAATAAATGGATGTTGAGATTTTTTATAATTTTCTTAATTATTATTTCTTATCTCAGAAGGAATAAATGACAAAACTTGACCATATTCAACATTTTGAGCTCGTGTGATATATCTTTATTTAACTTATTATGGTAAAATGGCATCAAAAGCTAAGCCTATAAGAATTAGATTCTTTGTTTTGCGTCCCCTTGCTTGCACAATTTTGAGTAAATCAGAAAAAAACAAACACATCCAAATAGCTACCACAAGGGTCTGAAAGTAACATCGCATTTCGTTCAATCAGGAACAGATGAAAGGGCGGATAAATTGATATGCGTCAAAATTGACAGTGTTATTGATTACTTTGGCATACATTGTGTATTTTCTTATTTTTACCCTTGAATAATACCTATATTTAAATATATTGTATAAAATGTATAGATCTGTGTTTGTATCACTGCAAATTGGTATGTCATCTCTTTTAATGCCCATAAAATGTATACATTTCTCAGCAAACAAGTTTGTGTTTTTTCTTGAGTCTGTGTTTGTTTTCCTTGTACCCTAGCATGATTTGGATTTTGCCAGGACGCAAAGCAGAGAATCTTATTCTTATGGCCTAATATGAAAATGTCATTTTTTCAAATTTCCAAACATTTTTTACATTCCCTAAGAATAACATATGACAAAAGAAGATTTAAAAACCCTTTAAAGCTCATTTGAGATGCATACGTCTCGTACTTTGAAAATTATTGAGGTAAAATATGGCTACCCATGGGCCACAATAAGCTAAAATGAAAATTTAGATTTTTAAGAAATGTCAAATCATTTTTCTACATCTAATCAAGGGTAATCTGATAAAACAAAACTATATGCACCATTTTGAGCTAATTTGAGATGCATATATTACATATCTTGAAAATTATTAAGGTAAAATATGGTTACCCCTGGCCTTTTAGAAGCGAAAATGAAAATTTGGATTTTTGAAAAATTTCCAATAATTTTTTTACATCTAATTAGGAATAATATGACAAAACAATGCTCTATGCATCATTTAGACCTCATATGAGATGCATACATTGCATATTTTAAAAATTATTAAGGTAAAATAAGGTTACCCCTGAGCTGCATGCACTTAAAAATTGAAATTTCGAGAATTTTTTTCTTAAAAAATACATGAGCCACCCATAATATATTTTCTACCTGTGATGAACACTTAAACCTCTACTACTATGAATTTTTTCATGACTATCAGACATCACATTCTTGAAATACAGGACTGGATGTCCCGTATTTGGCCCTTTAAACAACGAATTATTCTTAGATAATTGGGTTAAAATGAGTTTTTCTTGCTACAGACAACTTCTTAATTGGGTTTTACACAATTTCATGGCTCAAAGCAATCACCAAATGAAGTCATTTAAAGAAAAATACTTTAAAACCATTTTTATTTAATTTTAATAATATACCCCTCCCAGTCTGGTAGGGGTGGGGGGTCAGAGGCTAAAATATCCATGAAGACCACCCTAAATCACTTGCCCTGAAATCATTTTTCACTCAGATCATATGATTCTACAACTGTGCCAAGTTTGTTGCTTTCCTGAAAAAGCCGAACAAAAAAAGGACATCTGACCCCGCTATATTACTAGATTGTTCATGACATTGTATATGAAAAAGCTCAGCTTTATAGTATTGAGAAATACATTTAGGATGTAGAGTCATACAACATATTAAATGATTTGTGATTAACAAAAGCCATCCAATAAGCAAGGTGATTTGCATAACTCTGTAAACAAAACAATATGGTTACAATAGTTTTCATAATTGCAATTAGATTAATTCCACCCTAAAATAATGTAACTTGCACCATTAATAGACTTTGATATAAACATTATTTTTTACAATTATCTAAGCTTGAAAAATTGCTTTAATAAGTGATTTAATTGCCTTTTAAAATCAAGAAAGGTGAAAACATGAAACTCCAATGGGGAACTTGCCATTCTGCTTAGTACAGTACCAGGGGAGTAATAATTTTCAAGCTTTGGTTGGGTATTTTAAATAAGAAGTCTAGGACTAAAGTCTATTGAAGGTACAAGTAACATATTTTGGGGTAATTCAGGATTGGAGGTACAGACATTGCCCATGTGGGCTATTATGTGATAATACTATCCAGGTATAATACCCTCATACAAACTGCTAAATACTTGTCAGTCTAATACTGTTTTATATCATTCATAACGACCCTATCTGATATTTATGATTTGAGCATTCACAATATTTTTCATTTTACTTGCTAGCTTTGGCACTGGAACATAAACAGCCAGTGTTTATCTGTAATGTTTCTACTCTTTGGAATTATTTTATTTAAAATAATAAAATTGATAAAAGTGATTATTTTTGTTTAGTGTATAGATGTGATATAACATTGTAAAATAGTCTAGACATAATTATCCAATAATAGTCAAACTAGAGATATTTAATGAGAAAATATGATGGATGAAATTTTTGGCTATAATATCTGCAGATCTATATTATACTCCAACAGTTGGAACAGCATGTGTGAACTGTCCTGGCATAATTTCTGGCTGTTTTGCTACACCTCCTACAGTCTGATTTCGAAGGTTAAGGTTACTGTTCACTCTATTATATGGGTGCAATGTGGTGGAGAGTTCACGAGCATTCGCATATCTCAATGTCTGTAAACTTTCTTTTGGTGTCCAAGTGTGTGATCTTTGGTAGTTTGTGATGTAATCTCCTTTGGTTTCATCTGCAATCTGATCTCGCCATTTGCTCTCTAGTTTCTGTTTCAGGCCAAAGTTTGTAGATGCACCTGGAATGAGAAAAGTATTACATTGTAATTTTATTTACTTAATGATTTTATCAAAAAGCTTTTTGTGGCCCATTTGGTAAAGTGACTTGTGCATTTGTGGGTTACCCAATTGACTTGAACCTGTATGCCAGATGCATAAATCAACTTTCCTCTGTATAACAAATAATAATGGATTGCGCAGGAATATTCATTTCATCATTGCCCTTTTCTTTTAAATTAGCAAATTCTAAAATAACAAAAATTACCTTGAATGGGATAGTCTGACTTTTCTGGCTGCCATGCCAAACTGTGACTGTCCCAAGATCTTAGGCTGGGAAGTTTATTGTTCTCATCTCGTTCTCTCTTATTATAATGCTCATCATACCAAGATATCATATTATTTGAATATCGTTTCCCATGATGTGAGAAGAGATATTCTTTGCCAAGTCCATCATGTTTGATTTGAGCTTTCCTGCGAATGACAACATCAGGCCTGTAACCCCCATAAGATCTGAAATCTGTTCTATGAGTGCTGTTGTGGCACATATTGGTAGGATCTCTTTGGAACTGAAAGTAAAACATATTTATTACTAACTAAAAGTTGATATATATTTTGTGATATACATTTGTATTACGAAAATCCTTCATAATTTAAAGAGGCATATGAATGATACTAGTAATATCTTTCTATCATTCTCAGCATTTACTCGTGCAATTTACTTAAAGACATTGATTATGTTTATATATTGATTGGAGGTGCAAATACGATGGCGCTATTATCACGCATTATCTCGAGATCATACTTCTGCAGAATATCAATTTAACAACCTGCTGTTAACACATATTGATCCAACTGAACAGTGTTTATAGGCATATGTTAGCAGGAATTGATTTTTATTGTCCAGACACAAGAGATCAATTTACTTTATGCTACCTAGACCAAGTCTCTATTGTCTTTTATTTGAACACAAACCGAACAGAGTAAATAGCCAACATTATATTCTACTGCTTGTTGATTTATATAGAAATGGGAAAGTCATGTAAGACTGTATCTAATATGTCAGAATGAATTCCCTCTGCTTCCGTTTTCATAAATAATTTATCATTATTTTCTACAAGCGGGTATTATTCTACTTCATTTGATTACATGTTCTGTTGGAAGATTGTTTGTTCTTCCCTTATATTGTATGGCATATTCATTTTCATTGTACAATCATGTTGATCATGCAGTGGTGAATAAAATAGTTAAATTTTTACTTGATTTCTCCCAGCTTGTTTATCTGGAAACTTTTTAAAAATAAATTGGATGAGTACTTATTGTATGATGTCTCAGTGACTCATATATTTTTTAATGTTTTATAAACCTATATAGATTTTAATGATATTGCAGTTTTATTTGTTTGATACTCGATGGTTTTATTATATTATTTGTTTTACGTGTCATAAAAGCATATGTGGTATCTGAATGGATCTTATATGTATTGTCATAGAATAGTAGGCTAACCCCTATTAAAACTGACAATTAGTTCACTGAACATATTGTGAGATGCCATTTTGATTTGTAATTGTAAGTTATACACATAGGCTACATGTAAAGTTCCCCATTTCTGCTTTGTAAGAATAATCTTATACTCACTCTATATCTGTCTTCTCCATAGTTGCCTATCAAGACACCTGGACCATATTTCTGTTCTATTCTCCAACCAGGCATGTGCCATTTCTGTGGGTCACCGTGAGACATTTTCTGTGTGTTCTGTTTACTCCCTATCCTAATAATAAAGTTTGGGAGTTCTTTATGGTTGCCTTGCACTCAATTATTGTTTACATGAGTATGAATATTTAGAAAGGTCAATGTGACATTTAAAATATAAGCCCAAAGTATTTGTGTTCTTTGCTTTGTTCCATTGGTTGATAGTTTTTGTTCTTATAAACTATAAAGTTGCGAAGATATGATAAGTGACTTGAGAAATATCATGAAGTTTGTAAAGAATTAACTTCTTGGAACTATAATCTTATGAGTGATGCGTTGTTGCTAGCAACGTTGCCATGAAGCTATAGATGGCGTTCAATATACCCAGCATTCCTGAAAACATGACTTCCGCTGGAAGAATTTTCACAAAATGTCATCGGTTTTTATCGAATTCTTCTTCAGTTTTACATAAAAGAAAGTTACTAATACGTAAATATTGTAGTAATGAAGCAGTTCCTTTAGGTAAGTACGTTATTTCAATTGGTACTATGCCTATATCTTCGAAGAATCAACTTTAGTGAATGAATACTCTATTATCGCCCACTAAAAATAACAAGTTGGGTCAAGAGGGGGAGAAACCCCAGGGTTCAAAGATGACATACGCTTATAATGTAAATCTGTATTGAGATGACATCGTCGCTGATTGGTCAAAAGTCGACAAACAAATGACGTCATCAATGGCGGTTTCAAAATTTTCGAAATACGCTTCGAATAATATTATGTTCATTTCTGGCGTGTTAACCAATATCATAGCTTCTCATTTCACATCAAGATAAAGAAAGGTGTACGGAATATGCCTATATCAATTAAAACATCCAATCGAAGTGTAGTATTTGATAACTAGCCGATGAAAATTCGAACGAACGAAGGTGGTAAGCAAGAGAGGTAATTATGTCTGTCATCTTTAAACTCTGGGGCTTTCCCTCCTCTTAGTTGGGTCAGAAGAAGTGAGTAGCTCCCATAATTCTTTCATATTCTATCGTATTCAGGGATTCCCCATTACATCATCTCTTATCCCGTACCAGGACTATAGTCCTGCATTGAGAGCATTCTTTTGCCTGTACGATTACAACTTGGGAGAATTATCTACGCCGCTTATACTTCCGATACCTACTTCAATTGATTCCTGGGTATTTTAGCATTCTTTTCGAGAAGTAGAATCCACAATTGTCTGGGTATATCGGCAGAACGGGAACATTTTTCTTTTTCGTTGGATTTAAAAGGGGATTCCCCATTTGACTGACCCGGAAGTAGTCCAGAAGCACCAAAAGTGGAGGAATTTGATGGTTGAAATAAGTTAAATATTACACTCAAATATTGTGATTAAAAACGAAAATTTCTTTGTTCTGCCGATAAACCCAGACAATTGTGGATTCAACTACAAGAAAAGAATGCTAAAATACCAAGGAATCTATTGAAATAGGTATCTTAAGTGTAAGAAGCGAAGAAAATTCTCCCATGTTGTAATCGTACAGGCAAAAGAATAAGACGTTCGCAGGACTATAGTCCTGGCATGGGATAAATCATCTCCAGCATCATCTCCAATCAAATTGCAGGATGTAATCACGTGAACAATCATGAGCATGTGTTCTCTCAGTGCTGCGCATGCGCAAAGTTAAATTTGAAATCGTTGGAATGATGTTAACATCAGTTCAAGATCTTCACTACTCGATCCATACTTGTAGACTGTAGAGAATACTCATAAAACTACAGCGATCATTTGGAGATCCATTTCAATGGCAAATGAGACCTGTTTATAAAATTTGTTTTTGAACGTGCCAATATGAAAGGTCATCTTTGGGAAATCTACCCCCCTGATGTTGGGTAGAACAAGCCCGGAAGAACGAGGATTCAGGGACGCATCATGGGGTATTAATCCCAGAGTTCGAGGATGATATAGGCTTATGTCTATGTCAATAATCTGCAAAAGGCTAATAAGCCCATATAAAGCAGATATATAATTTAACAGTGATAGAATTTGAATAGAATATAATTTAAAACCTTAACATTTAAAAACATATAAACTTATAAACATGTATGTTTACATACATCTCTAATTGGTCAAAAATCAACAAACAAATGTCATCAATGGTGCGGCAGATTCTAAATTTTCGAAATAAGCTTTGAATAATATTATGTTCATTTCTGTATTGTCAACCAATATAATAGCTTCTTATCTCATGTAAAGGTAAAAGAAAGGTGTATGGAATATGCCTACATTAATTAAACATCACATCGAAGTGTAGTATTTGGAAACTAGCAGGTGAAAATTCGAACAAACGGAGGTGGTAAGCAAGAGAGGTAATTATGTCTGTCATCTCTAAAGCTCTCGGGCTTTCCCTCTTGGGAAGACAAATTAATTTTTTTTAAAAAGTTTCTTGCCGCAATGAAAATCAAATAAGGTATGCTCTTGATTTAGATAGCAAACTATCTCACTATGGAATAGCATGGGAATATCTTCCCTTGACTAATTGGATTACAAAAGCTTGCATCTGATTAGGGAAGGACAATCCCAATATTCTCATTTAAACCATATATGAATGTGAGTGTCCTCCATTAGTCCATTTACTATTGTTATGTTTTTCAATCTAGGGAGCATGAGCGAGATAATTCTGCCTGTCAACTGGACAGCCACTCATAAACATTAAAGAGAGCAATGATTTCTACCTGGGGATTTCTACACCTGCTTCTCATTTCAGTGTTTCTCCTGAATAATTGTAAATATTAAGAATTTAAAAAAATTCAAGCAATTGCTTAAGTATTTAGAAATTCCCTGAGAACAAATTTGAGAAGGGTGAACTTTTCCTACATTTAACGGGAGGGGCAAAGTACGTAGACCCCCCCCCTCGATCACTAGCTCTGAGCTCAAATGAAATCTTAGTGAGCATCCTGGATCTTCTTTGGTAAGTGGAGAATTAGGGGTCTAGGTTGGTTAGAGGCATTTTGGATTGACTAACTGAACTATGGCTACACAGGAAAAAAATTGGCTGGACCAATTTTAAGTGCCCCGCCAAAATTGGCGACAGAGAAAAAATTGATTTATAGCATCCTGAATTATGGAAATAAGGGTATTAAGACATGAATTTAAGAGTAGAACTGGGTCATTTATCATAAATGTTATTATTTTATATTTTTGTATGCAGCTTTCAAATTTTTCCACTCTCAGATTATGCTTGATAAATCGAAAAGTTAGAAAGTTTTCTCAGGAAGAAGTGCATATTAGACATACTGTAGTTATGTCCCAGAATAAGAATTATTCCCTACAGTGTAACCTTTGTAGATGCAGGTATGTTTTTCACAAATATTAATCACTTCATGTAACTTCCAGGACCTAGAGACCCTGGTGAGGTTTTCATCACTCCATGTGTGCAAGAACTTCTCTATAGGATGACAAGACTAGATGTTGACAAAGTGTTTGCCCCAAAACTGAAGCAAGCTAAGAATCCACAGTATGAACTAATTCCCGAATCTAAGTTAGGAGAAGTGCGTAAATATTTTTCTTTATTACCATATATTTCAGTGTAGCTGTATGTACATATTTGTGTTGGATAAAAGTAAAGAATGATTTAGAATTAGAATATACATTAAACAGAATCCACACATAGCTAAGCAAGTTGTGTCCGATTCCAGCCAATCCAAACATTGTATTTCATATAACTGCAATGCATTATATAACCAATAACTCACCCAAGGTCATTCGTTGAATGGTTGTCAAGTTGACAACTTGACTTGACACATTGACAACTTGACTTGACACATTGAAATTGGTGCTTTGCCAACTTGACCCTTGCAAAAAGTTTCATTTAAAATATGTCATTTTAGTGATTTTGTATCTTTTAAGTGATTTTGCAGAAAATATTTTGCAATGTATGAAAATTTTAAGCCCAAGACTTGATGCATTGTGGCTGATTCATTCCACTCAGGCGTTATTTCTGACAGTTCACACCCGATGCTTTGCATCTTGTGCAAAGGTTGAAATAACGCCTTTTTGAGGAAGGATTCAGTTGACATTGCACTGGGTCCAGGGCTTAAATCCTTAATTTAAATCATTTCATAAGAACTCCAACAGAATGAAATGTAAGATTACATCTGTTTACTTTCATCTCATTGTCACTTGAAGGAAGACAAGCCTGCTTGTAACTACTTTCTTTCAATGCTTTATTTCCTGGAAGTTATTTTTGATATGATCATTGTCATACAAAAATGCTGGATTAAATAAATCTGTATGTAAACATATTCTTTTGACTTCTGACCAGCTTCAAGAGCGTGTTTTGAGAAAGGCTATGAACAAGCTGCAGATGCCCCCAGTGTTGAAACAAAGGGCTCCACTAAAAGAGGTTTTGGAGGAGAATCCAGACATTGCTGGCATAACAGAAACTAAATATATCTTCACTGATATCACATATGGAATATCTAACAAGGTAATCTGTTTAGCTTAGGCTATGACTTAGAACCATGCAGTATCTCCCTGTATTCCATGCATACTGAGTTTATCCCGCGGGAAATATGTCCTGCGGTCCCTCAGGAGATACACATATTTATTCCATAATACTACTGTTTTACCAGGGAAATATGAAGGAATAAAAATCATAATTGAATCGTATTACATGAAAAAATTGTATTGTCCCTGGGAAAAAAATCGTATTGGAGCGTATTACTTGAAAATATTGTATTGTCCCTGGGAAAAAATCGTATTGGAGCATACTAACCTATTTTTGGTTAGTGTTAATTTTTCCCGGTTATTTTCATTATCCAAATGTAACATTTTAGAGGGATGTATTATGGAATAAATGGGTTATTTCTGGCTGGGATTGAATATGGGTTTTATTCCTCGGTATATATGATATTGACCTTTGGTTATATGATATTGACACTCGGACGCTGCGCTTTCTCGGTCAATATCATATTACCTTTCGGTCAATATCATATTGTCCCTCGTAATAAAACCCATATTCAATCCCTCCCAGTAAATAACCTATATTTCTCTTGGGATAAACCCTGTATCCAAAACCTCTCAGTACATAACCCTTATACACTCCTCAGACCTCTTTATTCCCCTACTCTACAATGTTGAGCTTTAGAATGGTATAACATACATGTATAGGAATAACTGAGTATGAAGTATCAGAGAATTGATTGTGCACTATATACAGATTCTATACTATTTATATTTTGATATAATTCCAGGAACGCTACATAGTGGCAAGGGAAGCAGATGGAACGCTGAGAAAGGCTACGCATGATGAACGAGACAGGATGATAAATGTCTATTTCCCTGTGAAAGGCCGCATGGTTTATATGCCTAAGATGTTTGAAGAAGCACGATTAGAAGTAGGCTAATTGTTCAGAAATCAGAATATTTGAAACAAGTAATTTTTGACTCACACAGTGAGCCTATGGGATCGACCAGGTGTCCGTCCGTCCATCAGTCAACATTGGCCGCACAAATTAAAACTGCTATTCAGATTGAGTCATATCCACATACATTTTATGCATATCCATAATGCCTATTTGACCTATCATCGCCATTTCCCAAGTTCGCCCGGTTTCCGAGAAATTGCTGATTTTGACGTCTGACAAAGCCCAACCATACTATTTTGACCTTATGATGGTTTGGTAGATTCCCTGTCATTCCATCATCTTAAATAAAGGTGGAGGGGGCTGACCAGATAATATCAGTACTATCCATCTTAGCATATTTTTGGGGTTTATTCCTGTGATTAGTTTTATATTTGTAGAGACAGTTTTGACTCGCACAGTAAGCCTGTGGGATTGATTAAGCACCCATCTGTTGGTCCATTTGTGAATATTGATGGGACAACTGTCTGTTTAAGGTTATATCTGCATTCATTTTGTTTCAATCCAAAGTACATATTTGTCCACCTATTGATCCATTTCTCAAAATTGTTGATACAAATTGCTACTCATGTTATGTTGTTTCTACAGTCTACATTTATTTTATGTCTATCCATATATCTATTTCACCTGTCATCACAATTTCCCTAGTCCTCTTGGTTCTCAAGAATTAGCATTTTTTTGATGTAAAAAAGTCACAATTTGTTGATTTTTAGACACTTTGTTATTCAGAACTATCAAACAAGAGTTATTTAAGGAATAAACCTGGGGAGTAAGGAATAAAGACCGAGATTCTATGATTTATGGCGCAATATATGACCGAAAATTTTATTCTGTTCATTATTAAAAGACCGAAATCGCGTAGCGATTGAGGTCTTTGGCAATGGGCAGAATAAAATTTGAGGTCATATATTTGCCATAAATCATAGAATCGAGGTCTTTGTTACGATTCTAACATGATAAAACCTAAGTTTCTTTTCCGATTTGAGTTCAAACTGAAAAATTCTAATGTTTTGGACATTCTATTTACCGGATTAATAGTAGGTAAATAGTTTGCAAAAATATCAATAGTGAAACTGACGTCACATTTCTGTCATGTCTATATTGTGACTAAATTAGTTCAGAGGGGGTGAGTATGAAATTGTAATAGTCATTACATTTTTGGTCTATATTGAAATTTACAGGTCATACATACCCCAATATAGACCAGTAAATCAATTGTTCACGTTATTGTGACATCACATATCATGTTAGAATGGTTGTTATTATATACCCAATATGTAACACTAATCCTGATTGGTCAATACCTAGTCACGTGTCCCGGAATAGATTTACTATTTCCCTTCGAAAGTTATATTCCCGCAAATGAAAAAAGCGGGAATATACATTTGAACTATTGCCCACTGACGTCACAACTGCTAGTTCTATTTGTTCATAAACTTTGAACTTTGTTTATAAAAAATAAAAAATATATCAAGGACTGTCAGTATTGTCCCCTCTAACTGAGGGAACACCAATGTTTTTTTGTATGATTTGTTTACAATGACAATTACATGTACTTTGTAATATCCTATATGTTATTGTTTCTGTGTTGTAGGAAATGCTAGAAGAAGGCAAACACCTGTATGTGTTGAACCGTGCAATAATTCAGTTTGAACCTGATAGTCCAGACTATATAAGAGTAAGTTTTCAGATTTGTTTCTTTTAGAGGCGTTGGATCTCTTAGGTAGTAAGCTAGCACCCAAAAATGTATTAGTTCGTGAACAAATTGAAATTACTTGTTTCTTATGTATTTTTATGTGATACTTCAGAAAATGTTTGTCTGACGCGCCGTATCCGGGGCGAAAGTTGTCAAATTGGCGTTTTCGACCCTAAAATGGAAAATTACAGGGGGTACTTTATCATCATTGAATAAATCCTTCAGTTGGTCTTCAATCATCATAATAATTTTATGGGGAGTTGATTGGATCATGCTGAGGTAGTATGTTAAGGTTCAATCACCTGTCACTCATGGTTGCCATGGAAACCACAATTTGCATTGAAAAATCCTTAATTTTGGCCAAACCTGTAAAGGGACATATAGAATGAGGATTATTTTTCAAATCAACAGATATAAGAATATTTTAGCACACCCAAAATGGCCAGGGAAGTTTAAGCATTTGTTTAAGCATAAATGATATTGCAATTTATATAATTGGTAAGTGTCAAAGACCATACTACTACATAAGTGATCAAAAGTGGGCGTCGCCCCCATAATCGTAAATGATTACCATTCTCTGAAAAGACAGAGTTTAACTTGACTGTTGCGATACATTTATATTGAAGTTCTTTAAATATACTTTATATCATGCATTTCTGGTAAATAATGTACATATAAGTATAAAAGTTGTTGCATGGGGAGCGGAGGGGGGGGGGTGGTAGTAACAGAATTTGGAGGGGGCAGAGCTAATCAGCCTTAGTATAATTCTCATTTATATAGTATTAATTCTCATTTATATAGTTCTGGATATTCAAAGGTTACATCTTCTTGGTCTTCTTCATTTTCATTACAATATATAGGTACTACATTTTACATGATTGGTGTCCAAGACCATACCATTACATAAGTGATCAAAAGTAGGCAGCATCACCTTCATAATAGTAGATGATTTCCATTCTCTATAAATACAGGATTTAAGTAGAATTTTCAATATATATATATATATATTTATCATTTATAAGTTCTTTGATTATACTTAATATCAACCATTTCAGGTAAATAATGTACATCTCACTGGTGTCAGTTGAGAAGATATTTATAGTTTTCATTGACTTAAACTACTTTATAGTCGATGTAATACTTTGATATTTGAACTAAACCAGGCTTATATGGCATATACCATCGCTCGATACTGACCAGTGACATCTGAGTTTAATAGTTATTGCATGAGAGGCAGGTTGAGAGAGGGGGGGGGGGGCTTGTAATAGAAACTGGAAGGGCGCTCATAATACTTCGTTCTGGATTTACTAAGGAACATATACATCTTCTAGGTCTTCTTCATACTCATCTCAATATATAGGATATTACAATAAACATGATAGGTAAGTATCCAAGACCAAACAATTACATAAGTGATCAAAAGTGGGAATCTCCCCAACAACAGTATATATTTCATTCTCTACAAACAGAGGTCAACTTGAGTTTTAAGATCATCCAGTGATCTCCCCAGGATTTCTTCTTAGGTGGGTACAAAATTTCCATTTTCACAATTTAGACCAAAATTGGTCAAAATATGCCAATTTTTCATGATTTCTCTAACTTTCAAGTGGGTGCATATGGATTTTAAGGTGGGTGCAAACCTATTTTCAAAATCTCAGGTGGGTACTGCGCCCACTTGCTTTAATGCTTGGAAGATCACTGTCATCTATACATCATCTATACTTCTATTATTTAAGAAATATAGACTGAAGAGCAGGTGTTATATTGACAAATACACTCCACATGGCTATGCAAGGGAGTGAGGGGTTCGAAAACGTTTGTACCTAGCCCTAAGGGGTCATTGTCAATATCACACCTGCTCTGAGGTATATATTACAATTCAAACATGAAAACTCCCCAAAATTTTTCGAATATTCAACTTATGGTCTGCCATTACTACAGCCCTCTTGATGTCACACATTACTCGTATTACCAAGGGTAGTGTTGACATATATACCCCAGGTAAAATGTTGACTTTGTTCACAGTTTATAGAAGGCGTGAATACAGTCATGTTCAAATATAATTTATATAAACCATTTCTCATAAATATGTTTAGTAGTATAGTTTTTACATGAGGTTAGGGTGGGAAGTGGTTTCAGACCTAGGAGGGAGCTCTACTCCCTCCCAATTATTCTGTTACTACTCCCATCTAGGGCCTGGCATAATATATGCAGCCTTCATACCTTCGCTAGATGAAGTAAGTGCATTTTCTTGACATGGGCATCCTGAATATCATGCGATAAATCACAATAATGAAAATGATCAGACTATGAGAAGGTTCATCTATAGTTGTTATTGTATTGCCATAACTAGACATTCTGATACTCATAGCATCTTTCTGTCTCACCTGAAGGGCTGGGAAGAAATAAAATTTCATGGTTTATCATGATGATCACTAGAAAGGATATGGCCCATTCCTTAGGGCCCATATGGGCCCAGAGAGTAATATTGTCACAAGGAATAAACACATTTTCAGTCCATCTCTCATGTGCATTTTACAAATCTTTCATTTATAAGTCCTTCAATCAATGTGTTAGGATAAGCACAGAATACAGCAAAGTGTAGTGCTGGACTGCAAACAAAAGAAGACTGATTAATATGATAAAAAAACATTTATGTTCAGCGACAATGTCTTACACCAGCAAAACCAAATAAACCAATTGAAATAGAAGTTTAGACCCCATAAAACAATCAAAGACTATGAAGGAACTGACATCAGTCTTCTTCCACCTTGTCAAGAGCTTACTACAAAGCACTTATCGTGCTTATGGCTCATATTGTAAACCCTGACATTCCAGCTGAAGATGGACATGGATGGAAACTGAATGACTCCACCATTGCATTGGGTATTGACTGGTATTCTCAGACAAATGATTGTTGATATAGCACCAGGAGATGAATCAGAAAGACTCCAGAAGATGTATCTTATGAAATCCAGAACTCTGAAGATGAAATTGATACTTAATGCTGACTTGTTCCCCCCACCCCTCCCTATTCTGTTACTACCCCCATCCCATACAATAACTATATACAGTATATTGAGATAACTAAGAAGACCCAGAAAATACTCTATGAAGAAGTCCAAAAGAAAGAATTTATTCCTAAGGCTGATTAACTCTGCCCCCTCCCAATTCTGTTACTAACCTCACCCCTCCTCATGCAATAACCATTGCACTGAGTTGTACATTATTTACCAGAAAATATAAAGTATAATCAAAGAAGTCCAAAGTAAATGTATCTCAAGTCAAGTTTAACTCTGTTTTTATAGAGAATAGCAATCATCTACTCTAGTATGGGGGCGACGCCCACTTTTGATTACTTGTGTAATTGTATGTTCTTTGACACTGACCAATCATGTAAGTTGTAATATCCCATAAACTGAGATGAATATGAAAAAGACCCATGGAGAAGATGTACCCCATGAAATCCAGATATATGTAGATGAGATTTATACTTAAGGCTGATTAGCTCTGCCTCCTCCCAATTCTTTTACTAGCCCCCCCCCCCCTCTGTACCTCCCCCATGCAATAACTATGACACTTAGATGTACATTATTTACCAGAAATGCTTGATATAAAATATAATCAAATAAGTCTAGTGTAAATGTATCTCAAAAGTCAAGTTAAACTCTGTTTTTATAGAGTATAGCAATCATCTACTAATATGGGGGTGACGCCCACTTTTGATCACTCATGTAATTTTATGTTCTTTGACACTGACCAATCATGTAAATTGCAATATCCTTTATATTTAAACAAATGTTTGAAATGTACTGGTTATTTTGAGTGTGCTAAAATGTGCTGATATGTATTGATTCGAAAAATAATCCATATTCTACATGATGTACATGTTCAGGTTTTGCAAAATTAAGGATATTTTGAACGAAAATTGTGGTTTCCATGACAACCATGAGTGACAGAGCATTGGAATTTTACATACTACCTCAGCATGATCCAATCAACTCCCCATAAAATTATTATGATGATTGGAGACTAACAGAATGATTTATCGAGTGATGATAAAGTACCCCCTGTAATTTTCCATTTTAGGGTCGAAAATGTCAATTTGACAACTTTCGCCCCGGATACGGCGCGTCAGACAAACATTTTCTGAAGTATCACATAAAAATACATAAGAAACAAGTAATTTCAATTTGTTCACGAACTAATACATTTTTGGGTGCTAGCTTACTACCTATCTGTTCCATAAGAAATTTCCAGTATGTCTGCTCATATCAAAATGTCTACCACTTTTCATGTAAAATATAATTTTTGATAACTTCTCGTAAATACCAGTTGTCAGATTTTGTTCAGTTTTTAAATGCTAATGTGTTAAGGACATGGGACTTATCGAGATGTGGCATCAATTTATTCAGAAGAAATGTAATTTTTCTGACAATGCGAATACTGGTTAACAGAAATTGGTCCAACTTTTGATCTCTCTTTGAGAGGAATTTATTTGTCTTGAAGTTAAATGATGGGTGTAGCTTTTTCCAGGGGGCAATACTATCATGGTTATTTCTATCATAATGTTCACAATAATGAGTGATTTAAAATAATTCCAGATATGGATTTGAAGAATATAAAATACTGTATTTCATTCTGTTCCTTGCAGGTTACACAGAGAACATATGAACACATAGATAGCAAGAAGCTGTTTGAAGATCTAAGATCAACTAGACATTTTGGTGGCCTGGCATTCTATCTTGCATGGCATAAAAAGATTGACCATTTATTGGTAGACATGCTTCAAAGAGACTTGTAAGTATGATTAGGCTCAATGTATTTTTAATTGAACGAACCTAGGTTGAATTTGAACTTTGAATGAATTTTAAGAAAGATCCCAAGCACACAATTGCTTGTATTGAGTGTTTACTGTTGCATTCCATGCCAAGTGTTATTGTGGGAATATATGATCATATGGTTTTGCAAAAAGATTGCATATTTATTTATGCAGCTCATGACATTTGAATGCACTAAAGTACAAAACAAGCAATTGGCCTACTATATTTTGTTCATTAATTCTATATCTGTATTTTCACCATATTATCTCTGTATTCTCTAGGATCCGTGATGCTCAAGATTTGGTAGTACTTCTCAACATAATACATCCTGACAGTGTGTCAGCACAAATGGCCAAGTCACAAAATATTACAGATCCTAGCACACTCATTAAGGTAATAATTTCAAAATAATATAGAAATTACCTTGTAAGCTATAGTTTTCATTAAGCAGGCCTTAGTGAATATCACTGAATTTGAGTAGTGGGAAGTTCATACAGCCTAATGACATTTTTAGCAGCTTTGTAGACTGCGAACTTCAAATGATTAGTTGGACAAATGGAATTTTATTTAACACTGCAAGGAGTATGTGACTATCATTGACTGACTATACCAAAACAAAAGGGAGTTGCAGACAGTTTTAAGATATATGAAATATACAATATTGCTGTGTGTCTATTTCCAGAACTACATTGAACATGATGCCCCACATGCTGGCATAGTTGAGCTGGCACTACAGAGCTATCAAGATGACCAGCGACAACAAGAGCAACATAGTAATGCACAACAAAGCTAGCACTTGATTAACTGAAGACAATGTGCGTTTGGGACTTACTATCTTTGAGTGTGGAATAATTTTGGATTTATGAAAACTGAGGACGAACATTACATATTACAAGTTACATACATATTCAACACAATTGAAATTGTGAGCGAATTTTATGTGGATCGTGTATTATGTATAAGATTTCTATGAAAGCTACGATTCCACAACAGATGTGCCAAGAGTTTCATGTTTGCAGCATAGAGAGTAAAGTAGTTCCTGGAGTCACCCATAATACCTCAGCTTGGGATTCCCAAGTCTAATGACATTTATTGAACCCAAACTTATTCAAACTGATCTGAGACAAAACAGTGTGTCAAAGGTTATCTTCTAAGCCCAGAAAATATTTGTATCATAAAACCTGTGTTAGTGAACACCTCTCTCTAGTGAACACCTCTCTCTAGTAGACACCCTTCCTCCCCACATTCTCTACTGACTTCTGTTTACATTTTCCTCCCTGAAGTGAACACCTATCGGCACTGAAAGTTTTTTTCTTGGATGAAAAATGTTCACTATACACAGGTTTTACTGTATGGCATTTATAATATAACTTGACAAAATACAAATGTTACATTTACAATATACTTTATTTACGCATCTTTTAAATAAAATCTCTGTAATAAACTAAAATGTACAATATAAAAAATAAAATAATATTATGTCAAATCAGTAGCATTTTTTTACCAGCTCATACCTCTTATTTTTAAATAAATTTTCGAGAAATTTTCCATAATATCAATTGCTGTCTCATGTATAAAAAGTGATTGTCCTTGTTTTATAATAATGATAAACAGTCAGTTACAAAATAATAAATATACAGTGTGCAGATATTTTCACAAGGATTTGGACAACTTGTATTGTAGACAAATTGCGGTTCTATCATATTTGATTTTTCGTAAATTTTACTATGTTCAAATTCAGGACCAGGTCGCTTCAATGCTTGGAAAATTATTTTTGTAAGAGAAAAACCCAGTTCATATTCATCCATTCTAAACTACAGTTTCTATTCAATATTTTACTAAAGTAAAATGACAGACATCTTTTCGTCATCCTAGGTTTAATGAACCCTTTTAACTAATACAGGCCCTAAGATGGGTTTGAAACCAGAGCACTATTCATTTTTGCCATTACTTGACATTTAACTTTATACATATACAACATGTGATGCTCAACTTGGTAATATGATATTATTAGTAATGGTAAGCATCAATCCTATTATATCTACACATTTTAAAAATGATATGTGTTGATTGGATTAAAAATGTCAAAGTTGGAGCAATTTTGTGAAAAAGCAAAAGTGTAAGTAGCCAATACACTCAGCAAATGAGATTTGGAAAATAATTTGAACAATCTGAAAGACTGGAAATTATTTACTGTGACTGTGATTATTCTCAGAGCAGCTTTTGATGAGAACTCTAGTTGAGAAGCATCTCATGTTAAAATAAAATATCAAAGAAATATAAATGATTATACAGTTGAAACTGACTAGTGAGTAGTGGCAAAGATATTCCATATAATAACATGTATTGGACTGCTATAATGTAAATGCAGTAAAACATAAGAGCACCTCTAAACATGAACATCTCCATTGTCAAAACTTCAAGTCCCACATACCCCATTGACACCCTTTTACAACCTCTTGAAGCTGTGTGCCTTAATATGCAAAAATACAATATATACAGTGAATCTATAGTCACCTTGAAAATACATCAAAGACAATGATGATACAAGGCATTGACATGCAAAATGTCACCACCTGCAATTTTTACAGATGCTGAATGCCAAACACCAACTGCCCAACACCATCCACAAAAAAAGTTTGAGACTGGAAGTATATTTCACCATCTCAATATGTGTAAATAACAGTCAAAAATGACACCTTTATTCTTTAGGGGCTGCTTGGGATGAATATCAATGTATAATTTTTTGCTAAACTAAAAGAAGTGAAAGTGAGGTTTCGCTATGAAGATAACATAATAGGGAATTCATAACATGACATGCCTAATGCTGTGTTAGAGCACAGGTCTCAAAAGTGTTGGGTATGTTCTACAAAATTGTTGAATTGTTACGTTTAGGAAAAAACATTGATATTTTGTTCTAGTCCCTTCGCCACCTTAATAAACTAACAAAATGTAGTGTTAAACTCCTTGTCATAATATATGCACAAATTAGTCTAAAAATAATACAAAAAACGTAAAATTGAAAATGGCAATAAATGACACATATTTTATAAAGCATACAGGAAAGAATTCTTCTAATTCATGACATTTGTATCATTATATCATAACTATTCTGTTGTTGTTACCCCAATTATGATAATGCAAAAAGTTGTCATATATTTCACAAAGGGGCAATTGCAAAATTGTAAATGAAAGACAGTGTCCAAAGGTTGATTTTAACAATTTCAAAATGCTGATTTTCTATACACAACTTTGGAAAAAAGACCACCAAATGTAATACAAATCTATATTTTTCTGAAACTGTTGACCATTGGACATGCCCCCTTATTAAGCACCATTATTTTATTATACCTATAAAAACATCAACTCCCCGGAGTATCAGATCCCACCAAACAAAACATATATTATCAAATCACTTTAATCAATGCATGGTTGTAATCACCAGGCACTAGTATGTCTCTTTTGGCATGATATCACTTTATATTTTCTATCTTGACTAGAGGTTCTATACCCAATGCCCATAAGGCATCAGTCAAATTTTGTTTGGTGGGACAAATGGCAACATTCAATAAATATTAACATACAGTACTTGTAATATCATAAAATACAGTATTGCACTTGGGCTCCTTGAAAGGCAAGTTTTCAAAATAAATATATGTACACACTTTAAACTCCTTTAAATTCCTTTTCTTGTATACTGTGATTCTTCTAATGTTCAATGCTGTTTTAAATCCACATTTTGTGATTTTGTAATTGTAGAGACTCCATTGAACTTCCCTTACCTATTATATGAACAACTGATGGAAAGCTGAACAATGAACAAATAATATTGAATTTTTGAATATCTAATGGAATTTGGTTAGTATTATATTTCATGAATTCAATCTGTCAAAAATGTGAATATAAATTGCACTGGAAATTACTAGGAAGTTTTATCGATTGCCTGATTTATTTTGGCAATAATTCATAATTCATGACTGTGTTTGTTGTACGATGGGGGCATTCAGGGGACGAGGATGTGAATCAGTTCCCGCTCCTGACTGAACCACCCCTGAGGCAGGGATCTGAACCATCATCTGTCCTGCAATTAGAAATGACCTTGAATTTATACAATGTAGAGCAAGTTAAAGCGAGGTAAAAATACAAGGATAAAATACTCCCATACTTTACATATCTTTTTTTTTATAAGTGTGTACCTTGTTGGTTCAGCATGTAGCCCTGTGGGAGAGCATACAGAGTATTGGACTGTGCTGGGTCCTGGGTAAAGACTAACACCTGTTGACCCCCAGCCCCCTGCACAGGACTGTACACCACCTGGGGGGAGGGGATTGTGTACACACCCTATAATCAGTAATCAACAAAGTAAATAAAATTGTATTGTAGCAATTAATATAAAATGTCCTAATTCAAAATAAAGTCAAGTGAATTTTACTGATGACTAAATATTCACTGAATAATAAACTGTATTCTCAGTTAATTTTGTAGCTATAACATTTCGCGGATTTCTTAAGTTTAAATTTCATTATTTTCTGAATAATTAAGCTTTGTAAACTAAGTGACCTTTTACAGTTATTACACCTAGCCCAATGTCACATTTGGATAAGATTTACAATTGCTAGATCTTGGTCAATGGCACACTACACCTCAACCTCTATTACATTGTCATTTTTTGGTTTATTTGATCTAATAAGCCAGTGTAAGAGACATTGTTGCTAGTATTCCATTTATCACACAATAACACTAGATAAACATTTTACAAAAAACAAAATTCATTGGAGTCCCAGGTAATAACAAATGCAAGGGATTTATCGGCAATTTCTACCACAATCGCAAAACTAAATTGCACGCAAATAATATGGGAGTACAATATAATGAACTTTCTTGTCAACCATACAAGGACATTTGTCAGATATATCAACAGTAAATTCCATAAACAATCTTATTGTTTTTATAGTACTAATTAAAGTGCGGCCATCTCTAAATGTGAACACATTCATTGGCCATGATGGTATATACAAAAATATAACACCAAAAGATCCTGTTTTGACATCATACCTCAGGTGCGTAACAACAACCAGCTGCTTTACAACAGACAGCTGCAGCCCATATAGTGCTGCCACCTAGGACTATCCCCAAAACTAATAATGTTGCATTCAGCGCCACCTGGGGAACCTATAGAAAACATCAGAGATATGATAGTTAGGAACGTTATAGGATTCAGGAACCTTTCTGATCTGCAAGATCATACTACACAATGAAGAAATTTATCATACATGTACTATATTTATTTTCAAATTGAAGTGGTATTACTGTTCTTTTGAACAAAATAGTTACATGCAAATCAATTTTAATTTCGTTCCATTTTCAATTCAGCTTTTGGATGGCCATGGTTTCAGTATACAAACCTCAGCCTACAGATTCCAAATTTATGAGCTTGATTACGGATTTGATCACATAATGATTTTTATTGAAGTGGAGCTGTCAATAATTTCTGTTATTTGTAACAAACTGAGACTCACATACTTTTAAGGAAGTTCTGTTATAGAGCCAAAATTCCAATGACTAATACCAATGTGATGATTTGAAGATGGTGAGTTTGAGTACTCACTAAGGTTAGGATGACACAAATTGTTTCCAAAATTGCAATATTTAGTACTGGAAAATGTTCTGGAAGCTCATAACAAGTTTTTAAAATACTTCATTCAAATCTAATACACTGTAGTAGCAATTAAGAAAATACATGGAAACACATAAGAAAGTACACCTACCCCAACTTCAGTTACAAGTTCAAAGTCCCCATACATCTTTTTGTAATACTGTCTATGAGAGTCCAGATATATGCCCCAGGAAGATATGGCAATCAATGTACTTGTGGCCACTCCATTTATAGTGGACATAACAAGATATGTTAGAATCTGTAATGGAAAAGAAATGCTAAAGATCCAGAATAAATACCTTCAGGATGGTGCGTAGTAAATTAAGGTTCTGATGGAGGAATAGTTCAAGATGATGCTACTTATAGTTCACCTTAAATTGAGACATATGAAAGTCTTGTAAAATAGATAATTCATGTTCATTGTTGACGTTGGATTCCACAACTCTTTCCAAACAAACAAACAAACAACAAAGCAAACAAAAAAACTCCTATAAAATATCAAAATTGATAGTCTTGCATCAAGTCCATGACCAGGTTGAGAGAATATGAAAGGACACAAAAGGGTTTGGCGCAATATTGGTAAATAGGAAAAATTCAGTTCTGTTCTAAATGAGAGAAGTTACCAGTGAATTTGTCTTCCTTTTGCCAGCTGCAAGTCCAATTATACCTCCAATCACATACTGTAAAATAGAATTGTTATCTATATCATATAATGTTTAACACATACATCTAGACACTACAGAGGAATGAAATTGATATTGGCAAATGCTATAACTAAACAGTGTTTTCACTAACTATATCTTAATGATATATTTGATTGCTTTACCTGAAAGATTAATTGTGTGGCTTTCGCATTCAAATTTTTCTTTCTCGAATTACATGTTTAAGTATTATTGTTCATTTCAGAGGGATATTAGCTGTAAGCAATTTTCATTGTCTGAATTGAGATCAACAATCTTCTTAGCTCATAATTGTGTCCTGGATTTCTTAAGAATACCATGCAATGAATGAGTGATAAACTTCTATTAATGGTAACACCCCCCATGAGAATATTGGCATATTACAAGAGAGATGCCAGAAATGGCCTGGTACATTAAAGTAAATTTTCTGTATTTAATTATTTCCTGAATTAGAATCCATTTCCACTGTGAACAAAAAAAGTAAAGAAATAAAAACATCTATAATTGTTGGCAGCAGCCAAAGTTATGGAAACTTTAAATGAAATGGCAAGTTTGAAAATTAATATTTCATATTATATGTACATAAACACCCAAATGGGATTCTTCTTTGTGCTTTGAAATAAATGCCCATGGGAAATAAAATTAGATGAAACTTGAATAAAAAAGAGTTTATTTTCATGAATGCCAAAAAAACATTAATTCCATGTACTGGAAACAAAGATGGGATATATGCTATATAAATCATCCTATAGCCAGTTTCTACTCACCAATAAGCCACACCATATCCCTGCAACAAACTTGCCTACATAGGAATGCAGGAATATCAACATGGCTGCAAGGATTATGCAGAGTGATCCATTGACAATCTGTGTGATTCCCAGGAATACAGTGGTTTGACTGGCAAATCCTGGCCTTGCATTGCTGCGTCTTGGAATATACCTTCTGTTACTTCCATTCTGCTCAGGGTCAATTGATTCTACAGGACTGCGGTAGACAGACTGCATTATCTTTGTTCTTTTTATATATGCACACTGAAAATTCATGATATTTTAATATAAGAATAAATGTAAACAATGTACAATTACAGGGTATCCTAAAAATGAGTACACCAGGACGACTTTAACCTCTTCTTTTATATACAAACTACAAGTGACCTTCTATTATATCTCACAATTATTACAAAGATATTCACCATTCATGCACATTATTTACTAAGTATCTCAAAAGTAAACACCTTTCATTCTTGACCCATTACATAATACAGAATATATTTGATTTAAAATTTTTTTATGATGGTCTCAGATTTATGTAAAGGGTCCGATATTGCCCTAGGTTTTTACCTAATGTCAAGTCATGGGTGAAGCGCAAATTTTCTAAGCAGAATGCCACCACAGGAACGAGAGTTGCGCGAAGCAAAAAACAAGCTTTCAGGGGTCTGGTTCTCCCCCAGAAAAATTTTGAAATTTGGTAGTATTTGGAGCGAATTTGCAACCATCTGGTACATCTTGCCCAGCATACCTGTCATGTATTTTGATTATGCTTCATCCAGTTGGTTGTGTTATTATAGGTGGTGCTACGGTGCAGCCTCTTTCTGAGTTATAAATAAAAGATGAAACAACATTTGAATTATTGTCTATTGATTATTACTCATTTCCGCTTTAGTAAGTTATCTAACAGTACTGGGCACTTTGCCTGTATATGCATATACTGTATGTTCACCCTTTAAACATATGATTAAACTTCCGGTAGCTCTCATGTGGAAATCACAGGAGATTTCAAACATCGTAAATTTCTGTTAAAACTGCCATTTTGATTTCTCCCTAGAAAATATCAACTCTGGCAAGTCCTGATTGACAGGTGATAACTTAGGGAAAATGGTCCTATCATCGCACAGGTACTTAGGAAATTAAAACTAATGACAATTTCAAATATGATAAATTCAACTTACATTGAGGGTATGACACGAAAGACCCCTTCTAAAAGGTTCATGTGCAGTATGGCAAATGATTTTTAACAGTCATATCTTTAACCATGAATACTGAATGGGCATAGATACAGTGGTTTTTATTGAAACAATATGTTTTTTTTCAAGTGAAGTGCCCATGATGATAAAAATATCAATCGAACAATTCGAAAAATTATGAATAGGGATGTCATGTCAACATTTTTTTCAAAATGTTGAACATATTTACTCAAAAGAGGATCTTCTTTTCCTGTTTTTTATTGCATGAAAAGATTATTCAACAAGGGGTCTAAAACTTCTTCAAAAGTAGAATGGTATTGAAAGTCTAGTTTTGAAGATATCAATTTTCGATGATGAAAATTATACTGAAAACAATGGATAGCACGAGTTTTCCCTATGGGAAAATAACATGGCATATGTGGTTTTAACTTTAACGATTTTCAATATGCATTCCCTTTTCAGAAATTGTTAATATAGTGTAGAAGAAACTTTCGATATGTTTAAATTGAGAAAAACAAGATCCTCTTTTTAGAAAGTGAGTCTAACATTATTAAAAAGTGCCAAGGTGGGGTCCTAATCCATAATTTTTCAGAGTTAGATTGATATTTTACTATCATGGGGACTTCACTTGAAAGAAAACATATTGTTTTAATAAAGACCACTGTATTGATGGTTAGAAAGTACTCGTGGTGAAAGATATGACCGTCTAAAATCATTTGCCATACTGCACATAGTCATGGTTGACAATGCTCAACCTCCGAACGTTATCACTTTAAGACCCCATAGATTCACATGTGTGGTGGTCCTGTTAGTCTTCCTAATTATTGCACAGTTGTGTTTTGACTGCATTTCATGCTTCATGTACTTTGTACATTGTTTAAAATGGATCGATAAATCTTTATTCCCTAAAATCATTTTTCTATCAGCTTTTAGTGAAAAATATTAACAAAACATACTTTATTCACTTACTTTTATGTCTTTTTTTAGAGGGGGTCAAACTTTGTCAGACGAATTTTACTTTTTGCACATTTGCATTTATGACAGGAGCACTGGAGCAGAAGCAAATATAAACAAGACAACAGCAACGCCAAAGCGAAGCAAATCCCATCGAACAGCCATGGCTGGCATTTTTACAAAGTTATAGCAAAAATGGCGGCCATTTTTCAAAATGGCCACCTTCTACTTAAAGTGTCATTAGACAGTGTACCATGCTTATAGTATTCACATACCAAATATGAACAAAATCGCTCCACTAAATTTATTTTTGAAAATGTCGGTCCTCTATCTTGCCCTACTAGGAGACGATAGAGTGACGACAATTGTCGGTACCCAAGAATTGTCAGTACGGGAGACAGTCCGTAAAATTAGGCTCTCCAGCCCGGCCTAACTTTAACATTATCAAGCGACCTATACTCTGCGTTCAAAGACTGTCCTGTACAAATCAGACAGACTCAATTTAGGTAAGGAGGACAATCAGGACATTAGATGAATGGTATGAAGGGTAAATTTATAAGCTTTATTGTATTTCAATCCCCATCAGGGGTCATATACAAGAAGGGTATGAAGAGCATGAAGGAATCCTGTTCTGCACCTGATTTTGCAAGCACATATTTATTTCTGATAATAAGTGTGTTCTCCTACAAAACTATACTCACATTGAACTGCTACACGAAACGCTTATCTATGTATAGACTAGTCTGTTTTCAAAAATATGATTATTCATCCATATATTTCTCTAGTCTAAATCCAACGAAAGATCGCAGAACATTTTTCAATTTTTCAATTTGTTATTGATTAACCCGTGCTGCCACCTATGTTAAGATCAGAGGTTGACCTTGACCTAATTAATAATCAATCAACAATCCAGTTAATGCTGCCTGTATTCCATTTTCTCAATAAAAGATAGCTGCATAAATATCGAAGCAATTCACTAAAAAACAGTTTAGCTTGTAAACATTCTAAATACAGAAGATAACAGCATTTTGATTACAGTGATTTTAAAAGCTGCAACCCCTCAGACATTTCAATAGACTCGTCTATCCCAGCACTTTCTCAAATTCGACAGATCTCCCACTTGCGGAATAGACGCCTTATAATGCGATAAATACTAATAATTTAAAATTGCCAGGGCGGCTACTGGAGTTGATAACATCAAAAGACCGCCTGGCAAACCATAAACTGAATCTGAAAGTGGATTATTGTAGAAATCACGATGGAATAATTTTTTGAAAAGGAAATCCGCCATATTGAATCGTCTAGACAGAAATGCAAGGGATATAAAATACAATGGGGCTGGTGATGTACGCTGTAATCCTTATTTTAACATGCTGTTTTTATTTGGGTATGTATTGTTCAACTCATCTATACTCATTCCTCTTTTTTAGTCGAGTTTTGAATATAAATTTAACGAACACATTTATGCTGTTCACCCCTCTCAAAATAAGCCCATTTGTGGTTTAGAATAAAACCCCCTCCCTTTAGCTTAATGACCAACCAACCAAGGGATTCAGGTTCATGAAAAGCTGGTTGATCAAGTGCCTCAATATCTGGGTACATATCACTTTAAGAAGGTTGAGAGAATCTTATATAGATGCGACTTCTGAAAGTGCGTAGAATGTCCTTTATTATCTCATTGCAGTTATGCAGAGTTTTGGTACAACTGGTTGAGTGGATAGATTTTATTCATCTATATATACGCATGTGAGGGTAGTCTCCAGCTAAGCCAACAAACTTGTCCATAGATCTGATTGAACACTGCATAAATATCAACATGTCCTGCTTTAGATGTGTTGATCTTTATTTGACCATGCAGAAAATGGTGTCCTTTTATATATCGTAAAGGCTAGAGTACCGACAATTGTCGGTACTCTAGACTCTGATGTGGTGGCAGGCTAGAGGACCGACAAATAAATTGTCGGTACGAAAAATTTCCAATGAACATGCGTGACACATACGGGATTCGCGTGACAAATCCGAACAAATTGCGTTCGGTTTTTTCCGGCGTTCGTATTTTTACCGTATCGTAAACATATTTCGAAAAAATTTCTACAGAAATATTTTTGCTTGACAATTACCAGGTAAAATGCGTATTTTGCGTGACATTTTCTGTCACGCAAAAAAAACTGGCGTGACTTCAAATTCTTCAGCAAATGCGTGACAAATACGCAAATTGCGGGACAGTTGACAGGCCTGCTTATGGTATGAGGTTCCCTATATAGTCCATTTAAAAACCTGTGGTATCGTTCTAAATAACCCATAGTTGGCTTCTAGTGTACCTAGTATGCCACTATATGGTCTCAAAATAAAGAGGAGTTCAACTTTCATTTGAATTACGAAAATAGCGATGTAGGTCAAAATAGTTCCGAACATGAGCATGTTTACTACGCGTTTGCCCGTCATATCAGAATTGAGGAAGTGGTAGCAAACGCAAGTTACAATAAACGGACGCTGATATCTCAAAAAGTAACCTGACTCCCTATAATTTGATGTATTTTGATATATAACACTATGGGGGGTAAGCGTTTTATAGTTGGTCACGAACGCCATATGTGCAAAGTATTGTTATGAATTTTCGAATTTGGTGTTGGATTACGGTACTCATACCTTATAGCACAATTTTTGATGGAAGTTGCATTTGGCTCCCTTAGTTAATGGCCACGATTCCATCTCGCATGAGAGAGCTACCTTAGAGATGAGAGAGCTACTAAACGCAAAGTAAACAGTGATATATTCCAAATGAGATATTTCTCCTGTGCCATGGCGTAGTAAGGGTAGATGTCGACGGGGGCGAAAGCATCCCCTCCCCTAACTATATATATTGACCCATTAGATAGAACAAGAAAAGAGCTTTAAAATGTTTTTTAATTGAAGCTTGTAGGACAATTTTGATGGAAGTTGAATCAATTTTTGTCGAAATAAATTATGGCTCACTACAAGTTAATGCCTGTACGATTCCATACTGCAAAAGAAGCAATATGCCCCCCTCAAAATAAAAAAAGTAGTCCTGCCGGGATTCGAACTCGGGACCGAGTGTGTTCGAGTCGTGCTCGCTAACCACTAGACTACCAGTGATGAGGTTATTTCTGTTAGTAAAAGTAGTGCGTTTATTTATGAAATTGTCGGCTCTCCAGCAAAAACACGTAGCAGCCACTTCCGTACCGACAATTGTCGGTTCTCTATCTGGCACTACTAGGTGACGATAGAGTGCCGACAATTGTCGGTACCCCAGCAAATACCCCTGGACAGTCTCCAGTACCGACAATTGTCGGTCCTGGAGCCACTCCGTTTATATATTGAAGTGAAACTCCTCACAAAATACAATAAAAAAACTGATGAAGACAAGGATATGAACTCACATGCTAGAAAAAAGATATATGAAATAGTTATATAAAGGCCATTTCACTGTTTTATTGTGTCAGTAGAACCCCAAAATAAGAATATATGGAAAAGTATATTATATTGTAGTATATTGTATATGAATGACATTTGTATATTTCAGATTATTTAGTTTTTTGTGCAATAAGCCTGTACCCTCTTGTAATTTAAATAATTTCAGCCATGTTAATCTTTTTGAAAATACTATGGCAGAGAAGCATCAAAATATAAGAGGCCACACACTTTATTAGCCAAACTAGAAGCAATGCAAGATTAACAAATATCATTTATGTACAATATAAAAATATATTTTATGAATATAATGGCCAACATATTCATAATTTTGAAATCAAAAATTGAAGCAAATGCATTGATTTTTAATTGATATGTATACAAAGATGAACTGGGATATCACATTTAGCATATTTAATAATGCGTTTTCACTGTACAATATCACATTTAGCATATGTGAACACTTCATTTTCTATTACCTCTATAAATACAAGTGTTATCATCTGACCGCATGCCCTCAAATCACATGTCTATACTCTAGTACTGTAAGCTATGGGCATTGAAAGGCCATGGCTATACTCAGTCTACCTTAATAGCAAATGCTTCAAATGTATTTACAAATTCTATCATCTTGTTTTTTGTTGCTCAGACTCCACATCAATCAATGCCACTTGTCAGTCACATTTTCTGCAAGAATAAAATTCATGTGAACTGATCACATATTTTGCACATATGTAATCTGTTAAAACTTAAAAGTCTGTTCTAGTTGTTTTTTACACTTCTCTGCATGAACTTGTATTAGGTACCACATAAACATCATCTGGAAATTTTGTGTTTAATATGTTTTAGATGTCTAATTTAACAAGTATTGGCTTAAAATCTAGCTTGTTTGTGTGTTTCTACCAACATGCATATGGAAAAAATTCAAATCCCTTGCAGAATTCTACATTCAAGAAGTCAAAATTCTGCAAGGTTTTTATGCAGTGGTTAATCCTGTAAACCAAATTAACAAAAATTCTGGATGTTGTTGATCAAAACAATTCTATCTTATCCTTGATCCTGATGACAAAAATTATAAGACATGTACATATATAACAAAACCTGTTTAAGTGAGCAACTCTCTCGAATGAACACCTGCCTCTAGTAAACACCCTTCTTACACACATACCACGGAACTGGTTTGAAATCAGAACTTGGTCTACAGAATCAGAACCCCTTTTTGACCACAAATGAAAAATACAAACCTGGGGTATATTGATAACTGTTAATAACCATACAGTACATGTAAAGCTACGTTCACACCAACGGCGAATGCCACGCTTTAAATCGGCGAGCAAAGCGGCACCAAAGCATGGCGCTTTAAAGGGACTTGTAAAGCGGCACCAAAGCGTAACAAAGCTTGATTAAAGCGTTGGGGTCGTAGTAGGTCATAGAAAAGCTCGAAGTAAAGCGGGATGTTTGGCAAGAGCGCCAAAAATTTTTAAACTGTTTAAAAATTTTGGGCGCTCCGTTACGAATTGATTGAAGCGCCGAGAGCGTATCAAAGCTTAACAAACCATAACAAAGCTCAGCAAAGCTTGACCCAAAGCGTAGGAAAGCTTAACAGAGCTTGGTTCAAAGCGGGGACCCCAGTCTCTTCACGGTCTGTTACCACTTGACACGCTTCGTTTAGATGTCTCAAGCTTTGCTACGATCTGGCATGAAGATCTGACACGAGGTCAGACGCTTTCATCAATATCTGACACTCTTTGTTATGCTTTCATGAAGGACTCTCAAGCTTTTTAACGAATTGAGACGCTTTAATCAAGGATTGAAATGCTTTGTTAAGCTTTGTTACGCTTTGTTACGCTTGACAAGCTTCCTCACGCTTTCTCACGCCGTGCGACAAACAGTCATGTCTTCTTCAGATAGGTCATGATCTGGTCCATCTGGAAATTCTGGATCTTGTTGTTCTGTCCTCGTTTTCTTGAGTCACAGATGCAATGGTTTTATGGATCTACTGCATCTTTATACAGCCATTTGATCAAAAACGTCATGATAAAGGCGATCTCGAAAATGCACAACAGAGCTTGGCAATCGTATCAGAGCCTGATTTAAGCGTCATAACCGCACCAAAGCGTAAGAATGCTTACCACAGCTTATCAAAGCGTGATTTTAAGCGTAACAAAGCCTGGTCGAAGCGGGATCATAGCGTGAGGAACCGTAACAAGTCGGGAAATCAGAGCGTATCAGAGCTTATTCACGGTACCCATGTCAAGCTGCGCGCCTACTTATGCGCGCAGTTTGTTTCGATCACAAACTGCGTGCCTAAGAACATTGGATCATTTAAGTTGGAGTCTGTATTTTGAAACGTTATTTAAAGACATTTATCCTGCATTGTTTTCTTGTTCAATGCGTTCATTCTGTGGCGAATATACGAATCTTGCAAATACTAGCAAAAACTGTGTGCAAATGAATCTTAGTTTTAAAACATAAGCAGATTAATGGCATTTTCGTCACTGATTTAATGGGAATTTATACGTAAATCGATCTAGCACTTTAAACATACATGACAAATACTTTAGACTCGTTTTATATTTAATTCCTTACACATTTATCATGTTTAATTCAAAATATTTCGAAATAAAACAGATAATCAGGAGATTAAAAAGAAATAAACCACAAACTGCGCGCCTATTTTAGCCAGAAATTACAATCTGTGCGCATACACTATTAAAACTACATATTATCATTGGAATTTCTACAGAGGTACGTGTAGGTGTTTTCGATGTAGCTTTGGAAATTTTGCTTTATCGTCAGATTTTATGAGATTTTCATATTGAAAGTCAAAATGTATAATAGAAGTGACAATTAAGTTGGGAACGAAAAAAACATTTATTTTCAGATCACCTTCTTGGTGGATGGACTCTCATAGTGTTTCAATTATGGGGTTCTACTATTAGACACATATGTGCCTTATATGGCGCTTATGTTTTCTAATAATACAAAACAAGCTTGGATAGGCAAGCAGTTTTGAAATATTTGGCACGCAGTTTGGGAAATACATGTGAATATAGGCGCGCATTTTGACAAGAAAAATGTTTAAATCACGTTTATGGCGTATTATCGTTTTGAACACAAACTTGGCTGTTTTAATCAGATGGAGTGATCCTATATATTCTAGCATACACAGACACAATGGCTGAATAAACGGCAAATGACGATAAAAAGACATAGATATAACTTTACACTGTAAATTTTGAACACAGAAGTTACTTAAGACCCTTATATTGAGATAACTAGGTTTACATCGGGAAAAACATTGAGTACTATGAGTAAATTAAGTTCATCTTCACAGAATGGTACTATCTTTAGAACGAGACTAACCTTGTATTTTTCGTATTTTGGCTCTTTTTGGGAGTCGTGTCCTCCCCGTCTCACATTTTGAAATATGCGCGCAGTTTGTCAGAGTTTCAAACTGCGTGCCTAGTAGGCACGCTGCTTGACATGGGCATCGTGTTATTAGAGCGTAACATTACTTAGGGGAGATCGTGATATTTTTGGAAAAGTAAACATAAATGACAGCGCTTTGCTCGCCGATTCGCCGTTGGTGTGAAAGTTGCTTTAAAAATGTTTGGCGCTCTTGCCGAATATCCCGCTTTACTCCGAGCTTTTCTACGACCTATTACGACCCCGACGCTTTAATGAAGCTTCGTTACGCTTTGGTGCCGCTTTACAAGCCGCTTTAAAGCGCCATCAAAGTGCCGTTGGTGTGAACGTAGCTTTAATGTCTTGTTGATCTTGCTCATTCTCCCTTCCATAGAACTTCCAAACTATCAACTTTTGTTCATCAACTCAGCCCATTTAGGGTTGCCAAGCATTTTCACTTTGATGACAATCTAATGAACATGACAATCAAAGTTCGGTCAGAATATTATATAAATTAATTCAAATTAAATACAATTTACTTATAATATAATTGTATTTTACTTACTTTTAGTTTCAGGCTTAGTTAGGGGAGGCATCAAAAGTTCAATGTCTGATTGAAAACTAAATAAATCTAGATGGGGAGGGGGGTGGTTCAAAGTCATTTCAGTTTGCTATCCGACAGATTTCAGCATTTCAAATTTTTTTGCAATTTTGACTTGGAATGCCTTGGAATGGTTTAAAAATAAAGATTTAAACCTGATTCTTTCTTCGTCAAGATCATTCCAATAGATTCTATTCTATCAATAGTTGTTAAAAACCACAAAATACGCAAGAAATTAACAAAAACTTTCATGGTTTTTTGGGAGAGGGGGGTTGAAGTCAAAACTATATTTATTTAGTTTCTGATCCGACAGCGAACTTTTCATGCCTGCCCTTATTGATTTCAATATATTGGAATTACTGCCTGCTCTGATGTTAGAATGCTAATTATAAAAAAGAGACATTTTTTATTATCAGGTTTGTTTTGATTCTATTGACTGTTGCAAGTGCTTTAAAGGAGTAACAAGAAAATTTTAACTTTTTCTTCAAGCTATCAAGGCAACATTTGGCTTAACATCTTCTTTGACATACCTATTTCCTTAAAATGTAAGTCAAAACTATCAATTTCATTAAGAAGTGTAAATTCAGTTCAAAGCTTCAAAAAGGGGAAATCCACTTTTATATTTTTAAAATCCACCAAGATGTTTCAAGAGGAATATCAGCGGAAATAATGTTTATCTAGGGGGTTTCTTTGTAGATAATAAAAATAGATATATAAGTCTTGATGAAATATCCAGACTTAAATATATTTTAATACTGGTCCTGATGGGGTCCATGATTGTTGAATAATTGTTGCACCTTGAAGTAATTATGTTTGTTTCGGTGTAAATGTTGATCAACATAATAGTAACAATGTTATGCATCAAATAATAAGAAAAATGTAAGATTAGATTCACTATGATTTTCTCCAGAAATAATCAGATAGCCATGAATCTGTGGCCTTAAAGTCTTCCCTACAGATTTAGTGTATCCGTTATATTCATTTAAATACTATACTTGCAATGAGTAAGGCTCTGCATTACAATGAGCCAAGACGCCAAATATATTGACATGATATTGAGTTCAGTTTAAAACCACTAGCTTACAAATAGAGAATCAGACATTGACACTGTGCATTTCTGGATAGCACATGGTCTAGTATTTTGAATTTTCTCATCTTTTTTACACTATTAACGCATATTTATTGAATTATATTATTCAACCCTGATATTTTATGAATCATATACGAGGAGAGATCAATAAGTAATAAATGCTTTTAACACATGACAATTTTGATCATATCTGATGTATATTAGAAGAACCACAATCAGACAATGTATATCTTGAATCTGTCAATCTATGTTAGGATTAAGAGTTTGTTTTCATTGGGATCTGCCATCATGAGAAATAAGTTTCCTGTCAATTTCCTTCTCGAGATTGCTTGAGTCTCAGAATGGGGATCTACAGTCCATACTATCTACCTACAGACCTAGGAGTCTCAACAATTAGATAACAATGGTCTCTGATAATCACAGACACTTCCTAAAGTTAAGAATTCTTCAAGTTCATTGTTCTCTGGTATGATGATCTGTGGTTACGACAATAAAAAAGAATTCCTAACTTTAGGAAGTTTATGTTTAATGACCTCCAGAATTATTTGTCTTGATGAAGCAGATTTATTGATAATGTATACATCTGTACAATGTGTACTATATATTTAGGCCCTGTATTCATGTACTGTAATATGTCGATCATATATATTTCCCATTGAATTGAATATATAATTCGTCATGAAATACCATTTGCATGGTCAGTGTTTGCACTACCTCTGATTATAAACCTTGATATTTTTATGATTCACGTATAGCATGTTTTTTGATTTCATCCCATCATTTGATTCATGTCGATTCATGGTAATACCCCAGGGGGTAATACACTAAACAGTGATACAGCATTTTTCAGTATTTTTATCAACTATGACCAATTGTTTTAAATGTTCTCAATACTGTAGTCACTTTGGAAAGACTCTCCTTATTTTTCATCTAGACGTTTTAGGTATTTATCTGTTATCTGAGACTGTCAATAACCTCACGCTGGATAGTATACTTTCATACAGTGGTGTAATAGCTGTATGAAGTAGAATGACTTAACGTTGAAAATTGATGGTTTTAATTTATTTTCATAATTAAAGACCACTTCATTATGTCATTAAGAAAACAAGTATGTTTTATATAATTACTGCTTTATCAATGATTGTTTAATTTTTTATTCTTTTTTCTAAAGGTATATATAGTGTTGACAGTAACTGCCACAAATATTTCTATACTAGGCTAAATATTCAGTCTATTGATTATTCAGGGTATTGTGATCTGTAGCACTCCCAGCTCTATAACATTACTTCATCATATTCTACGAATTAGTTCTATATAGTAAAATATTGTATTTGATGAACATAGAAAATGTTTGAGTCCTGTTTGATCAGGTATTCAGGCAGGTGAATGTAATTTGGCTCCTTTTAAAATCAACATCGTATATTCCAAGCATAAGTTTTTACCATCCTAAAAAGGTCTAGAACCCGATTAAATAATGCAGTGTTATGCATCATGCAAAGTTTGTTTGATGCCCTCTTCCCTACATGGGATGGGGTGTTGGTTTTAAATAACCTCTTGAATCCCAGTCTCTAAAATCAGTTGAAACCAGAGAATTTTTCATTTTTGCCACCTTTTGATATTTAACTACATTCATATACAACTTTAGATGCTGAACTTAGTAAAATCAGACGGCGGAGATCATTTCTACAAATTCTAAAACAAGTTTTGTTTAAATAGATGAAAACTGTTCAAATAAGAGCAATTTTAGTGAAAAATTTTGTGACGGATTTTCTCGTCACTCCAGGTAGTCAAGGGGTTAAATAAAATTAAAACTACAACTTTATATATAGATTGTTAGCTTGTTAGCTTGTTAACTGTGCCCCGTCCCCATAAACCATATACACTACTCACATTTTGTGTTTACAGTTAATGGGAGATGGGACATGGCCTAATGGTTAAAGGCTTGTGTCTTCTGGCACCACTTTTGGTGGTTCGAATCCTGGCCATAGCAAAGATTTTTTTTCTTTTTTCTTTATCTCTGGGCCACAATATTTTTTTAAATCTCTTTTTATGTAACATATAGTCATATCTATTACTTTTTGGAGTTTTAGATTATAGATAGATTCATCGTCTGTGTGTTCAGATACTTTCGAGTGTATTATAATAAAAATATTTCCACATTGTTTTCTTCAGGATGCAGTGGGATTCCTTCATCTACAAAGTCCCCTGGGCTGATGTGTGCCCACAAGGCTTCGAGTGAGGGTGGTGAAAGTGAGACTGGACAATCATCTGGGCCAGTGAGGACTTCGGGTATAGTGCAAGCAGACAATAAGAGTGTCAGTTGTCCCTCTCATGACCATACTTGCTTTACACTGTGGACAGAGAAAACAAATGAAGTATTCATGCAAGGTCAGTTTATCAACTACTTCTTTGTTATTTATATGGGGGTCCCACGAAACATTATCTTTAATTTCGATATGAGCAACGATATTTACCTCACGATTCATGATACGATACAAACGATACAAGCAATGCAACAGCGCAACAAATATTTTTATTTTGAAAAAAATATATGGGAAAACAAGACAGTAAGATGCCAAATGTCCCAACCACCGAATTTCGAACTCGTGAAACAGTATGTAACTATGAATGTCCTCCTAGAACTAATCACCACTAGTGTTCAGTATCAATACATGATTTATGTTTTTATTTCACGATCTTTTCCAAAGTTTTTTCATTAAACGAAACCGGAGGTAATAGAGGTACATTCTATGCCAGATTACACAAGGAACAAAATGGGAAGATACAATCTCACATTATTTAATGTGATTTCGAACATGATTTTGCTGTTTTGGGAGGTTAAAAACGATACAGAATTTTAATCGATATTCAAGTTGAGTATCGATACGCTCATATCGTGACCAATTGCTCGAGCGCTTGAGCAAATCCGAGCAATCGCGAGACCCCTAGTTAGAATGCCAAGGTTGCATTGGGATATTGTTATCATTCACTTGTGAGACAGTATATTTTAGTTTGATTAACTTATTTAGTTTTATAGCCTGTTCCTTTTATCAGCTACAAGCCATGATAATGATATGCCCCTCCCCCTGTGATTTAAAAAATCTGACATATATTCCCAATCTACTTTTGGATGCAGGGATCAGATCATCCAAGTAGAGGTGTTTCATGCAACTTCATTCACAGCTTTTATATTAATGTTGACAGACACCAATGTCTTAGTTTATATAGATACCAATGCAGTTGAAATTATCAGTCAGACAATTAACTCAGTGTGTCAATTATACACCACTTTATATAATTTGAGTCTAGACATTTGACATTCTGCCATCCTATTAAGATAATAACCTATATGGCTAGAATGAAAAGAAATTGCATCATGATATCAATATTATCTGAGCTGTCTGTTGTTTTGGCCAAAAATGTGTTTAAAAGTACATGTACTGTATACTCTTGAATCATTCCAATGATTGTACATGTAGTTTGACGGGGATACAAGGAATCCCTCCATTTGCCATTCTGTCCATGTCCATGTTATCTTTGGAAGTTTCAAAGAGGCTCTTTTCCCAATTTGACCAACCTAGTACCTAACACATGTTTTGAATTGTATGATTACTGAATTGTTCACTTACAGGCTGTTGGAAGTCTAGCCAGAAAGCTGATGACTGTAACAATGACTGCTCCAGCAGCCGGCCATCCTACTCACCCCCTAATACTAATGGTAGCAGCAACCATATATTCTTCTGCTGCTGCAGGAGTAACTACTGCAATAACAACTACAATGTCAACTATACGGCACTTAGGATTATCAACAGCCAAACATCCAAACCTCTTTTGGATCAGAACCCTGGTGAGTTCATTAACAAAATATAGCTGGCTTTCTTGAACTTATGCATGCAGCATACCAGTAATTCTAGTGCACATTCCATCATGGTGATTTAGGTACTAAAATTGTAAGTGACCTGTGTAAATAAATAGAGTTGTTTGACATTTCTCTGCAATGTGCATTGTGCTTCATTATGATACTGGATCATCTCTGCCATGCAAAGAATAACTGATAGGAGGCTGTGATATATCACAATGATTGTGCTTAGTATTTTTGGAAATTGGTTGGAAAAAGTTAGAAAAGTGCTTATTGTAGAATTTTATTTTCTAATCTAATTTATATTTGATGAATATTTTTATGACACTAAAGAAAATATTTACCACATATTTATGAAAACTTTTAAAAACCTTTGATTTTTATGTCACCACCAAAAAGCGACTTCAATTTTTTTCAAAATCATCTACAAGTTTTCAGAAGTTCAAATCTGACTCTAGAATTAAGATTTGACCTTCGATGACCTTTCAAGGTCAAAAAAAGGTTAAAAGGGTCTTTTTTCAAAATTTTCAAGTTCACAGAAGTTCAAACCTGACTTAGATATGAGGTTTCACCTTCAATGACCTTCTCAGGGTCAAACTTTTTTAAACTTTTGAAAAATTCCTGGGAGCGGGATGGATATATTATATCTGCCCGCATTTGGCTTGGAGCGGGACATATACAATATATCCTGCCCGCTCCTCAGATATGATATATATATTCCCGGGTGAGATCTACCCCAAACCCACTCAAGTATGAGATACATAGTACTATGAGATACTAGTACTATGTATATATCCCTGATTGTCAGAGCCTGTTTGTAGATGTTCTCTGTTGCAAAATTAACAAGACATTGGAAAGGGTACCTAAAGCTACAAAAAAACAATGCACGTGTATTGATTGTATTCTCATCTGTCAAAAATACCAGTTAGATTTGTGTATGATTTATGTGTGGGGCAATATACCAATTTCTCTCCACATAAAAATGTTTAACTTCAGACCCCCAGTCCTACATTAACAGATATCAGTATTTCAATCAAGATCAAACTTGTTGTTACCAGTCTTGATCAATCTCAGTCAGCTCTGTTGACCATACTTTAACCTAGACTTTATGTTGTTTACATTAAAATGCCAATGACAGTTAATTTTTTATCTGAATTGTCATGTTTGAGTGTATGTTTATTCTGTCTATAAAAATAATGAGTGTGACCTTGTCAACATTTCTAAAATCTGATTGATAAATGATGTGCAAATATTCTCAGAGAATTTTTTTTAATTGGTGCAGACTTTTGGCTAGCCTTCAAGATGGAGTGGTCCTTAGTTAGGGGAGGGGTTTTATTCAGTTTTTATAAGAGTTCTTATAGATTATATTCATCTTCATAGGCTACAATTTGAGTAAGGATCCATTTGAAAATATGTTTTTTATCATACATTTATTATTTTTCATGACTTTAAAAAGTCATTTTAGACATTTTTGAAAAAAGATTGGCTTTTATTTCTCTAATATTCAAATTTCCCGCAATTTTTCAAATAAAAGTTGATTTTTTAATCATCAATATTCCATTAAACAGTGCAGAACACATTACCTTTTTAACACTGTTATAAAGATTGAACAAATGACACATTATTTCAATAATAAAATGTGATATTTAATGTGCCATTTTAATGTTTTAGCATATTAAAAATATTTTGCAACGTGATATCACTCAGGGAGCAGAAATGTTTGTAAAAAGTGTTTTTTCCTATGTCAATCTTTTCTAAATATGTTTAACTTCAAAAATGAACCTGTGTTTATTTTTCGCACAAAAAGTCCTTCAAAAACCACTTTTGAAATTGAAAACAAAGGTATCACAATTCACATTTTGATAACATTGTGTAAGACTACAATATAAGCCAAGGTGAGGAGCTCTTGTACATTATCTCAGCAGCACCCTATTCCTTCTTTAGAGTTGCTTACTAATAGCTGGAATAAAGTGTAAGAATCATCTTTGCTAAATGATTCATCCTATGTCCCATTATTGGAAATAACATATTGGAACTCTGATGCTACAGTATAATGCATCTATATCTTTATAAGTGTCTCTATGTTCTACATAAAATTATTCAGAAGAGATTTAGAGTTGAAATATAACAAAATAATGACATTTTCATCTATATGTTCTTCATTTATAGAGGAGAGACATTCATTCTGGAGACACATTCATATGTTTTGCAAGGTTAATGCCGTGAACATGACTCACTCCTTTGTGTCTCTTGATATAATGATTCTCCCAGAATTCACTGTTAGAAATGATAATTAAATGATTCACAATTGTAAATGGATTTCTTCTGCAATAACACCTGTGTTTTTGAACACTTCTGTAAACTGAAAACGTTAAAACATGAACTTTTTGACATTTATTTTATAAGACTTGTGTCTCATTGACTCCTCTGTTATCAAATCCCATCTCCCAATATGAATTTTTCATCAAAGTATGAACAATTTTCCAAACCCAGTTGAATTCACTATAGATAGGTTTTACTGCATATTGCTTGGAACATCTTATTGCTATGAAGGCAAGGAGGCAAGGAGGACAGATTTGAAATATTTTTCATATCCAAGAGGACATTGCATATAATTACAAAACTAGTGCTCATACTAAAAAAGTAAAAAAGAGGATTGAGAGCATGATTTTGAAATTATACAAATAATGGTCTTGATTAGATAGGAAAATCATACACAATCTCTCATATTTGTAATATTAAATGTTGGAATAATTAACATCACATGGAAAGATTCTCCATGTTGGGAATAATAAAATGGATTTATTTCAGATTACAGATCTGGTGAATCATTTAAAGTCATTTATAAATAAATAATATCAGATTACTGAAGTGTATTTTCTTCGATATTTATTACTTAGCACAACAGTGAATCTTGTCTAATGTGGCCTCCTCTATATATATTCCCGGGTATATATTGTGCCACATTCAGTCTTCACATGTTAAGGTTTATGTAGATGGGTTTTTTCATACAAGTATATATGTCCGATGTACTTAAAATGTTCTGACCTGAAAATATTCACATTGCTTGTAGAGTATTCACTTGTATTAATCATATGTAACATTTTAATTGTACTGTGAATATACTATCACTTGCATGGATGAAAATGGAAAAAAACTGATTTCATTATAGTTCTTCAAAGTTGCATGAGATGACTGGATCTGATGCTAAAAATTGAATTCATATTTTGTTGTTTTTCAGATCAAGGAGTTATTACACACCCTGGATATGATGTAAACTTGCCTGCCTATATCCTTGTACCAATAGTCGTTGTTGCTGTATTTCTGGTCATTTCCTACTTTCTCTACCGGCGCCATCTACCCCCTGATCCCTTCACTGAGGTGAACGAAGCCTTAGACCTGGCAGAGGGCCAGTGTATCACTGACTTTGGGTTAGATGATCTCAAGATATCAAATGTATTGGACAGAGGGCGCTATGGAGAGGTTTGGAAGGGCTCGCTCAATGACCGTGAGGTTGCAGTGAAAAAATTTGGCCAGCATAATTTTGAATCATTCTCAAATGAGAGGGACATTTACATGTTGCCATTGGTTGAACATGCTTCTATATTGAAATATTTTGGAAGTGATGAGCGAATTGAAGAAAATGGAAGTTCATCATTCTTGATGGCTCTCGAGTATTGCCCCAATGGGGCCCTTATGGCATTCCTTAAGAACAATAGCCTTGACTGGGCTACAATGTGCAAAATGTGCCAAAGCATAGCCAGTGGGGTGGGCCACTTGCATAATGAACTCACGAAGGGGGATAAGGTTAAGCCCGCTATAGCTCATAGAGATATAAACACTCGCAATATACTAGTCAAGGCCGATCTATCATGTGCTATATGTGACTTTGGATTTGCTATGAAGATACAGGGAAGCAGGTTTTACCCAACAGGATCTGATGAAAATGACACACCATCACTTGAAGATGTAAGTCTTTCCATTTTTTCATTATTTTCATTTAATGATGCTGAGTAAGCTTGTTGGCATCACACCTCCAAACACACTAACATGCTCTCAAATATTAAATTCAATAGATATACAAATTGTTAGATATTCTGCATCGATATAGAAATTCTACATCGTACTGCTTATTCCTATATTTTACGCTGCATATTTCTCTTGATTTTGGGAAGCTACGGCCACCATAGAGTTGCGTTAGATGACTGAGTCATAAGCTTCATAGTATGGGAAATATCGCATGATTCTTTCTAATTGATGGTACTCATGACAGAATGAGAATCATGACTGTATGCTAATGCTGTGTTCTCCCCTTATTGAAATCTCTGAGGCACAGCACCTCCATGTATTTTATAAAACCAAAATGCTCCTCAATGCAATTAGATGCACCTTCTAAAATGTTACAATAAAGAATAAAAAAATACTAAAATGTTACACAAAACATACAAAATCGTATGTTGCACAAAATAATACAAAATCATAAAAGGCTGCATAAAAAACTAGAAAATACTAAAATGTTGCACTAAAAAGAATAATAAAATCCTCCACAACAAAAAATCCTTGGAGGGGGAAGCACTATAATGCTACAAATTATTTCTAAGATTGTAACTGTAGGCCTTAGTACAGTTGAAATAAGAGTGCATTTAGTTTCAAGTATGTTAAACCCATTAGCCCTGTGTTATCTATAAAAAGCAACATACACCAACACAAAGACTTTGTTGTTCGGCCAATCAGTTTATGTCAGGGTGACATCAACCTTTATGTCAATGTACAGCCTGTGTTCACCATGAATGATAGTACCTTTAAGTATTCTATTTCAGCCGAAACTAAATCATAATATCACAGCTAAAACATGCTAGTGCTTCATATAAAAATCATAGATATTTCTAGATTTTACAATGCAATCAGGTGACAGTTGGAATATTAAAGCAAGTTGATAAATTCTCGTAGATATTGATTATATGACACTAACTTAGACTAGCAGGAATGTTATAATGAATAACAGTTACTTATATTATTATTTTGGCAATGTGAAGCAGCTATAGGATATCTATTAATCATTCTTCAGAGTTGAGATCAACTCAGAGGGAGATGTATTATATTTATATTGGTTCCACAAGGCTATAGACATATTCAATATCAAAATTAAGTACATGTAGTATTATAGACAATTAATAACAAAAGAAATGTCATGTCAACATGCAAGAACAATTACATGGTAAAGCTTAGAGTAGAACATATGATATACTGTATTAATCTTACTTAAGACTCTGGATGCCTCCCCCCCCTTCCCCTCTATCTACCACAACACTTCTGTTAGTGGAACACTTTCAGAGTCCCAAGACCAACTGACAATGTTAAACAAACCTCTAAAAGTGGCACACTGCCCAAGTGGAACACTTAGAAGTACAAAAGGTGTTCTACTGAGACAGGTTTCACTATATCAATTTTCAGATTCAATCCTCAGAAAATCCAAAATTCCCATCCGATGTTTGAATTTGCATTTATTTGAGATCTCTTTAAAGTATGGCTGTGTTGTACTCAAACCGAAGATATTTTAGAGTAGAGTTTGTACTTTGGAAAATTCATGAACAATTAACTATAAGCTGATTGTTTCAATACCAATGGTGATATTTAAATTTCAGGTGGGAACGCTGCGTTACATGGCCCCTGAGGTACTGGAAGGTGCAGTTAATCTGCGTGATTGTGAGGCCTCATTGAAACAAATAGACGTCTACTCTCTTGGTCTCGTAATCTGGGAAGTGGCGTCAAGAACAACTGATCTCTATCAAGGTAACAACCTCTAAAATACAAAATTATTCTGAGTTTACTCACTGAAATCTTTTAGAAAATACTCTGGAATTGAATATTTGTAGATTCTAGAGAGACAACATGAATGCAACAGGCAAAATTGATGGAAATCATACATTTAAACATGAAAATCGCCTGTTGCCTGCTACTAATGAAACTCCTGTGAATGGCTTACTCTGCTTGTATGTATTGTATGCCAGCCTGATAAGCAGAGGCTGAACATGTTACACTTCAAGTATACACATTTTCTGGCCTTCAAATGATCATATTAGGTTGCATCATACTTTCTCAAACATTAAAATGTTATTATGTATGATAGAAAATTAATTCTGTATTTCTGTATAATTTACATGGTTTCTTCTATTATATTGACTCATGTTATGACAGACTCATCCACATTCTGTGCTTTGATTTGAAATGTTAGTTTTTACAACATTACATAAAATATTTCTTCAGTGGGTAGCTCAGAGGCGTTCATTATCATACTACAGGTGCTAATAAATGTTATATATATTTTTTTAATTAAAAAAAACATCCTTTTTTCATGTCCCAATAGAAAGAACAGGTCCATTTAACAGACTATTGGTCCACTTAGACTTTTTCTGAAAAACTCATTCTTCCATTTACTTTTAAAACCGATTGCAAGTTGTAGATAAACCTTTCTTCTTGAGATGTGCAATTTCAAAAAGTGGCATAAGTTCTCCATTTCTTTGAAAAATTGGCAGTAAGAACCCCTATCACAAGGCTGTCTGAATATGGGTACACATTATGTTTACTAGGGGTGGGACGGATAACCGAAATACCGAAAAACCGCGGTTCAGAGCCATCGGATCGGTTTTCGGATCGCTACCCTACTGTCGGTTCGCGTTTTCGGTTCATTTTCGGTTCAGTATTTAACCTACAAGTAAAAATATAACACTGTTTTACAGTGTTTGTCAACATTTTTGATATTTCCCTACCTCGTCTGCTGCTAGCTCACTCGTTTACACTCGTTTCGTATCCAGGTGCTTAAAATAAAAATTAGCAGCCCATTTGGTTAGGAAGCCCGAGAAATGGTTAAATCTCCCTGATATATTGAACCCAACCTACTTAAATTACTTGCTTATTCCTTGGATATTCAATTACCTTAATTTCACAACATAATTACAAGAGAACATGCCTGAAATAATAGAGAAATAGGCATGAAATGGACCAACACAAAATTTCTATGTTCTAAGATCGGCAAAAATTGAACAAACTGACAACGCTCCATTTTACATTTATTCCTGCCAAGTCCACTCTAATTTTAAGTGATTATGAAACAAACAAGAACTATACATCTAAAACAATAACTTTTTGAAAGAAATATGTACTAATTATTGCAAAATCAGGAGTTTAATTTGACATTCTTAGCGATATTTTATTGGTCTGGTTGATATGGATATGGGTGTTCTCAGAAAATGCTATACAACAAGTCGCTTTAGCGAACAATATGCGGGAAATTCAAAAAATCAAAATCAAAAATCGTCACAATAATATTATAATGTTGGCATAATTGATTTGCACAAATTTATATTTGTAGGGATATTTGTTGTGATGTAGGGTATTAATTTGCGCGCACAAAGCATCCATATTTGAGTTCCTATATAGGAAATGCATCATAGATGTCACGACATCTGAAAAGACATCATAAGTTTAGCGTTTGCAAGATAGTAGGCCTATAAGAAAAAGGTTTCTTCTACAAGTAAAATAAGTTATTTTATTGTGGGTAATAAAATAAAGTGACAATCAGTAGTGTAGTCCGAGATAAAGGCATTCAATCTATAACAATCGCTAAATTGAATGAACCGAACCGAAAAAACCGAACCGACGGCCGGGCAACCGAAAAACCGAACCGAACTGAACCGAAACGAACCGTCCCATCCCTAATGTTTACCATCAAAATAATATCAAAACTTATCATTATATAGAATTTAATATATGGAACATATAGCATACACGTATTCGGAGAATATCTGGAGATGTATGTAGTTTAACTATGCAAATCTAGAAAACATTGTCATTTTTCGTTCACTTTGTTATCAAGTTTTAGCATGGTGCTCATTCCCTTTCATTGAAAATTTAACCATCAGCCCACACTCCCACAAAAAATATATTGAAACTGTATAATGCAGAGACTGTAAAGTAGCTTCTCTGCAAATATCATTTTTGTGGGAGTTTGGGCTCACCACTAAAACTTAACTTTTGTGATGAAAATAAGCCTGACTGGTTTATGTTTTCAATATGGCTGCTAACCTGGGCATACATGTACACTACATAACTGCATGTACAGATTAGGCCATCCAAAATTAATTATATGTTGGCATTCTGATGAAGAGCCTTATATTAAAAACTACAAAACCTTCATTTATTTAAAGGGTTTTATATATTATTTAAGAGTGAAAATGCAATAGTACATTGTGCCAAAGCAAGTAACACACCTCTTGAGTTCAGATGACCTTGTTAATGAAGTTTATACACATGTAGTTTTTAATCAATCTTGGAACTCATTTCGCTACAATATAATCCACGATCACAATTCCCTTTGTCATTTATATACATTAAAAGTAGAGAGTACATGGGAACATTTTGTTTTTTCTGAAAACATAGAATTTAGTGACATTATTATAAGAAGATCTTTGAATGGCCTAAGTGTCTTTCTAAATAGGGAATAAGTAGAAATTATTTTAGGCAATCCTTTGAGTGTCATGTCATTCATAAATGATACTGCCTTATATTTTATGATATATATTGAAAGAGGATTTCTCTGAATGATTTGTGTTTCAAATATGGGAACTGCAAATTGGCAAATAACTTTAAAAGTAAGTGTACATTCAAACATTTTAATTTCAAATGCCAAATAAAATGCCAAATGCCAATGGGCATTTAGTAAAAGTGACCCTATAACTAATTAGAATATGGCAAACATGTTTAGAAAACTGGCGAGAAGCAAATGAAATAAGAAAATCCATTCTTTTTGAAGTGCCCTTGTGTGCATTTAATTTCAGTCATGTTATCCTAATTGCCCATGGGCATTTAAAATAATAATCACATCCCAACTCTTAAAACATGCTTAGTAGGATACTGTTAGCGTCTCAAAAGGCAACAAGAACATTCATTTTTGGAACAAGAAAATTTAGTCCCCCTAAAAATGCCCATATCGGTATTTATTCTCAAGATTTTCAGGTAATTGCCCGTGATAATTTATTAAAAAAAAATTTATTTTTATTCACATGTCTTTTTATCAGTCACAATCAAAATAAAGCCAATTGCTCTATTTCTTGGATTAGAAACAGTAAAAGTTTGACAAAAATAGCTACTCTCAAAGTTGACCTTTAAACCACCCTAGTGTCAAGGTCAAATGTCAAAACTCTCAGAAATCACATTTTAAGTAATGAGTCATACTTCCTCTTCAATTCCATGTCAATATATACTTGTTTTGTAGGGGGGCTAAAAGAGGGGTTTACCGCCACCTGTCCTTTAAGAATACATACTTTTGTGCCATCGATAGATTATTATATTACCATTTTTATATTATTACAGACATAGAGGGTTGAATCCATAATATTCACTGAACTAGGTGCTGCATGATAGAGCTAAAAAACCTCCTTATGATAATTTATTTTGTGTGTCGTTGAACCTTTTCAATAGCTCTTTGGGATGACTTGATAGAATAGAAATGCTTTACAGATGATATAAATATAACTCAATATGTTCGAATCAACTTGACTTAGCTCCCCCATTCAGCTGACATTGAATGGTTTGTTTGACTCCACTCTTTAACATACAACTAGCTTGATGTTTCTAAATTGAATTCGAGATTTATCCAAGGTATTTTATGCAAGCATCAGAGCTCCAGGAGGTGCAAAACAAGATTGTTGCCATAGTAACTAGTGTAAAAAGTAGTTGTTTTTCATTAGACTTGATATGTGCTTGTTTATTGCTGGTGTGGAGAGCTGGCATATGTATCTTCTAATATTTTGAGTGAACATAGTGGTTGAGTGTTATAATATACATGGTGTAAACAGTCTGATTTCTTCTAGAGCAACAGAACATAATTTGTAAGATGTATTAGAGTCCAAAAACCAGCAACCAACTACTAGAATCAATCTTTTAAACAATGAAAATGGAAAACAGTAAAATTTATTTATCATTTTTATGATTAAGGTATAGATTTGTATTTTACAAAGTAGTAGAAGTCAAAAATTTTGAAGTTTTTGGAGAATTTGACAGTATGTATTATTGGTGTTTTAAAATATAGATGGAAGCTTGGTATAATGAAGGGGATGGAAGGGTCCAATGAAAAGGGGTGTAAAGGACTCAGAAAAATAAGCAAGGAGGGTCAGTAACCAGTATTCAAACTCATTCTTCTAATGTTTGGTGTGGAATTTAGTAATAATATTCTAAAAGGTTCATCTAAGGACCAGGTATCATACACTATATACAAAATTGTCTGACGCCAGGCAACAGAATGGAAAAGTGAGTTTGAATAATGGCTGCCAATCCTCCATAGTAAATAATTAAGACATCCACATATATGTAAATATATAACTGACAAGTCAAATCATTTTTCAGAATGCAAGAATAAATTTTTGCAATGGTATTCATATGAGGCAGTATTTGTTTGCTTTATTTCAAGTATTTGAGTTTGAACTTTAAATATTAACAGTGACCTATTCTGCCAAATAAGTTATCATAATTCATGTATTAAGTATTTTATACATATAGGTACCAAGGGCCAGGGATGTGTTATATTAGTGTAGCAGGAATATGGGCTGATAAAATGGAGTCTATAACAGAATTGATTCATTTTCTCTTGAAATACCCAAAACATCTGTTATGTCAACATAACTTTTTGTAATAAGGACTTAATAAATGTAACAATCATACTGTAGTTATCTACATTTAACAAGGCCTAACAAGACTATGAAATCTCATGTTTTGTGAAAAATATAATTTTGAGTGGAATTACAAGCTATTACATTTAATCACACTTGGCTGCACTTATGGCAAATTACATAGCTGTCTTGCCAACGTAATGTCAAATGGTAGTCAAAACAGAATCTCCAATGTAAGCATAAACAGCACACATGGACTTTGAAAGTCTAGACATTTATATTTTAAGTATTTTTAACCTTGTAACAATAAGTGACATACATATTGGCATGTTTATAATCTTGTAGATCCTGCACATGTTGATAATTCACATAATTCACTGGGTAGCTTTGCTGCTTGACATGGACAACAATAAAATCACAGTGTAATAACTCATGTAAAACTTATGTCTGAAAATCAATGTCATATTTCAACATTTTCCTTTTCCAACTTCATTTGAATTTTGTTTCATGTCATCATGCCCAAGTTCACTGTATAGGTTTTTAAATACAAATAAACCATGCAATAAAATGGTTGTATGTTTTGTATTGCAGGCCTTCCAATGCCTGAGTACCAGCTGCCCTACCAAGCTGAGGTTGGCCTCAACCCTACCTTTGATGAGATGCAACTGAAGGTCTCGTTGGAGAAAAGACGTCCAGCTTTCCCGAGGATGTGGACTGATAACAATCAGGTATGACGAAATAAAAAGACATGATGTAATGATACTTTCCTGAAAAAAGCAAGGAAAAACACTCATGCCTTCATACTTTAATTTGTAGAAGAATATAACTTGTGCAGGCATAGCAATTTTTCAAAAATGTTTTTGTTCCACCAGTACCTCAATAGATATTGTTTGATTTGATTTAAAGAAAATTGTTTGTCATATTATAATATTGTCAAATTGAATGTTTTGTAATTAGTGCATTGTAAGGTTAAGTTGAACTTACCGTAAATAGCATAAATGTGTGTAATTATGTTATTCAAAACTTAACTGCACTGAGGGATGAGTGACTTTTCCCTACACAGCTATTTCAAGAGATCTAGAAAATTAATTTGTCCATCCGCCATTCGCGTATCCTGGCAATAACTCATATACCAGTTATCAGATTTGCTTCAGAAAAACGCAGTGCCTCTCTCAAATTCTCCTGTAGGAGATTTACAAAATCAAATCAAATTACAAATTCCCTGGGGTTTTTTGAAAGGTAAATATATGGGCGATATTAGGGTATTTCATGATTTTTTTAATACTGGACTCACTCTGACTTAACATAATGTCATACCTCAATGTTTTCTTCGTGCATTAATCAATATGGCTGAATATGTTTGTGTGGGTTAATCGTATATGCGTCACTATCAGTGAAAATATTCACTTCTCATTGCTTCGAGCAGGCTGCCATTTTGGAAATTGACGGCAATACTTGAATCAAAATCTAAATGCTTTTTGTCACTGACTGGTCCTCATAGTAAGGGATAATACTTTTTATAATCATATATAATACTACAACACATGGATGAATGTTTGTTTGAATTGGAAAAGGCAGAGAAATATTTTTTAACAGAAACTCCCATGATGTGTTATGGCTGGGTTTGTTGCAGTCAGAATAAACATTCATTCTAGCTTTGAACTCATGACTTAAGGATATCATGAATGTACTTATAGTTTTAAAGTTCCTGAATCACATTTTACTTACTGTTTAATAACAGGCTGTGCGAGCATTGAAGGAGACAATTGAGGATTGTTGGGACCAGGATGCAGAGGCGAGACTTACATCACTTTGTGTGGAGGAAAGGGTCCTAGAGATCATGCAGCTGTGGGAGGCGAGGCAAAAAGGTATTTATACTCTTGATATGAGGTTCACTTCATGTAAAGTTTACATCCAGTCAGAATAAGTGCAGTCAGAAGTTCTCAAGCCTACATTTGCAGTAGTAGCATTATTTTCATTTCTCAACTCCCATTAAAGGTCGGAAAGCTACAATTTAGGAATTTTGAGGCTGTGGCATTTAGTATTGACTCAAATATTACAAATTGAACATGCTCAATTCAAAAGAAATAATTGTGATGAAGATGCCCATTTTGAATTGCCAGATATAGGGGTTATGCACTGGGAGGTTTTGGATACAGGGAATATCCCGAGGGATATACAATATATCTTCCCGAGGGACCGAAGGGACCGAGGGAAGATGTATTGTATATCCCAAGGGATATTCCATGTATCCAAACCGACCGTGCATAACTGGTGTATCTCATACTTGAGTGGGTTTAGGGTAGATATAACCTTTTCCACCTTTTTCAGATGACAAGATATTTATATTGAACATTTTCGTAATATTCTTTTTGTTCAATACAATGAAATTGTAACATTTAAACTTAAAAAATTTTAATTTTAAAATTAAAAAATTAAAACTTTTGATATTTAAACTTTTTTTAATTTTTGAAAAATTCCCGGGAGCGGGATGGATATATTATATCTGCCCGCATTTGGCCTGGAGCGGGACATATACAATATATCCTGCCCGCTCCTCAGATACGATATATATTCCCGGGTGATATCTACCCCAAACCCACTCAAGTATGAGATACAATATTATACATATGAATGGGTCAATTAGATGAAGCCAAATAAAATTGGGATTGAACAGAATGATATATGTGGTGAAGCAAATCCATGCAAAGACAGTGTATCTACAACTTTGCATGAACTTACTATTTGCAGGTGTAACTCCAACTATATATTCTGGTACAACATCATTCGGGGATGGATCAATGATGCAACGTAACCCCACATCACCTGAGGTGGGCTCCACCGATACTAATGGAAACCCCCCTGATACAACTGGAGACCATACCATAGGGGGCTTGATTGTGCGCCATTGTCGACCCCAGAGTGTTTCCGAGTCCACCATTGAGACTTATCTGACCTCACCTAGTGAGGACCCCAATGTAGACCCTCCTCCCCCACCTGCCCCACTCAAGGCCACTAATGAAAACTTTGCCAAGCAGAATATGGTGCTACAGCCTCACCAGGGAAGGAACCCTGTGGCTGCAAGGAACACAATGCAACGTAGTGAGGAGGAGGTGGTTATAGGCAATGAATTGCAGAACAAAGGACATACTTTCCCAATTAGCCCTGGTTTGGATGTGTTCACTGATGGTGGACTGGAGAATTCCCTTGTGCAGAATGATGTACTTAGTCACACCAGCCACAGACCCCATAACAGCAATCCTATAGATTATGTCCAGAACAGTACCGTTGTTAATCCTCCAGCTACTGTCAGGCCTAAGCAGCATAATGTCCCTGGCAATGGACATTCTAATATTTATGGGCCGAATCTAATGTCCAGTTATGACATGGGAAACACAAATCCTAAGACTAGACTGCAAAAAATGAAAAAAGCGCTTGAAAAGCCAAAATTGAATATATTTAATCGTAACCCAATATCTAAGAGCCAACATAATGTGGTACAACATCCTAGCGAGTCAGAGCCCCTTGACCCAAGTGGATCTAATGAGGCCTCAGGCTACACACGTGGCAAGTCAAATCTTGACCCTCGCCCCCTCCCTACTGAAGTGAATATATACAATGGAGTGACACTTGTACGGCAAGACTTGGAAGCTTCTGGTGCAACATCTGCCCCTTCTCGTTATAACACAGACAGAGTGGATAACACTAGAAGCTACCTGTCTAGGGGTCCATATAATGGGTCCTTGAATGGTGCAGCCCAATATAATGGGTCAAATGGTTCCTTGAATGGAGCTACCCCATTAAATGGGGCAAGAAATGAAGCAAGTGGATCAACAAATGCAAGATTAGGGATGGCGGAAGTTGGCATAGCTAAACTAGAGCCTCGCATTAATGGTGCCTCACCATTACTAATGAGTCGCACCAAGTCACAGAGTAGTGGGGACATGAGTCCCAGTTGCAGCTCCCTTAGTAGCCTGTCCAGTGATGACAGTCCCCGTAGACCATCATCCCTTCGTTTAAAGGGACATAATTACCGGATGGATAAAAAGAAAAGACGTGAAGAAAGACAAGCTAGGGAGTTACGTGATGCTACTAATAACAACCCTAGCGCTAGTGAAACGTCACTGCAGCAAACAACAACAATAGCCACGACTACAAGCAACAAACATGCTGAGAACAATAACCCTTCATCACCAAGGAGCTTAGAGGAACTATCTTCAGACACTAGTATATCTTCTACAGAACGTATACAGAAGCGAATCAAAACTCCATTTAATTTGAAAACTACAAGATTTTCTCTGTATGATGATCGTATGATGAGCACTGAGACTGGTAGCCATGGTGATTCTAGCACAGCAAATAAAGGAAGCACTGGTGACCGCATGAGTCAGTCAACAATATCCTTACAACAGTTCAGTGGAAGTGGGGATGTTGATGTAGAGGCATTGAGACAAGCTGATTTTGTCTGTTAGGACTTCATTCCCATTTACTTTTTCATTGGCATAAATACTACCTATGACTAAAATCATGCATTTTGTTTTTAATCGAGTTCCTTCTGGTTAGTACAATTTCACAATTTACATTGAATCCCTTATCTAAATTCTACTCTTGCTGTAGAAATTGAACCATGGTTTTTAGTTATAGGCATATATGTAAGTAGATGCTTGCATTGTTAGATGCTAGAATGAAACTAAGCTTCATATGACATCACCTCCTTGGCATCAAAGCTGGTTGCTTAAATGCCATTTTGATGGATTTATGCCAATTCCCAGTTTCATTTGCCCCATATATTTCTGCAGTCTAAACTATGTGTCATCAAATCAGATAAACAAACACAGCCCCAGTTATGGCCTTGTTTTGTGACACCCTTGCAATTCTATTTTGCAATAGATTGTAGATGTATTTGCATAGTCTCCTCTACAGTCTCAAGAAGGAGCTCAGTTTACATGGTGATATTTTCTTGGGTCTGTACACTGGACTAGGACATGCCATAAAATGAATGAATTGTGAAATCAGGAAATTAATTGACATGATCAGAACGTGATATTTGATTTGCTCTAGGTTTAATGATATTAATATGTACTTTGAATTCTATTTAGATTTCAAAATGTCAATAAAATGGAATGAATTTATTTAAAATAGTATAACTTAATATATAAATAATTTGAAAAATCATGTTCAAGCTAACTGCTTCAACTGATGCAAATCTAGTTTAGTCCTAAGCAATACTCTATTTAATGCTGTAGTGAATTTTGTACCAGTTGGTTAAGTTCTTGTATTGTATATGCCATAGAACACATCGGCCTATTAGGAATTAGTACATTTTACATTTAATATAAACTTGTAACAAGTCATTTGCTGGTACCCAGTAAAGGTATCCCATGTGAATAGAGGCTATCCAGCAATTAATGGCACATGTTCTCTTAATACCTGCAACAAAGACTACCTATTTTCTATCAAGTTCTAGAACCCCAGTGACCAGGTGCAATAAGAATTTTTTTGAAATCTGTTTCTTTTTCATGTCCGATACCTTTTGATAGTTTCAATAAAGCCTTTTGTAGGAATATGAATTTTGCTGTTTCAAAGATATTATATTTTTAACCTCTATGATTTCTAAACTCTGTGTACATAGAAATAGTTGTTACCTGTGTTGGAGAGTGACATCATAGTTGGCTGAATGTGATTTGTGGGATCAGTGCCAAGAATTATTTGGACTCTCTGTTCACATTGATGGACCCCATGCCAATTGTTCATCATATTAACACACCTTGTATTTGAATTGTAAAAGTACATGTACCGTATATGTATTTGAATATAGTTGATGACGTACAAAATGTTTGAATTAATAATGCATGTAGATAGCTTAGTGCTTCTTTGATGCACATGTTGTATCAATGATATTCTATGTTTGTGAATGAATCCTAAACATTTAATATGTAATATATACATGTTCAATGTATTAAGACTACAATAGATGCATTTCTGACGTGTGTGATTATGTTGAAAGACATTACTACAATATTCTGTACTATTCCAAGGGCAAATCACCAACTGAAGGACAGCACACAGAATAGGAAGCATCTAAACTCCAGAGTTGCACTTGTCAGAGTAGTATATTGGTTTAGATTTACCATGTCTTATTAAATGGTATCATATATTTGAAAGAAATTAAAAGCATTTGGAATTCAAAAACATCCATTATATTCTTCACATCAATTTGATAATCCTTATTAAGGAAATAGGGATGTACATTATTGTAAAATTTAAGAGTCCGGTTCCTTATTTTCAAGTGACATGTAAGTAGTTTAAAATACAAGTGAAACGCAATGTTTTGCAGAAATACAAATGTTCAACTGTATGTTTGAAAATATTTATGTTCAATTTGTTTTGAGTACAGGGTAAGCCAAAAAGGTAACTCATACAAATCTCAACTCAGTCATTCAGTATGGGTTTGAAGTCATATTTGGGACAATTGAACCTTATTCAATGTTCTTTAATTCAACCAAGTTACATTGGCATGATCACCATTTTATGGCCCTTTTAACATGCTCAAAATGCCAGTCTTGATTTTGGAGGTAAACTTGAACTCATTGGGTGAAGTTTTCTGACTACACACTTACAGATATCTTGTGTAATGGCTTTCATTTCCCTTTAATCTCTTGTTTAAACTCTATGTTGCTTCTAGGGTTGTTATTATACACATTTTCTGTGGCAAAATTCTGTGGGTTTGTATTGGGTGATTTTGGTAGTTTTGTCATTTGTAGCATGTTTTGTAAAATGGCCATAAACATCATGACCATTGAAAAAAGACCAATGAAACTTAGAATGCAATAACATTGAATAAGGTTCAATTGTGCCAAATATGACTTCAAACCCATACTGGATGACTGAGTTAAGATTTTGGGTTACCTTTTTGTGGCTCACCATGTAGATGAATTTTTACATGAATGTAGTGTGAAAATAAAAATGTTCATTTTGTAAATGGACAAATTTCCATGCATATTAACGATAATATTAAATAATGTGTAATACAAATTATTTTTAAGATGTTTATGAATCGTTGGAAGTGTTTGGATGTATTCTGATTTAGAATTATCAATAAGGAATGGCATTTCCTTGTGTTTATGCATCAATTCTGACACTTACTTTTCAATGATCATAAACAATGTATGTTCATTTACTCACACTTTCTTATATACTTTCCAGAGCTACATGTACTGTCTGACTGTACTGTAGTCTTATTATGTCACCACCAAAAGTGGTGACATATTGTTATGGTCTCCGTTTTTTTGCGACGGCGTCCGGCGGTTGGCGTCCGGCGTCTGTAACAATTTCTTACAACTTCCTATAACTTAACAAATACTGTTTAGACTGACTTTTAGACTGAATTTTTTTCTAAATCATCTACATGTTCTCAGAAGTTCAAATCTGACTTTAGATTTGACATTTGACCTTCAATGACCTTCTCAAGGTCAAAAAGGTCTTTTTTCAACTTGCTTCACATTGACTAAATTTTTTTTCAAAATCATCTACATGTTCTCAGAAATTCAAATCTGACTTTAGATTTGACTTTAGATTTGACATTTGACCTTCAAATCTGACTTTAGATTTGACATTTGACCTTCAATGACCTTCTCAAGGTCAAAAAAAGGTCAAAAAGGTCTGTTTTCAACTTGCTTCAAATTGACTAAATTTTTTTTTCAAAATCATCTACGTGTTCTCAGAAATTCAAATCTGACTTAAGATTTGACATTTGACCTTCAATGACCTTCTCAAGGTCAAAAAAGGTCAAAAAGGTCTGTTTTCAACTTGCTTCAAATTGACTTAAATATTTTTTCACAATCATCTACATGTTCTCAGAAATTCAAATCTGACTTTAGATTTGACTTAAGATTTGACATTTGACCTTCAATGACCTTCTCAAAGTCAAAAAAGGTCAAAAAGGTCTATTTTCAACTTGCTTCAAATTGACTAAAATTTTTTTTCAAAATCATCTACATGTTCTCAGAAATTCAAATCTGACTTTAGATTTGACATTTGACCTTCAATGACCTTTTCAAGGTCAAAAAAGGTCAAAAAGGTATTTTTTCATCTTGCTCCAAATTGACTAAATTTTTTTTTCAAAATCATCTACATGTTCTCAGAAATTCAAATATGACTTTAGATTTGACATTTGACCTTCAATTACCTTCTCAAGGTCAAAAAAAGTCTTTTTTCAACTTGCTTCAAATTGACTAATTTTTTTTTTCAAAATCATCTACATGTTCTCAGAAATTCAAATCTGACTTTAGATTTGACATTTGACCTTTAATGACCTTCTCAAGGTCAAAAAAGGTCAAAAAGGTCTGTTTTCAACTTGCTTCAAATTGACCAATTTTTTTTTTCAAAATCATCTACATCTTTTCGGAAGTTCAAATTTGACTTAACAAGTTCTCAGAAGTTCAAATCTGACATTAGATTTGACCTTTGACCTTCAATGACCTTCTCAAGGTCAAAAAGGTCTTTTTTCAACTTGCTTCAAATTGACTAATTTTTTTTTCAAAATCATCTACATGTTCTCAGAAGTTCTTCTTAAGGTCAAAAGGTATTTTCCAACTTGCTTTAAATTGACCAAATTGTTTTAGGTGGTGACATTTTGTCATGTTAATGCCTTGTTGGATGTGTTAAAACATTGTCAAAATCTTGGTCTTTCATATCTCCTTGCAATGTCCAAGATGTGAACAAAACTGAATTGATTAAAATTTCACCAGTCTACTCGCTTGTTCTCACATTTTGTGTGTGTGGAATTTTGATTCTAACTCATGTTGATCTCTGCCAAAATTTTTTTATGTTTCTGAAAATTAGTCCAAAGGTAATAGTCTCATATTCAATTGTTGGTCAATAAAATCCTTTAAATAAAATCAGGTTAGTTAAACATTGCCAAATAAATCACGATACCAGAAATTGCACAAAAATAAAGCATGCAAATGAAGAAAAACTAGAAATAATATTTCAGTTTTCAACATATGGAAATGCCAGTATTGTTGAATGCATCCCTTGAAAGATTCAGGTTATTGATCCAAGCGGTAAATAGGAAATATTTCTGCTGTGTTTTATGCATGAGTTAGAACCATAATTTCTCAAACTACTAGGCCTAGTTAAGCTATTTTGTCAGGTGTTAAGAACTTTGAAGACTATGCCTGTAAATTTATATTATATAAGCACCATACATCCCTTTGTCATATATTTGTAAATTACATACATGTCTACTTAGTAGTGAGCAATACAATTGCTTAAAATATATTGATGACTTTTGTTGCATTTATTGAACCAGTACTAGTCTTGCCATCTGATATCAGAGTAATTTTCCAATTTTCTCCCACATGGGTTTATTCAGCATTCGGTCAAAAAGCAAATGCTTTAAATCTTGGGTTTCAACATTTAGTACAATTTCTTTTTACACCTGGATACCCAGTAGACACCATTTTGCCACATGCAAGAGTATTATATAGAAGTTTTAAGTTAAACTGAACAAGAATTTTATATGACCCATATCTTTCTCTCATAAACCATATCTTTGCTCCAACTGAAATCTTCTGCACCAGTGACACTTCGCAATTGACCATCATGAGCAAATAAAGACATAGAATATGTTCTGTGTTTCAAGGAAAGTATCTTGAATTAAACTAAAATCAGCTATAGATAAGAGTGAAGGTTTTGCAAAATGAACTAGAAATTGTTATTAAGGAGTACAGATTTTTAAGCAAGTAATAAATGCTAATATTACCTTGGAAGAGGACCATACCCAACTACCAATGATTTAATATTTCTCCCAACTCTCTCTTTAACAAAAAACTGACAAAACAATTTGATTCTCTTATTTTTTAGAGAAAGTTTATTTTTCATACAAAACAGCATAATAATTGTATTTCAGTACATGTATAACCCTATTACTTGATTCACGGAATAGCATACATTTTTGGACAATAGGCAATGTGGACACAAAAGTGAATACATTGAATGAAATACACTAAATCATTGATAAATAACTTGTACAAAACTACCAATTTTGTCCAAATTAGAAGAGTAATTGTCAAGAGCTGCTATTCATGAGGCTTTTTAATACATTTTTATGCCTATAGCAATTTACAATCATCATGTATTTCTATACAGCTTTATATTGACACATCAATAAAAAAATACAGGGTAACACAAAAAGTGCCACCCACATAATGTTGCATAACTTTTTTTGTGTGGATGATATCTGATTTATTCTTTTGCACATTAAAACTTCCACAAGAAGTTTCAGATGACTAGCTCAACTAGATCCGCTTTTATGAGTGTTACAAGATGAGTTCTAAATATCGTCCATTCCTTTGCAGATTCTACACAAAAGTATGCCACCCACCTTTTGTAACAAATCTTTATAAAAAAAGTAAGTTGCATTTTTGGTGTAGAATCCAGGTGTGCCTGCAAAGGAATGGATGACACATCTTGTAACTCTCATAAAGGTGCATCTAGTTGAGCTTGTCATTTGAAACTTCTTGTTGAGTTGCTCCATGGAATATAGTTTTAATGTACTGAAGAGTCAATATTTACGCAGACAAAAAAGTTATGCAACATTATGTCATGCGGTATATAAACTTCAAATGAATTTATTCAGGAGGTTACACTTTTGATGGACAGAAAGCAGATGGACAGAGAGAGGGACTGACACTGATAGATGCTTATCCCATACGCTCGCTGTGCCAGCCAAAAATAGTAGGTCACATTTTTGTGTGTACCTTCTACATATATTGTGAGCAGAAATATGATCTGTAAGATGACAAAATGTCATGTCTGTAAGGACAATATCTATGTCTAACCTTGCATGAGAAACCTTTAATAATATCAGTTTAAATACTTCAATGACTTCCTTATTTCCTACACTGTGTTCATGGTGGCTCCCTATGTCCAACAACCATCTTTCTAAACTTATTTGCTGACCCTGGTCTGGTTCTATCAGGTTTGGCACTGGATGGTGGAGATGGAGTGTGATTGGAATGTTCTGGTGATGTCACATAACTGACAGACATTGGCATATTCGATCTGTCTATTGGAGCATTAATTGTGCCTACTTTGACTAGTTTTGGATTATTGTTTATTTGAGATCTTTGTTGTCTTTGGTCTATTTTAGCATTGTCTCCGCCTGAGAATTGGCGTTTTAACTTGGCACCATGGTTATTGTTCTGTTTGGACAAGAGATCATTAGGGTCTATATGTATACTGTGTGAGGCCCTCAAAGGGCTGCGACCTGCAGAGGATGGTGGAGAGGGCCTCATTGTAGGGCTCCTAGGTTTTACACCTGGTAACTGCCTGAAAACACAAATATATAAAATGGGAACACAAGAAAATGGAGAAAACCTCAACTACAAATATTTTGGCATGTGCTGAGCATGAAATTGTATAAGAACATACCATCAGAGCAGGTTTTGAGATTCAGACAGTGTGAAAAGACAAAATTGACCTCCATAGCATCTGTGAAAATATATGAGATATATCAAACCTTGTTAGGATTGGCTGTTTATTCCTGATAGGACTGCTTGGTAGAGGAGCATGATCAGCAAACATATTCTTCTCCAGCTTTGAACGCTCTTCTTTCAACTCTAAATGTACATAAAATAAGATGGATGCATATTAGATAATAAGATAGATGTAGTTCTTACCATCCAATTGTGATTAGATGCTGGATATTTTGACAAGGGTTGCAAATAATGTACCTGAGAGAGTTGGTTCCCTAGTGATTGTCTTGTCAAGCCTAAATTGTGACTCGTCATCTAGACAATTCTGAAATGCAGAAATAAAATTAATTGGGATTGATGAATTCTACCAACCAAGGCGACTAAATGCCCCCCTTTGCAATATCAACCAACACAAATCGTCACATATTTTTGTGATCAGTTTTCACAGTTCTACATACTTTTCTAAAACAACATAAAAAATAAATATTAGAGTAGAAGATTCATTTTTTGGACAAATATATTGCATTATCAAAAATGCCACCATTCACCAATTACCATATTTACAAATATTAGAAATATTAATATCAAAAAGAGGATGCTTAATTTTTGTACTCCTACCTGGAGAAAAGTGATATCCTTTAAGAGTTGTGAGATTTCCTCCTCTAGTGTCTCTCTGAAAAAACATGTGCGAGTAGATTTTCAATGAATATAAATAAAAAATCATTGCAAATATGCTAGTTTAATTACAATTCTCACGATCTTGTGTGTCTATTCCTAAAGTGTTGCTTAAAAGATGAATGAAGCATTTCATTGCTAAGTGACATGTTCCAATGGTATCTGTTAGTTTGGAAAAAATATTAACAGATGGCCAAGCCACCACCTATCATGGTCATTTTTGTCAGAGGTACCCCTCATACAACACTTGCAATTTACTACTTCCATGTACAACACTGATATACTACATATTCCTACATACCTCAAATGCTGCGTGACTTCATCAAATTCAAGCATATTCAGTTTTTCACTCATATCATCAATTTCTTCACTTAGTGTTGAATTTGCTGATACTCTGTCAAAGAGGAAAAAGAGTAAATAAATGAAATGGTACATGTTAGTGTGACAAAGTTATGAAAATATAATACAGAAATATGATGTAAAGTTATGAGAACAATGTGAGTTTGTCAACACAGTTAACTTTGTAGAATGATAAAAAAGTACAGTATATTTAAAGTTTCTCAGTGTCTATATCTAAAATACATTATAGTTTTAAAAAGTTCAGAATAATATCCAAATTGCACCATTTATAGACTTTATAATATTTTTAAAGCTTGAAAAAGATCTTCAAATATAAGCGAAGCAATAACTTTTACAAAGTATAAGAGGGGCATTCACATGTTATGCCACTTGCTACATGTCAAAGTCTCTTGATGGTGCACATTGTAGGCTGTTACAAATTTGAAATAAAAGAATTGGTGTATTCTAGTTGTCTTTTTATTTGTGTTGAAAGCTGAGAGTTGGAATTTCAATTCTAAATCAACAAAGGCATTTGCATCTTCCTAATTTGCCATCAACCTTATGCCTTCTGTCATAAACTTACTTATCGCTAGGTGGACTTGATCTCATAGGGGTCATTCGACCATTTAATATACTACATGCTGTCCCTGGCCTTGTGCTATTGCTGCCACTACTTGGCCCTGAAACATTTACACAGTACATATATTTACACTTACAGACATACATGACCTTTCTTTTATGTAATTAGGTGGGATGAGAAATCTGGCTGATTAACTTGGATATTCAACATGTAGACTTGCATAATGACACTATCTGCAAACAAGTCCAAAGGTCCTCATATCAGTCCAAAGTTTCTCATATCTAATAGAGTGTCTTACATCGGAGATATAATCCCGTTTGAAATTAATTTCAAACATTATTAAATGTCACCACCTGCAGATGGTGGGTAATAATCTCACAGGTCCCAACCCAAAAGGCCAAACCACTTGTTAGTGGTAACATAAACAAGACATTAACATATCATCAAAATGTCACCACCTGCCATTTGTTACAGACACCAACCACTGAAAAGAACTCCAACAACCAAATGCCTACTACGTCCACAAAAAAGTTGGAGACTATAACAATATGTGACATAAAAATGTAACGATTTTAATTAAACAGATCAAGCAAAAAGCAAAAGCTTATATTATTTCAACTACTCAATCTATGATTATATGCATATGTAAAACATTTGAAGCATTTAAAAAAATTGAATTCACAAGGATACATCTTGTACAAATATTTTCTAAATATGCTTAACTCTCAAAATAAAGCTATATTCTATGGTCTATTTAGGTTCAAAATAAGTTTTTATCATTGTGTTTTAAATATTTATGTACCATAGAATTCAATGAGAACTTTTTAAATGCTTTTTTTCTCTGGGCTTATAAGTTAATTTCTGGTTTATTTTTCAAACAAATTTTTCTTGATTTTTTCAACACAAAAAAGGTTAGGATGTATGTCATGCATAGGTGTAAATTACTGCTTAACAACATAAACTAAAATCTTATTTAAAATAAATTCACAATTTTTCTGGCAAAAAGAGAAACATAAACCAAAGTGGTTTAAACTTTATATGGGGCCTTTAAGAAAAAGGAGAAATTTTTCATTTTTTACTTACTACTTGACTCTATAGCATATTCTATCACATCTTGGTTATGTTTTGATAAAGCAGTTTCAGGGTCTCTGAAAATATTAAGAGTGATCGTCAGCTTTAACAGCAAAACAAAACATGTCTAACACGCATCTCTACTGTAACTCTAGTGTTTCAAAAATATAAATTTTTCAACAGGTAAACATCATTTAAAATTACCAATTTAATTTTGTAAGTGGATTTTAAATAAATGACATAGAAATGATTAAATTCTGGATAATTAAACATGAAAATCAAACCTTTATCTGGGTGATAATTCTAAATACTGAAGTTGACAAAAAGCACTGTATAAAAGAGTTATGTGACCTACCTCCCCTGTCCTTTAGCCTTTTCTCTTATGTTCTCCACAAAGAATCGTATCTGCTGGGTGAGTCTATCTCTCATTTCAGGAGGTTCAGGTAGGAATGATGAGCTATCTTCCTGAGTTGTCTCATCCCTGAAGTCTCTCCAGATATCAAGCAATGTGTCAACCTAATACAAAGTTAGACAATTAACAAGCAGAACAAGACTAGCTTTACAGACTTGATCAAGACCAAGTGAATCTGACTTGCCCATTTACAATACATGTCATTATAGTCTGTGTTATGAGGCAATATTGAGCAGTGATAACACCCCTCTCATTCAAGTTTCAATGCACCACTGCCTTCAGATTAGCACCATGTGACCTACTTTTATTCAAATTACCATTATTTTACATGTGGATGTATATGTTTCGTTTTCCATATTACAAGTCAAAAGTTTTGACTTTTCCAACACTCATTTTGATAAAAAGGTGGAAACCCTGATAGTGATCAAATACATCACCTCTTCATGTAGCTCTAGACTCTGCTCTACCAGTGACTCCCCCAGCATACTCTTCACCTCCTCCTGCTCGTATGGGGGCACATGCTGCTTCACCAGGGCCCAAAGGGACAAAGGAGGGCTGTAGGCATGCAGGTCAAAGTCTAGCTCCTGGATAGACATTCCAGCTCTGCTAATGCTACCCTACAGTTGAACATTATATCATATCACAATAATCACATATACAGTCTGTTACACTGCTTCAAAGGCAAGCAGTTAAACCTAAAATATAAGAAATCTAAATAATATTGTGCAATAATATATAGAAAAATTGTTCATATTGCACACGAATGACATTTGTATATGTTGGATTGCTTGTAAATTGGCTCATAAAGTCTGTAACTTCTTATATTTTGATGCTCCTCTACCATGTTAATTCTCAAAAAAATAACATGGCGGACAGACCTCAAATTACAAGAGGGCACAGGCTTATTGCACTAAACACTAAATAATCTGAAATATACAAATGTCATTTGTGTGCAATATGAATATATTTTTCTATATATTATGGCACAATGGTCTATAGATATCTTATTTTTCAGGTTCAACTGCTTGCCTTTGAAGCAGTGTAACAGACTGTAGATGTACTTACAATAAAATAATTCTATAATATTGCAAATATGCCAACAAATATGGTTGTGTTTCAATTCAGCATAGACGGACTGATTGAATAAACTTACCTTCTTCTAAGGCCACTGTATCGTGGCCTTCCTGGAGAGATAATTTCCTGCATGAACAATTGGTCATGTCGTAATCATAAAATTTGAAATGTCCGCCATTTTTCCACATCACAATTTGAATTGCGAGTTTTGGTCTTATTACCTCACAAAAAATTCCAAAACACACATGAAGTGATCAGTGTATTAGTTCACATCTTCTGGATCGCTAACTTAAAATTACAGCCAGTTACTAATGTCAGACGTTAACGACATTTCGTCCAGTTTTCGAATATCGCCATTTTTCTTGGAGCCTTTTTGTTTTAATTTTAGACGAAATCCTGACGAAATCATGTCATATCTCATCAAGGAGTTGAGTCGGTTCCGAATAATTTATGATTTATTCATCTGGCGATTTTTAAAATATTCAATAAATTTATGACACTCCGACCAGCTTTTTTTAAACGGAGTGGCTCCAGGACCGACAATTGTCGGTACTGGAGACTGTCCAGGGGTATTTGCTGGGGTACCGACAATTGTCGGCACTCTATCGTCACCTAATAGTGTCAGATAGAGAACCGAAAATTGTCGGTACGCAAGTGGCTGCTACGTGTTTTTGCTAGAGAGCCGACAATTTCATAAATAAATTCACTACTTTTAATATCATAAATAACTTCATCACTGGTAGTCTAGTGGTTAGCGAGCACGATTCGAACACACTCGGTCCCGAGTTCGAATCCCGGCAAGACCATTTTTTCTTTTGAGGGGGGGGGGATAGTGCTTCTTTTGCAGTATGGAATCGTACAGGCATTAACTTGTAGTGAGCCATAATTTATTTCGACAAAAATTGATTCAACTTCCATCAAAATTGTCCTACAAGCTTCAATTAAAAAACATTTTAAAGCTCTTTTCTTGTTCTATCTAATGGGTCGATATATACAATTAGGAGGGGATGCTTTCGCCCCCGTCGACCTCTACCCTTACTACGCCATGGCACAGGAGAAATATCTCATTTGGAATATATCACTGTTTACTTTGCGTTTGGTAGCTCTCTCATGCGAGATGGAATCGTGGCCATAACTAAGGGAGCCAAATGCAACTTCCATCAAAAATTGTGCTATAAGGTATGAGTGCCGTAATCCAACACCAAATTCGAAAATTCATAACAATACTTTGCACATATGGCTTTCGTGACCAACTATGAAACGCTTACCCCCCATAGTGTTATATATCAAAATGCACCTGTCCATATAGGGGTTCGATTGACCTACATCAAATTATAGGGAGTCAGGTTACATTTTGAGATATCAGCGTCCGTTTATTGTAACTCGCGTTTGCTACCACTTCCTCAATTCTGATATGACAGGCAAACGCGTAGTAAACATCCTCACGTTCGGAACTATTTTGACCTACATCGCTATTTTCGTAATTCAAATGAAAGTTGAACTCCTCTTTATTTTGATACCAAATAGTGGCATACTAGGTACCCTAGAAGCCAACTATGGGTTATTTAGAACGATACCACAGGTTTTTAAATGGACTATATACCTTTTGGCGGATGGATATGGAACCTCATACCATACGATAAGCTCTAAAAAATATTCTAGCTATTTTCTTTTATCTAATGGGTAGCAAACGCCCCTTCCTTTTTATTGGGTTTTCAACGTTTACTACCATTCCCTGTTCCCGGGCTACCATTTTTTGACTGGGTTTGGTAATCCCCGGGTAACCGGGGCTTATGCCCTCCCCGGGTTTTGCACTTGTTCCCAAAATATCCGTATGATATCTGAAATATCCCCCGCGCATTGCGCATGCGCCAGAAAATTCGACAATCAATATTTGTCGGTCCTCTAGCGTGTAAACACAGCATATCTCCCGTACCGACAATTTATTTGTCGGTCCTCTAGCGTGCCACCACATCAGAGTCTAGAGTACCGACAATTGTCGGTACTCTAGCCTTTACGATAAAAAATGGAGTTCACAGTATTCCAGATGAAATCACCTCTAGCCAAGTATTGGCTAGAGACTCGAGCAAGAATAAACTTAATATTGAACAAAACTGAGTATATATTCTAAGGTTTTGGACTTAATCGTTGGAGACTCGAGGTCTCTTTTAACATGGTCTAGGCGAAGACTCCTGACACTAGATAAGTAAAATACTGAAGCTGAAGTACTAGATCTATTGTAGGGTCCCTAGTAGACTGTATCCTTCGTCTGAATAAATTCAGACTGTAAGTCACCTATTGTAAAATGTGGTGTTGTATAAATGTTACAAATAAGTTTGTTTAATGATAAAATGATTACCTGATAAAGAACTTACAATATTATTTTTTCGTATATTGTCCTCTTACTGAAGATATTCATAAAATGTACAGACGCTTCTTGTAACGAAGCCATTGATTAGGTCAAGCCATTTTGGCAATGCCAATTCTCACGATAAACGAGATTTAGCCAGTGACGTCAGTCTATTTGTAAACAAATAACACGTGGAGCGGACGGAGCAATATTACGGAAGCGTATTGATAAATTCCATTTGTGCGGGAATTTATTAGATCTAGTCATTTATTATCATTATCCCGATTAATTTTCGTCATTTATAGTAAATAGAGCGGAAATATTCATGAAGAAGGCCGAGGTAATCAAGTGGTCATGTGTTGTCAAAGTTCAAAATTTGCATATCTCGTTTGGATCTCGTGAACTCAAACGTCCTTGACATTGATTTCGCGATCTACTTATGAACACATCCAGAAGTTTTGGTGAGTCTGAACATTTCATTATTTAATATCAACTCGTACCCGCCTTATACAAATATTTTTGCTTCTAGTTTAAGATGAACATCTCTTCAACATATTCACCAATTTTCAAGGTGAACATTCTTGTAATAAACGAGAAATTTATGTGCACAAAATATCGCCGAGATTTCCATGCCAGGGGTATCAATCATAACAGACCGAATATTATATTCGGTCTGTTGGATACATACTAGGGTCCCTAGGCTAAAAATTCCACTTTGAATTTTCTTCAAAGATTTCAGTCGACTGTCGAGCATAGGCTAAGGGTTAAGTAATAGTAAGCTGTATAAAGAAGAATTGTAGGTTTTCAGAATATCTCGCCTCAAGACGGCTTTATTCACTCTATATCACTTGAATGTGGTTGATTCATAGGTAAGAATTGCAAACTATCAATTTTGGATCAACTCTGCATTGTTTTTTGAAAATTATACACAAATAATGTTAAAATCGCCATGTTAACAAGTGGCCTAAATCCTAGTTGTTGACCTGTCTCTTCTTTATACAGCTTACTATTACTTAACCCTGAGCCTATGATAATAGGGCTTAATTTAGCAAATTCTTTACCTGCTTTCGAGCAAAAGAAAGCTTCCCCGTTTCCACAGAAATCCAATATGGCGGAACTTTTCACTGCACGAAAAACCATATGACTGTTGGAGATTTATTTCCCGGGGAAATTTCACAAGGAAATAAATATTTGGTTGGTGACATGCATTTTTCTGAATTGACATCCTTAACTATTTTGTAAAAAATCGCTGAGATTCTTGATGTAGTTAGATCAGTCAGTTTAACCAAATACAGTAACTTCGTTCTGCTTTGGGGTCGTATCTAGGACTTACTAATTGCACATAGCCATCTTTAGATCAATCTAAAGATGGCTATAGTAATCTAGGATAGAGAAATCAGAATGTTAAGGCAAATCAATTATTTATATAATTCGATTTTGAATCGTAGGCAAGGTTTATGTTCCATTTTGTATTTTTCAATGAAGTTAGTAAAAATGGTTAAAACAAAGCGGTTTAAAGAAAACACATAGGTTCCTGACCTGCCAACCAATTGTTAGTCTAAGGGAATATATCCTTTTTTACTGAAATTTAACGAACGACTTTATTTGAAAATGACGCATTTCTCATCATATAATAGATCTACCATAGCCCTTTCTTCTTGCATCATAAACATGGACATGTTCTTTTTCATATTCATACTGAACATTATGTATACTAGAGGTGTGCACTGTTGGTAAATCACTTAATCGATTAACAAAATATTTTAATCGATTAATCATCGATTAATCATTCTAACATAAACGATGGAGATCTGACATAATTTCCCTTCAATTTTCTTATTCTTTAGTAGTAGGCGATAATTCATTCTTTTGATTTGATTGCATACCTCTATTCAATATATACGAGTATATATCAATATAAGATGTATCAGTGAAACTCAAAAAGAGGTAATTGTCGGGCTTAGGCTAAGCTTGTTTGGCAGTTTGAGTTTTAAGCTTGGCATGTCAACCTGACAAATTAGGTCTCAATCAGTCAGTGAAATCAAGTAAGCTTACTCACAGCAGGAAATTGAAGATTATCGATTAAACTTGTGTCGATCAATTAATCGATGATCGATTAACAATTCACACCTCTAATGTATACCCCCTCCATAAGTTTGGCAACCTTAGCTCGCTCATTGAACTATAGTGTTGAAGCCTCTTTATGTTTGAATTTTTATTTACATAACCTGTGAGGAAAATACTTATCTTATAGATGGAAATGTAACTTGGCTTCATTTCCATGCCTTCAACAAATTTTCCCAATTTTTTCCTCAGGTAGGTCGAAAATTGATGAATTTTTGAAAATCGTCTTTACCATGTAAACCAATGGGAAATCGTGGGTTCGGGGCAAATCTGATTTCAGGATATCTAATTTTCAGTAAAAGAATTCACCAAAAAATATTTTTATTTAGAAAATTGAATTGTCTTAACTTTTTGTATGAGTTACAGAGCTTCAAAATCATTTTTGAAAATCATTTTCGACTCTTGTGTTATTTTAATTGGAGTTTTTTCAAAAATTCATCAGATTTATCATCAATTTTCGACCCAAATCGGAAAATTTGGAGGCATTGGAAATAAAGTCAATTTCCATCAATATTATAAGTATTTTCCTCGCTAGTTATGTAAACAATAATTCAAACATAAAGAGGCTTTAACACGTAGTTTGATGAGGAAGCTACATGTAAGGTTGCCAAACTTATGGAGGGGAGTGAAAGTGTTACATGCGTTTTCTAATCAAGATCCAGTGACTAACCATTAACATGACAAAATGTCACCACCAAGTTGCTCACAATAATTATGATTTTGAAAAAATGGTCAATTTGAAGCAAGTTGAAAAATACCTTTTTGACCTTGAGAAGGTCAAGTTTGAAATAAAAAAGCAGATTTGAATTTCTGAGAACTTGGAGATGATTTTTAAAAAAATTGCTCAATTTGAAGCAAGGCGAAAAATACCTTTTTGACCTTTATAAGATTATAGAAAGTCAAATCTCAAATCTAAAGTCAGATTTGAACTTCTCAGAACTAGTAGATTATTTTGAAAAAATTGAAGAAAATCGAAAACAGACCTTTTTGACCCTTTTTTGACTTGAGAAGGGCATTGAAGGTCAAATCTAAAGTCAGATGTCAACTTCTGAGAACTTGTAGATGATTTTGAAAAAAGGAAGTCAGTCTAAACAATACTAGTTAAGTTATTGGAAGTTTAAAAAAAAGGATGAGTCTGGGGATGAGTCTGGGTATCGACTTAGAAAATATTGAAAATTGTATTGTCCGAAAAACCAACTCAATCACACATATTATTAAACTTCAATATCTTATCCTTCTTTTGAGATTACAAAAATATCGATTTGTATCACAATTGATGAAGAATATTGGCATCAAAGACAGTGCATATAATATTGTCAGAATTGAAAAAAAATCAATGGCAAATATTAAATGAATTATTTATACAATAAGTTTGAAACATATCCTCCAAAACATTGCTTACTTTCTTTCTATAGACATTGAATGGTATTTCTGGATAAGTGAATTGGTGTTTATCTGAGTAATCAAGGGATTATAGTCACTCAAAGTTACTGAGCATCCAGTTTTGAGACGTCAATTGTGTTGGTGAAGTTACACATATTTCAGTCAAATTCATGCTGAGCACAACATTTTGGTTTCAATTTTATAATCTCTATACATGACCCTGGTGATGAAGAGTCAGAATCAGTCAAAAAATCTAAACCGGAAAACTGTGCTCATTGTGAAAACTAAAAGTGAAGAAACTTTTTTTCTGACATTTCTTTAATCAAATGGCAGCCATCTTGTTTTTCCCCCTTCAAATTAAACTGGCGGGAAATTCAAAAATTTGAAAAAAAATTTAATCCTTAAATATATTTCAAAAATATGATTTTCTTTTAAATTCTTCATGGGTCTTAATTCATCTCTTCTTTGTATGTCATACACGTTGCCATTGGTGTTTTTTTCTATGATAATGACTATTTCTTTTTTTGTTAAGATACTTTTTCTGACTCTCAGCAGGGGGTTAATTATGCATCAAAACTCGTAAAAAGTTAATATACTTATCAAATATAACTAGGACAGTAATAAAAACCATATTTCACATACATTTGACTGAGGGACCAAAAAGGCATATACCCGGACACATCCTTTACAGACGTCAACCGCCACCCGCCACCCGCCGTCAAAAAGGGAGACCATAACAATATGTCACCAATGTTTTAAAAATATGATGTTACAGACCACAACGATGTTACGTTTTTCATGAGCATTTTTCATCGTGATTTAAAATGGTTATAAACACAATGATTTTAATCTCGACTTGTAAAGGCACTAAAGTCATTTGATTCCTAATTTTTAGTTTTATTTTCCTATTTACATGTACTTTAATTTGCATCTATTCATATTATTTATCTTTAAAAGACCGACAGCCGACCACGTGTATACAACTGAGGAGAGTGACTGGTGGTCGGCGGTCGGTATTTTTCCCACCTGTACCCAATCACATTCAAATTGTTTAAGTGATGATACACTGGAATTTCTACTGTACTCGCACGTGCATTTGCAAATAGTAGTATAGGCTGCAACTTTCGACCTACAACCGGCACCGGCACTGTTCCACTTCCACGTTCCACTTCCACCGGAAGTGACGTCATAGGTCACATGTTACAGTTCCACCGGAAGTGAGGTCATGTGATAACATGGTGCACTTGGAGTGACATAACTGGTGAAAGGTTTCTGATAACTGATAATATAATCAAACAAACACTGTTAAGGTAACCTGGTGACTGTGTGATAAGCTATCTTGTCTACTTCATGGATGTTTCATTGTTATAGGTCAAAGGTGGATAACAAACTGATAAAACATTAAAAAAGATAAGACGATGCACCGGAAGTGGAACTGACGTCATAGGTCACATGGTTACTGATATAACTTTCAAAGGTTACTGTAATTGATAAGAGAGAGATAATAAACTGATAAGACAGTGAAAAAGATAACTACCATGGTTTCTGATATAACTGGACAAAGGTTACTGATAATTGATAAAAGAACATAGGTTTGAGTTCTATGCCCAATGCACAGAAATGATGTCATAGGTCACATGGTTACTGATATAAATGGTCAAAGGTTACTGATAACTGATAAGAGAGAGCTCAATTGATAAGATAATCAAACAAACACTGTTAAGGTAACCTGGTGACTGTGTGATAAGCTATCTTGTCTACTTCATGGATGTTTCATTGTTATAGGTCAAAGGTGGATAACAAACTGATAAAAACAGTAAAAAGATAACTGCAGAACCATTTCAACCAAACAGGTTTTAATTTGCAGAATTATGTTAACCAATCAGAGTACAGTATATTTTAACCAATCAGGTTTCGAGATGCAGAATCATTTTAACCAATCAGGAAACAGTATGTTTGGACTATTTTAACCAACCGGGGGACAGTATATTTTCACCAAATCAGATGTAAGAAAATCAACCAATGAGCTTGCTGGTTATAAAACTTCAGTACCGGTCTAAATTATCACATGGTAACTGATATAACTGGTCAAAGGTTACTGATAATCAATAAGAGAGAGATAACAAACTGATAAGACAGTGAAAAAGATAACTGCAGAACAATTTCGACCAATCACAAGACTGCAATATACCAATTTGAAAATTTTGACAAATTAGATTTGTCATATACTTCATATGATGCATAACCCGTAGAACCATGATACCACTTTACATTACTGGTCAAAGGTTTCTGATAATTGGTGCAAGATCAAGGGTTTCTGATAAGAAAGAGGTTAATTGATAACATAACCTTGTGACTATGTGTTATACCAGAAAACAGTATGTTTTAACCAATCAGGTTTTAACTTGCAGAATTATGTTAACCAATCAGAGTACAGTATGTTTTAACCAATCAGGTTTCGAGATGCAAAATCATTTTAACCAATCAGGAAACAGGATGTTTGGACTATTTTAACCAATCAGGTTTTGACTTTCAGTTTTTGTTAACCAATCAGAGTAACACGTTTTAAGGTTGA